ACTCGTAGATTTTGAAATACGATATGGGTTTTTTTGTTTTGTTCATGAACTTTTTCGTCTCTTGGAATTTACACGCATCTGCGACCGTTATCGAGAAAGAAATATGTTTTTGTAATTCGCCAGATTCAATTCATTTTAAAAAATAAAGGGAGGAACCCATAATGACAAATGAAACAAAAAACGCTACCTATTCAGTTTGTGGTCTCAATCACAGGTTCCCAAACATTACCTAAAGAATAAGAAACCGAACGAACCTTGACTTTTTTATGAAAGGTGCTGGAGAATAAAAGAATCTTTAAGCTACAATAATGCTCTGTAACGAAGCGTTTGCGGAGACATACTTAGAGGAAAAAAATCCTATTTCGACCTGAATAATAAGCTCCTGAAATCTTGATACTGAATTTTGAACCACCCTGTATATTTCAGTAATTTCTACATCCTCTTAAAAAAATGTTTCACCTTTGATAACATCATGTATAACATAAAGTTGATTGTTTAAAATTGCACACTAGAATAAAAAAAATCAAGATAAGTCTGGAGTCAGAAGATTTAACCAGGAAAATATTGATTCATTATTGCAAAAGATGATATATCAATTATATCATATCATGTTAGGTAGGTAGTATAACTGCGATAGTGAGTCAATAGTCTAGTGAACCCATCAAGAGATGGAACCTCTACTATTCAGATATTGAAAATAGGATAAAAACTGGAGTCATTCCATCTCACAATGTCGTTCATTTTCGTCCTACTTCATATTCAACAAGAGTGTGTAATTGAAAACAATCAAAGAATACAAAAAATTACTACATACTTTATGATGCTTGAATATTATGAAATACTGACAACTAAAAATAAAAACATTCATAAAGACGAAAACCATGATATTCAAGGTAGTTTCGAACATGCTGACAGTACCGTCAAACTAGTAGTTATGGATTAAGGTATAGTATTAATAATACACTGCCAAATTGAAACACTGAACTCCAAAAACACTTTTGAATTCCCTTCACTGAATCATTGTCTAAACAACACTTTTCAATACTTCGTTTTCGATATTAACGAAGCCGAAATATGGCCAATATAAATCTCAGATGAATCTCACATTGGATACTGGCAAATATTTGTTTCTGGATCGAAAGATAATGAAAATGCTACATCGAATTATATTTTAATTTAACAGCAAACAACACTGACAGTCGTTGAATTGAATATTAGTTCTTTTCCAGGGGCGTCCGCAAGGGGTCCATTTTGTATATTAACATCGAAAAAGTGTGCTCGCATTTACTAAACTGTTTTCCTGAGTTTTTCAATAAATATTGCAAAAATCTATAAATAAACTATTGAAGAAGCTGCTGCAAACATATTGATAGATTTATTGCCAGAAACATCCGGGATTTTTTTTTACTCCTGCTTTTGGAGGTATAAAATCGCATATCATGATTATACAGGGTGTTCGGTGCATCGTGTGCCAAATTGAAATGGTCGAATGAAGGGGTCATCTGCTATCCTTTAAGACTAGTTCAGACCTTTCATGCCCTGTGGATTATTTTTAATCGTCTTTTTATCTGTCCATCAAAAAAAGACCCAAATTCCATATTCAACTTCAAATTTTGAAAATAGTATAAGGCGTAGACTCTGGATTATAATTCTATTCTGATATGTATTGTGTTAGAGTACTTTTAAATACAAAACTAGTGACATAAGTCATATAGTTTTTCTTTTATTTACTCGCAATATGTGAAACTCAAATAAAACCTGTGACTTTACATGACTACAAAAAAAACCAACAGCGACCAGGATCTTCCAACTCCCTCGAAAGTTCTCTAGTCTATCCTCTTGCTAATGATGTGTCTCACATGCCATAAATATCTTTTAACAACTTTGTAAATTCGCTAGAATTGTGAATCGAGTCACATAAGGCAAATATTCAGAATTATGATTTGAAAAATTATTTTTTCTGCAACCGACACAAAAGTCGTCCATTTTGATATCAGAATTAGCTCTTAAATTGACGTTTCTATTTCTGACACAAAAATAGGTATGTTGCTAGGCAACATATTTAGTGCCTAGGAGTTAATGTTGAATTTTAGTTCCTAGGAGCTAAAAAGGATCTACTGGACGTCATCAAGAATAAACAACATTGTGACGGTTGGTTATATTAGACGCATACACCTGATTTGTTTTCGATTTCAGCAGATTAGGCATTTCATACCCATGCTGGAGATATAAATACACCTTATTATACTTTAGTATTGGAATTATAAATATCTCAATTAAGTATTTTTGTTTTGATCAGGGAAGCCTTCAAGATTCAAATACTTGCTTGATCTGTATTTCATTCGTTATTCTCGGGATGGATAACTTGTTTTTGAATAATCACGGCAAGCAATAGTTTTTTTGTCTCAAACAAGGATATTGTTCAGCTTCATTTGATTATCAAGTCAAACACAGTGTAGTATGGAGAGGAATGAATAATCACTATTATCATTGTTGATATGCTCACTAACCTAACATTTTCCACGTCTTGTTCCTATAGCCTGGCACGGGCGCGGTATTTGCCATTAGCGAACACCTGGTCCATACACAAATATGTCACTCAGTGGTTGTATTTATTTTGAAACTACAATTCGAACATCCTAGAAAACCTAACCTGCTGTTAATGCAGGTAGAATATTCTCACCACATGGATTATTTGTCAATATTTGTTGCATTGCATACATATGGCACGGCATTGGTGGTTACTTCCCATGTTTATTTGAGTTGATTGATTCGGTTGCAGAAAAAATAGCATGTTTCGTTCGGATCAAAAGTGACTTTGTTCGACTCGCAAATTTTGCTTTCGCTCGGCTTCGCTAAGCGCTCCGCCTAGCAAATGCAAAATTCGCTCGTCAAACAAAATATTACTTTTGATCCTAATAAAACAATCTACTATTTGTTTGAATGATACCTGAATCTTTTAAATTTGTTGTCTTACTCTTATGAGGTGAAATCTGTCTCGTATCTGTATTGTTTCGTGGATTATACTTGAAATAAACAAAAAATAAAATTGCATTTTTAACATTCATTTCGCATTCATTTCATAAATCTCACAAATCCTGCCCAAATTGTTGACCTCCGTTGCGAATGCAGGCTCGACATCTGTTTCGTATTTCGACAGTTGTTGTTCAGGCCGTTTCTATTCGTTGGACTAGTACAACCCTAGTTGGAACTTCCGTGGCGTCTACCAGTCCTTTGGCAGGTCCCCAGACATAAAAGTCTAACAAAGTTAGGTCTGGGGAACGCGGCGGTCATACAATAGGTCCATCGCGCCCAATCCACGCATGAAAGAATCGCGGAGTTAGGTACCTAGCAGAGGCAGTGATGTCTCGACTAAAAAATTATGGGGTCGGTGGCAGTTCGTGATTTGTTCAAACAGATTTACCTTGTGCAAGAAATACAAATTTTATTTGTTTATGGAGTAACAGTTACGCAAAAATAATTTTTCAGATCATTTTTAATAACAGCCTTATGAGACTTGATTGACATTTCGAGCGAATTCACAAAGTTGTTATAAGATATTAATGGCATGTGACACATTATTGAAGAGAAGATGGACTAGAGAACTTTTGAGGGAGTTGGAAGATCCTGGTCGCTATTGTTTTTTTTTGTAGCCATGTAAAGTCACGGCTTTAATTTGAGTTTGACATATTTCGAAACTTTACGAGTGAATAAAAAAAAACTAGATGACTTATGTCTCTAGTTGTTTTATTTAAAAGTACTCTTACACAATACACATCTGAATAAAATAAAAATAAAGAGTCTACGCCTTATACTTTTTTGGAAATTTGAATTGTAATGCGGAATTTGGGTCGGTCCTAAAGGATAGCAGATGACCCCTTCATTCGACCATTTCAATTTGGCACACGATGCACCAAACACCCTATATAGGTCGTGCAAAAACTCTTTTTTTTTGTATGTACGAAATGTTGAGATTATTTCTGCGGATGCCCCTGTTCTTTTCAAAATAAATTTAACAAGATGAGGCTCCGTTTGAACTCACAAATGATTCGTTCTTGCTTATATCAACGAGCTTCTTGAGTCAATTTTCCCTAAAGATATAATTTCAGGATGTTCATTCATGAAGGACTTTGTAAAGAAAATTTACGTTTCACAAAGATTCCCTAGTATCCAAGGCAAACGCAATTTTTACACTTTCCCCTGAACATAATTTCGAAATATCTGCATTCCAGGCTGGAATGTATGGACACGTTTATTTTCCGTTGCTTTCTGAAATACAATGAGCTCACATCGGTTTATACAGTGTGTGGCTAACTTGAGACTAGAGCACTAATGGGACAATCCATATTGTACAACCGATTTCAAAAAATCTTAGTAACGGAAAGAATATCGAAGAATGAATGTTAAAAATGGCTGGAACATATGAGGGATTTTTGACCCCGTAAATGGATTTAGAAGACCTCAGTGAAAATAATTTCAGAATTTCATATTATTACAATACTGGTAAATTACATTTCATGAAGATTCTGAAAAGAAGAAGGAGACCTTGATGTTTCTAGGAGGAATTCATGAAGCCGATCTTATAAGAGGCTGTTATTTCGAATTCATCAATAATGAAACTGTCCTAAAAGTTCCACAGATCTGCCGCTCCATTTAAACTCAGATTGTGTCTGAAATCTTCATAAACAGAAATCAGTTTCTCGAGATGAAATTGTTATATCATTGTCGATCTTAATGGAATAGCTAGTTAGTAGTCAATAGGTAAGGTTTTATCTTTTTGGCTGATATCTTGGGAACTCCTGATTCCAGTGGTAGAGTCAAAATCTCACCTAAACATACCATCGAAATTGAAATCATTCTCCGCAAATGTGTGCTAGGTGCCTCACATTTTTCGGTACTCTTCCTCCTGAAAATCAAATTTTCGAAATCGCTTGTACAACATAGATTCGACAAGGTGGCTCCGGTCTCAAGTGGATCACCTTGTACCTTTCGTTTTGCAGACCACCACCCTGATAGGTCTGCTGAAGACAGCCAGGCTGCTCAGGCTGGTGAGAGTAGCTAGAAAGATCGACAGATATTCCGAGTACGGGGCTGCAGTCCTGCTCCTGCTGATGGCTACTTTTGCTCTCATAGCTCATTGGATGGCTTGCATTTGGTGAGTGATATACAGTCAAAACCCATAATCATCAGGTACCTAGTACACGTGAAAATAGTAGAGACTGGATAATCAAATGTCGAAAAACTCTTTACCAAAACTCGCCAAAGAAAATATTCCCAAGAAATTGTAATCTTCAAGAATTCAAAAACAGGGGCGTCGGAACCATGGGGGCAATCAATGGGGACTCGGTCCCCATAGAGAATTTGCTATGGGGGCTCCGCTAAAATGTTTCGTTTTGATTCAATGACTATTCTTCAGAATCAGCGCAATTGTTTTGAAAAGTTGTGGGCTTCTGTGAATGAAGAAGAAGAAAACTATAATATTGATGACTTGGTCTTGCCACGAAAGAGAAAAATTCCTCTAAAACTTGGGTGAAATAGTTGATGTATGCTTTCAACGTCTGAATGATCGGTTTAAATCTGAAGGTTCAACCCTTGCATGTTGATTATAGAAAAATTGATTTCGAAACAAGATCAGCATATGAAAATGATGATATTGGAAAACACTATAATACAGATTTTGACTTGCATAGGTTGATATAACATAAAAATATGTTTCTCGACTATGCACACGGACCATTTATGTCAGTTTCAGATTCAGCAAAACATTTCAATACCAATAATCATCTAAAAGAACTAGTTTCACAATTTTTCAAAGCTATTCATTTATTTTTTAACATTCCCATTACATCTTGCACATTTTTCGGTGCTGCGAAGGTTAAAAACGTATTTACGGTCCACGATGAAACAGCAAATATTTTCATTTTAAAAAATAACCAAAGACTTCAGACCTTCTTACGTGTGGAAAATTATAATTTTAAATCCTATTTGTTACATATTCATATATTATATATAGATTATGTAGAAATATGTATTTTCTTCCTATCTTTCAGAACTCAGACTCGCCATTTGGCATTTGAGGTTAGAAACTAGCTGTAATTAGAGTATACCTGATTATTCATTTTTATATCAATCACGAGTTTTATGTTTTTTTTTTCTATACTCCACTGTTTAGATATCATATTTATTATTTTAAAACTGTTTTACTAAGGTCGTTTTGGATTAGTACTTTATTATGGAAAATTTATATATATTATTCTTATATGTATATTTGTGGAGACCGAGCCCCCATTGTAATATTGAAGTTCCGGCGCCAATGAATATTCCCTCCCTACATTCCCTAGGTATGCACGATGTCCCTCAAACATCATAGGGATTTCCTTTCGTGCGCTCCAAGAGATAAAAAAATGAGTTCGTTCCTTTCGGAGATAAAAGCTTTTGGAGGTGAACATCTGAATGGTGTTCAAAGTAACAGTAAAAAAATATGGAGTTGCGTCATAAAATTTGTTAAATTCACAGGTGCAACTGTGAATTGGTGTCAATTATATATAGTTACGTCATAGAAAATAAAAATAAACCACTATTCAGTGAAAATTCTCAAAATTCGATAGCAAGCGTATTTTTAGTTGATTGGATTGTTGGATGTCCAAATATGTTGAATTCAATATTAAACATTTTCTGAAAATGACGAAATGATTCTATTAGTCTCGAGCTAAGTTGTATTTCCTCACTGGAGGTGAGTTTGAAATCCACCAATAACGTTTCATTCTTTCATTCGATAACTTTCAAAATTGATAGATATCCACATGCTTTTTCAAAGACCCGGCATTATTTTTGCTTCAAAATATACAAAACTATAACCCCTTTGTGAAATTATACGAATTACTGTAAATGCGACTTTTTTGTTAGACACATTCTTTTGTTTTAGGTACGCGATAGGCAACGCAGAAAGGCCAATGCTTCCAGTAAAAATAGGCTGGCTAGACGTTCTAGCCAACGATACGCAACAATTCTACCTAGCCAATAATACTGGCGGACCCAGTATACGAAGCCGCTACGTCACAGCACTCTACTTTACCTTCACGTCGCTGACGAGCGTCGGATTCGGCAACGTTGCACCCAACACCGATGCCGAGAAAATATTCACCATCTGCGTGATGCTGGCAGGATGTAAGTCCAACTAAAAACCAGTTTTTTTTGCAATTTTTGACCCCCTCAGAAAAATATCGAGTACGCCCCTGAAGTCGAAACTTCAATTAGCTATCGACGTACGTCGAAGAAACTTGAACGAAGTCGCAACAACCTAGATTTACTCATTTTTTTCTTTAACACGCTTACATTCGCTTGGTATATGTTTATATGTTTGTATACAGGGTTGGGCAAAAGTATGGAACCAGGTGAATATCTCGGTAACCGTTTGTTAGATATTTCTGAATATATGTACAGGGTGATCTGAAAATGTGGTGGATTTGAAAATGTTATTGTCGATATTGCCACTTTTCAGTTATTCCGAAACTATTATCAACTTCCTTATTTCAAATAGACCACCCTGTATTTTATTGAATTTTCAGATTCTCCATGAAAAGCTGATTTCATCGATTCATCACACTTGGAGTCTAGCAAGGATGATTACTGAAATATAAGGTGTTCAAAATCGAGATTTTTCAACTTTAGGATTTTTTTGTGTCGAAACTATTTATTATCGGCCAAAACGGCTTTCATGTCCCTATCTCAACTTTTGATCTACTATCTATTGGTATTTAATGGGAACAGATACAGGGTGATCAGATTTCTGAATCTTGAACCACCCTGTATATTTGTTTCAATTAAATGTCGGTAGATAGTGAATTGTTGAGATAGGGACATATAAGCTGTTTTGACCAATAATGAATAGTTTCGTCACAAAAAAATCCTTAAGTTGAAAAATCTCGATTTTGAACACCTTATATCTCAGTAATCATTCTTGCTAGACCCCAAGTGTGATGAATCGATTGAATCAGCTTTTCAGGGAGAATCTATAAATTCAATAATATACAGGGTGTTTTATTTGAAATAAAGAAGTAAATGATAATTCCGGAATAACTGTAAAAGTGGCAACATCGACGATAAGATTCTCAAATCCACCACGTTTTGAAATCACCCTGTACATTTATTCGAAGAAATGTAACAAACGGTTACTGACAAATTCACCTGGTTCCATACTCTTGCCCAACCCTGTATGTATACGACAAATTGAATTGAAATGAAACTTCGCGCACTTATCAAGTTTCGATGACAATAGCATATTTTGATAATTTTATCCCATTTTCCTGATCAGTGTGAGCGTTTTTTTTTCTCTACTAGAATGGTGAATTATGTTCCGTCATCAAAATGTTAAAATGATCCTTCACCAAAAATTAAACTGTTCGTTTCTTCTTCGAATCACTTTACAATGCTTTTTTATGTCCAGTGACACAGCGGTGTCTTTTTTTTATGTTCTGGTTCCCACGAAAAGAGATATCCTGTAATGTTCAGAGAACATCGTGATAACCAAGGAAAATAAGGTAGCAATTGGTGTTCTTCTCGAATTTCTGGAGGTTATATGCCTCGGGGAACACCTTCCTTGGCAATGTGTTCCAGAGCCTCACTGTTCGTTGGATCAACGAGTCTTTGGAAAGAGATGCTCTGCAAGTCTCCAAAGTGACCACGAAGGGGTGCGAAGCCTCAACTCGACGGGTTTATCTAGCGGGGACTGCCAAGGGAGGAACAATTGTTGATATTTCAGAAGAGGAAGTTACAGGGGTGGCCCGATACCCTGTGTCACCCGGTATTCTATGTTTTGTATGCATTATTTTATTTTCTACTTATTTAACTACTTCTAGTTTGGCTATCTGTAGAAGTATAATATTTGAAACTTATAATAATTCACTTTTTATTCAGCTCTGATGTATGCCAGCATCTTCGGCAACGTTTCGGCCATCATCCAGCGGCTGTATTCGGGTACTGCCCGCTACCACACGCAGATGCTGCGCGTGCGCGAATTCGTGCGCTTCCACCAGATCCCCAATCCGCTGCGCCAGCGCTTGGAGGAGTACTTCCAGCACGCGTGGACTTACACGAACGGCATCGACATGAACTCGGTGCTCAAGGGGTTCCCCGAGTGCCTGCAGGCCGATATATGTCTGCATCTAAACAGGAACTTGTTGCAGAACTGTAGTGTGTTCGATGGGGCCAGTCCGGGATGTCTGAGGTAAGAGAAACATATCACCGAAGCCGTTAATTCAAAAAAACATGAAGGAAATACTCGTAATAGCTATACTTTCACCGATACTAGATGCATCAGTAGCAGCAATTGCAGCAGCAAGTATTCAGTTATTGGAATGATTGGTTAAATAATGAGGTTCGCTACATTTGGCGCCCGAGCAGGGATGATGCAACGTTTATAAGAAAAGACTTGAAATGAATGCGAGTTCATCAGAACGTCATCAGAAAAATCATGAATTGTGGAATATGGAAAGAGAAGGGGAAATTGTGAATACAGAAATATGTATGAAGAGTATATCAGGAGACTGACAGAAGTGGAAAGAATGAGAAGTCAACATGAGAATACCTCTACTCGACTGATAGAGCTTGAGTGAGTTCTATAGCTTAACCAATGAATAGAAACACTTTCACCAGAGCTCGAAATGACTGATTTGCTTATTTCTGCTTCGAAAATACGTAGATGTTCCAAATCAATGAATTTCTTTACCAATGCTCGCTGTAAAGTGAGTTAATATATGAATACTTGGGATTGCCTTCACCTAAACTCGAATGAAAATATCTGAGCTCAAAATAGGTAAGTAGCTTCATATAAACTTGAAAGTTCCTCCACCAACACATGCAAATATCTCACTCGAGTTGAGAAGAGAAGCTTCCATGAAACATATGAAATTACATTCACTAAAATACCTTAATAAATCCCATTAAAGGAAGCGAAGGCTCCCTTGTTTCAAATTTATAACATTCTATATTCGATAAAATACTTTCTAGTGTACACAATGTTTTCCCCTCTGAAGTTTCCAAATGATTCATAATAAAATTATGTGTTTATAATGAATTCTGAAAGAACGGCGCTTATTCATCTTCGGAGTCGTGTCTGCCACAATATGATTTCACAGTTTATCGGTATAGGGAATCTACTGAATGAATTATTCTTCTAGGGCCCTCTCGCTGAAGTTCAAAACTACGCACGCGCCACCTGGTGATACTCTAGTACATCGCGGAGACGTTCTGACTTCGCTTTATTTCATATCAAGAGGATCCATCGAGATTCGCAGAGACGATAACGTTATGGCAATTTTAGGTAAATTGATGTTTATAAATACAGGATATTAATTAACAAGCTCGGCTTTATATCAAATGTGTGATATAACAAATATGACGACGATAAAAGTTTATATAAAGTTGTCATTGAACATTTAATGAAAATCTCTACGTAATCTTCTCTGGAGAAAGAAGGAATGAATTAAATCTTTGTTCTTCGAAAATATCCTTGAAGCATATATTATGTTGTTCACGGTCGTAGGAAAATTACTGTACATAACTGGTTGGAAGTCTTATTTATTGCACTTTTAGAGTTTAGACGTGCATAATATGTCACTTTCCATACTCGTTATTTTATATACTATAACCAGCCGATGTTGCAACAATCAAATTAACTACTTATATGAACATTCATTATCGAGAATATTCATAACGTCATTTTTTGTTTGCAGGTAAATTTGATATTTTTGGAGAAAATCCATGTTTACATCCCACATTGGGAAAGTCCGCGTGTAACGTACGAGCCCTGACCTACTGTGATCTACATAAAATTCATAGGGACGATTTGTTAGACGTTTTGGAACTCTATCCGGAGTTCTACACCCATTTTTTGACTAATTTAGAAATCACCTTCAATTTGAGAGACGTAAGTACCCCAACACCTAACATTCAATTGAAAATAATACAGGTGATCATTTTCAAAAACAACAGAGTTTTCGTCAATTCTTTCGCATTTGTAAGGTACTTCTATGTATATGTATATAGAGGGTGTAACATTGATATTGTGAAGAAATCTAATGAATGGATGAACGAATTCTCATATTGCATCGGGAGAAGTTCTAGTGAATGCGAAAAAACCCATACATTTTTCGAACGAATGAATAGGAGGTTTCCACAGAATTTTATTGAAAACAAATTTTGACATATTATCTGTACTGATTCTCATAATTCTAAAATACATACAAAGTTAAAAATATATTATTTATCTTCATGGAGCTCCCATCGTATTAAAATAATATAAATTGGTACAGCTTCAACTGATCCAGAATGAGAATCTGTCGTTAGTTTTTGTATTTGAATTATTTTTAAGAAATATAACTTTTTTATGTGAGCCCATATGGAAACAGTTTTCGTAAGCTACAATTACAGCTCAAAAATCAAGTCACCCACTTGTTGAATATGCGTTCTTAATAGTATCAAGGTTGTTCAAAAGTGAAGATTTCACAGTGGTGAAACAAAGTAAACATACTTCTTCTACGGGACTTTTTCTTGTGATTTGGATTCAGGTTAAAGTATGCAATGTAAATTGGATAATAGTGAAAAAAAACGTTCCATCTATGGCCATATGGGCTTCGTCAATTTCATTCTAATTCTCAAAATACATCAATTTAGAATTATTAATGAAGCAGACTATGAAGTACTACCTATAGATGGCCATTGTCGGAAGGTTTTTTGTACTCTATTCCAATTTCCATTTCTCAACTCAAACCTGAATCCAAATCCCAAGAAAAGGCCTCGTGAAAGAACTTACAAAGCTGGATTCAAGAAAAGCCCTGCTTCTCAACAAGTAAACTGTATACTGTATAGTGTATTCATGCAACATTCTGCATTTTTACAAGTCATAAAAGTACGAATGCAGGTTGAAGATTGGTGATTCCGAATGTTTTTGACATGCGCAGGACGATCAAGCTGGAGTAGTACCTAGGAGGTCGTTCTTTCCCAAGGACAAGGAAACGAGGTACTTCAGGGGAGTACCCTCGGCAAGGTCCAACGGGCTCTCTAGTCGAGGGAATTCGGTGAACGGTCGACAAGAGTCCCAGTACAGTGACGAATCTGAATCAGGTAAGAACTGAAAAATAAAAAAAAGGTTATAGGACAAAATTTCAACTTCAGAATTTATTTTCACAATGAGGAAGTTTCGCTCGAACGAATTATTATAGAATTATCATTCAACTACCTAGTATTAGGTTTCTGATGTTAAAAATGGCTATTCAAATTATTTCAATTTTCACGATACAATCACAATGATAGAGCGAAATTTCTGGAATCATTAGATTTATCTATATATTGCTGTGCTTTCATGGCTTCTCTGTATTTCGTCATGAAAATGGTGGAGGAGCCGAACATATTACGAGGAGCTAGTGAAATTGGTTGATACTGGTGAATGCCCTGTTGGGATTTTTTGTGACCTCAGCTTCGACTGTGTCAATCATGATATTTCACTGAACAAACTGCAGAGATACGGAATACGGGGTATTTCTCACCATTGGCTGCAAAAGCTTTCTCAATTCAAGGAGACTATATGTTTCTATTGACCATACTATCTGTTCAAAACGAGCAGTCACAATTGGAGTACCTCAAGGCTCAGTTTTGGGGCTTGTCCTTTTCATATTATACTTGAATGATTTGGATGACATACCAGTCCATCCTTCTCTCTCACTATGTATGCGGATGATACGTTGCTGTTCATCTCAGATAAATCAGACAGTCTACTATCACATAAATGTAATGGGACTTTTTTGATCGTGAAAGATTGGTTCAATGCAAACTTCTTGAGTTTGAACATGGATAAAACAAAATCAATGAGATTCAGTAATCGTCAAAAAACCTGTATCGATGTGAACATATCTACAGATAATCACTGTGTAAGCATTGTTCAAGAAATCTAGTTCTTAGGGCTGGTCGTGGATGAGTGTCTTACATGGAATAATCATTGCCGAATACTACAATCCAAATTGAATTCTTACTCATATCAGTTCAGGAATCTCAAATCATTACCCAACTGTGACCAACTCCTGAAATTATATAATGCCCAAATAGAATCCAGACTAAGATACGGAGTACGCTTCTGGGGCCTATCTACCGCATCATCAGATGTTTTGTTGCACAGAAACGTATTATACGCTCACTCGCAGGAATATCAAAACGCTCCTCTTGTAGGGACCACTTTAACAACTTGAAAATCCTGACTCTACTATCGTTGTTAATTCTTGAATTCTGTCTTTATGTGTATAAAAATCGAAATATCTTCAAGATTAATAATTCAAGGTACGATTACAATACACGCCAAAAAGATCACTTTTATATATATATTCCGTTTATAGTAATACGAAAATTCATTATGATTCTTCTATAGCAATGGCTCCCCGAATTTATAATTTATTACCCGATAAAATGAAAGGAAATGATACATTTTTCAGTTTCAAAAGATCATTAGGTAAAGGATTTCCTAGTGAAAAAATGTTTTTATTCTACAGGGGAATATCTACAAATGTGAAACATGTACATTTTTAATGTATTTGAGATGTATAACTGTAGTTTCAAGTTATCTGTGTTTGTTTTAATTAACTTATCTATAACTTTTATATTTACTTCACCTGTAGATTGTCAGATGGAAAATAAAGATATTATCATTATTATTATTATTACTATATCTTTACGATTTTTTTCTGAACTTAATTTTGATCGCACGACAAAAATGAAAAATATGTGTTCAATGGATTCCCATAAACTATACAGTGGAATGAAGATGTGAATAATATAACATACAAAACAAAAAACTCTTTTAGGGCACGGCATCCTAGAATTTTCCACGGACAAAGCAGGGCAAGATGTGACTCCTATGAATTTGAATTTTGGAGAAGAAAAACGACGGTCTTCAACTCTGAATTCTATAACAGGTGCGTATCTGATGATGTCATATATCCATTCATAGTTTAGGATGATTTGTGTTATTCCCCCTTTGCCTCTTAAAACGAGATGAAACTGAATGATTTTTTTCTGTAGACCTTATGCATTGCTTCGAAACCGTAATAAAACATCAATATTCGAAATGACTCATCAATGTAATGGAATGTTCAAATATAATACACAGCATGGATATCACGATTCAAATCGAATAAATCTGTTTATCAACAAAAACATGAAACCTTAATTGAACATTTGACAAACATTGACAAAAGCTGCAAATGAATTCGAAGAAATTATATAATCGAAAACATATGCATGAAATGGAATCGAATCATACTGGAATTTCATCGTATTCATTAATTATCAATGATTGAATCATCAATTGTAATTACATTTATCCTAGTTTTAATTAATCATTCGAATAAATCTATGTTGAATAATATATCAAAATATTCGAAAGCGGACGCTCTCGTGTACTTATCTATCAAACATTCAAAAAGTTATGATTATTGATAGCAAAGCACCAAAAGTTACATAATGTTATCAGAATACAATGAGTTTCTTGTAGGCTTCATCATTAATTTTCGAGATTCACTGTTAAAGAATAATTATTATTGATAAACTTTGACAGTAGATGAACAAAGGGAGTTCTGAATCAAAATCCCATTTATCTCCTGTTCTACAGTGACAAATACCTGAGCCATTCCTGATACGGATCATCAATTTTTCATAATTGATGAGATTGTCGATGAGTCATTTCAATTATTTACAACACTCACATGAAACCCCATCAAAATTTAATAAATCAAAATTAACATCATCTTTGTAGTGGTTTGTGTCTACTTATCCGATATGCCGTCGATCCTTCGACTATATGACATAGTCGATGGTCGGGTGTACCACAAGGACCCTTGTCTGGCCCTGTCCGTTCGCTCATGTATACGTTGCTGTGCTGTTAAATAAAATAATATCGTATGTGTTTAGGCATGCTATCTCAACTCAAACGAAGTATTCCTGATCTAAGGTTACACAAAACACACCAGCCTCTATTAGGTAAGTTTTACGTGACATTGTTTACAAAGACATACTGGTTCTAGTTCATTTTCTATGTTTTTATACTATATAATATATGATAATGTATCTTTCTTCAAGAAAATCACAACAGAAACTCAATATATCTTTATTAATCACTGGCTGCTCTGTTGTGAAGAAAACAACTAGAAAGTTGAGTAGAACCAATAAAGAACACTCTGTAAATCAACAAAACCCTATTATTTTTCGAGGTTCTCCTCGTATTATTATTGTGTAACTAAGACATTGACCAGCTTCCCAGCTGTTGAGATGGAAGAGTTTGTGTCATCCACTATTCACAGAGTGTTCTGGTCAGAATGAAAGTATTATCTTGATCGGAAAGTGAGGTAGATTATTTTTATCATGGTCCGGGCTATTCCAGAATCACTTTTCAGAATGCCTACCTTCTATAGATTATTAGATACATTACACTAGATTCTTCAAATCCTCCAAGCACTCACTGGCTCTGTATGTATATGTGGTCGACTAATCTATGTATAGATAGCGTTTAGAGCATGAGATTTATTGAGCATGCTGCTATGAATCAATGCTGATAGTTTATCAATGTATCGAATTCTGATATCACTGATTCTACTTTCCATCTAAACAAAATCCGAAATTTATTGTGTGCATATGAGAATACTTCATGTAACTATCGAACAAACTATTTATTCTTATTATCAATAATTTGTTTGTTAATCTGTGTCAATATTATCGACTTCTCATATCGAGACACCCATGGCGATTACATAAAACCTGTGACGTCATACTGTCCTAGCCAGGTTGTTAATCGTGTTTGAACTGGAACATTCATTTGGGAATTATTTTTGGTTAAACAAGTAAGGGATGGAAATGAAGAAGAAATTAAGATTTTTTGTCTCTTCTCACCATGACCAAGGATGTACAAAGCAGAACTGATAACAAAGGAACTCATACCAATATTCTCCATTAGTTACTCCATATGTTTCAATCTCACTCTCTCATGAGTCTCTCATAAGATCTTTGGAAAACGGCCTTGAAAATTGGATTTTCGAGAACGAGGGCGGTCTTCACTTGCGCTAAGGCAGCAACACGTTAACCTATTGTACAAAATCATTGTTGATGACTGATTTTCTAGAACGAGGACAGTCGCCACTTGCGCTAAAGAGGCAAAATCTCCACTTACTGTAGAAGATCTTTGGAAAACGATCTTCGAGTTGGATTTCTGAGAACGAGAGCAGTCTCCACTTGCGCTGAGAGGTCAAATAAACTTCAACTTCTGTTCAAGGGCTTCATGAAACGGCCTTGAAATTGGATATTCGAAAACGAGGGTGGTATCCTGCTGCGCTTAGGAAGCAAAAACCCAATCTTCTGTGCGAGACCTTTGGGAAACGGCCTCGAAATCGGACTTTCGAGACCAGAGGCGATCTCCACTTGCGTTAAGAGGGCAGGACCACCACCTGCTTTGTAAGATCCTTATGAAACCACCTTGAAATTCGATATTTGAGAACGAGGGTGGTCTTCACTTGCGCTAATGGAGCAAAACGTTTACCTATAGTGTACAAGATCTTTGTTAATTGATTTTCGATAACGAGGGCGATCGCCACTTGCGCTAAGGAGGCAAAACCTTCACTTACTGTAGAAGATCTTTGGGAAACGATTTTCGAATTGGATTTTCGAGAACGAGAGCAGTCTCCACTTGCGCTGAGAGGTCATATAAACTGCACTACAAGGTCTTTGGAAAACGGCCTTGAAATTGATTTTTTTGAAACGAGGGCGGTATCCTGTTGCGCTGAGGGGCCCAAAACCCAACCTTCTGTGCAAGACCTTAGGGAAACGGCCTCGAAATCGGACTTTCGCGAACAGATACCATCTTTCTATGTATCATTTTAGTTATTATGCTTCATGAATCCAGTCATAAAAAGCTTTACTATATGATTTCTGCATAATCCAGTGATCTCTTACTGACATTTTGAAAAGTAATAGGTAAATATATACGAGTTTTCCGAAGTTTTTGTTTTCGAGTCCAAGACTTGTTTAGTTCTTAAACTATGATAACTACGAATAATATCTGAAAATCAATATTTTCACTGATCACACTGTTTGACTTGTTTCACAATATTATCTAATGATATTGATTTCAATATTGATGCAACGTCTCATAAACGTTTTACTTCATAATATTATGTTGGATACTTCAGAAGGACATTATGGCAATGTTATTTCAACAATATCACAAAACTCATTACTGAAAAATATTTTTATTATGTATCATGTTTAGTGGGGAGGCGGTCTCCACTTGCGCTAAGAGGGCAAAACTCCCACCTACTGTATAAGATCTTTATGAAACCACCTTGAAATCCGACATTTGAGAACGAGGGCGGTCTCCGGTTGCGCTAACCAAACCTAACCTGACCTTCTCGATGTTCCAGCTCAATCGACCCCACCGTCCAGCCACCGCGTGCGCATCATCCGACGCCAGTCGTCTATCGGCGGCGCTTACCAGTCGCAAGAGGCGGCGACGAACGTCTGCTCGCCGCCCCCGCTACCCCCGGGCGCCGCGACGCCTCGCCAGGCTTCGGGGCCGCTGTCGAGCAGCACCAGCTACTACACGAACAGCCCCAGTCCGCCCCATGGGGCTGAGGGGACAACGCAAGCCGAGGAAGTGCTGGTGAGTCTCTGAGCAGTAAGAATTCACACTGAGGAAAATTCCTATTGACCATATAGTGTTATGCATGAGTTAGTATTGACCAGAAATTGGCTTTATTCATCAAAATACAGCATGACATGTGATTTCAATCAGCACAAATACGTCTTATGGACGTTTTAAAAACGTCCACTCTGGACATTCAGGACGTTTCAAGGACGTACGTCTTATGGACGTTTTGGGGACGTCCATTGTTACTAATCAGGATGTTTTGGGGACGTTCAGTTCAGGTCCAGATTAGGACCTTTTTGGAACCAAAAATGGACGTATTGAGGACATTCAGATAATATTCATTGTGTGTTTTCTGACCCGTCTGAAGAGTGAAATACTTCAATATTAGTATACATTTATTCGCACATAACAGAGAATTGTTTCAATTTCACTGTTTCATATCGTATATCAGCAGCTGCACCACTAAAAACATCGCGTGATTCATCCACTTACGTAGGCGCGATGATGTCGTCTCTTTCTAATTTGGTACCCTTCTGTTGTCATTTTCACTGCATATGTAAACAACATCTGTGAATACTATAAACCATAAACACACAGTCACTTCCAACGTGTAGTAGTCAGTATAGCTAAATACTTTATTATATTTATCTCATTGAAAGCTTATTTCAAACATAAACTGATTCTTTGGTAGGTACATACTTATATAATATATACCTATATTATATTACTGAGCAGGTGCCCCTGGACCAATTTCCCCCGCCGCCGACCACTCGCCCCCACTCCCACCGATCGCCACATTCCACGCCGGAGCCGGCCTTCTGTGCCGGCGCGCCGGACACCGTCCCCGTCGGCCGGCGCCACCTCGACTCCATCGACGCCAAGCTGGAGCGTCTGTCGGGGCGCGTCGCGGCGCTCGAGACGTCGCTCGCCGCCGACGTCAAGGCCATCTTGGCGCTGCTGCAGCCGCAGCGGCATGTGACAGGAAGCAGCGAACAGGTGGTCGTGCCTGTCAAGCAAGAGGTGGGTACTCGTTGGTACTAGTGATATTTATCAATATTTCTTTATCTTCCGGATCGCACCAAAGAAATTCCTTAATTGAAACGATACAGCGTGAATACGACTAGCGATGTGAAGGATAGCATGACTAATAGTGCGAATAGCGATACAAGAATGGAACCGAGCACTTATAACGTGATTGTATCCATAACAACACAGGGATGTCCTAGGCACGTCCCTTTTTTGTCCTGCGGTACAAGGACATGATTGGGGCATCCAGGTGATGTCCCGCAGTGGTTGTCCAGTGGACATCCCGCCCGGTACATCCCTAGGTTATTCTATTCGTGTCCCTGGAATATCTGATATCCATTCACATCAGAGTCATTGAATTTCATCAAACTATTGAGTTGAATTTTTTTGAAAATGTTTGTTTTTCTTCCGGAAAATAATTGTAATGGAAATAAAGAATAAGTCTCAGTTCCTCTTAAGAAATGACAATTTTTCGCAAAAAGAAATCGTACATGCATAATGCCCCTCATTTTTAAACACCCAAGAATGATGATAATTATACCCAAATCCTAAAAAAGTTCTATTTATTCAGGTTTCTGTATTTAAGTCCTGTTTATAAATCTGTTTAGGCATAATAGCCAATGGAGTAAGGTGCGTGCCTGATAAAATGAAAGTTAATCCCTACTCGACCTACTTTTTTTTTTCTTTTGTCGAAGGGGTGTCCCTGGGATATCCTTGAGACATCCTATGGATATCATTTCTTCGTACTTGGTATATCCCAGGGACGTACCAGAAGGACATCCCTTGGATGCCGTTTTTGGCGGCCAGCGGAGTTCCCTGGGACATCCCTAGTATGTACGTTGTCCCGACAAAGGACATCCCTGGGATGTCCTGGTATAAAATCAGGGATGTCCCTGGGAAGTCCCTAGGATGTACTGGTATTGTTAGGGCTTATTTTCCAATGATTTTATTATTATTCCACTCAGCCATATGTTGTCCGTCTTCAGTAAGGATATGTTCAGCCTAGTTTCGATTTGTGATGTATTGACTTCATAATGAGTAGGAATGACTAGCAATACAAAGGAATGATATGATTAGTGATACGATCGAAGGGAAAATTGCGAATAGCGATACGCGAATGGAATCAAGCAGTAGAAACGTGATTGCATGGTTCGATTAGCGATCTTATGTACGAATAGTAACGTTAGAGAAGGGTCTGACTAGTAATTAACGAGGGCGACTTTCATGATTAGCGATATGATTCATAGAAACAAATAGTGAATAGTAACTATATAGTGAAGGTGTCACAGTTGCGATATATGATGACTTCATAACGACGCAAGAAGACTAGTGATGCGAAGTTATGGAACGATAAGCGATACGAAAGAAGAGTACGATTAGCGATAAAAACGGTCTGACTTGCATGATGATTATCCATTCAGCGACACGAACAATAAAAAACTCCTTAGCCACGTGAACAAATTCTGTGGTTATCAACACGAAGAACGCGTATCTATGACTAGCAACTCGAAAATATTGGCCGACAAAGAACATAATCGTGATAGTTTATTGTAATTAGCGATACAACTAACGACGCGACATTTTATGGCGATCAGCAAGATATAGTGATCCGAATAGCGTTAAAAATAGCGTAACGAAAAGCGTTGCGATTTAGCGATACGAATAGCTATGGAAATAATATTGCGAATAGGGAACTATACGTCATAACATAACAACAGTTACGAGTCCAGAAACTTCAAATAGACAAATACCAATTCTATTATTTTTTTCTATCGTGAAATATTCAATAATGATTTCAATAGCGAGCACGTCATGACAATCAATTCAGTAACAAGTACAGATATATCAAATGATTCTTAGTAGGAACGAATAACTAATAACTAGCGATTTAATTAGCGATGTGAATAGCGATATCGAGATAAGAACATAGTGAAACTATAGAAACAGTTTCAAACATAGTATGATTAGATGAACGATAGTGAAAGCTATCAACGATTATAAAAATGATTCGTATTGGTAAATTTACCTACTCTAGTATTTCTTTTATTTCAGATGCCTGCTTATGAAAATGTAGACATAGATCCAAGTAGAAGTAGATATACTTTTCAAAGATCCGTTAGTGAGCCAAAGCCTATATCAAAAACTCATCATTCCCAAGTCCTTCATAGGCAAGTATTACTCCATTGAATGAAAGAGTGGCCTATGAAAAATGAATAAGATTATTAGATACACCTAGTTCAGCTTAGTATTTGTGTTCAGTAGATCAAATTATTGGCACGACATCGGAAAATACAGTTTTTTGATCATGACAAAACTTAGATTATAGTTCTGAGAAGTAGTATCATAGCATTAGTGAAAAAATATAAACTATTCCATTATTTTCTAGGTTCAAATAAACAAATTTGTTGTTTTCTACACCTTTTCCAATTTAAGTTCAAAAAGCGTCAAGTTGATTTCAAAGAGTATCAATTGTATTTCAATTCAGTCATTTTTATTGCAAAAAGTTTCAAATAATGTATATTGAAATTATCAATTTAATTTCAAAATGCGTCATTTGTATTTCAAATTAGTCATTTTAATTTCAAAAAGTATCGAATGTATTTCAAAATCATCAATTCAATTTCAAAATGGGTCAATTGAATTTTAAATTAGTCATTTTAATTCCAAAAAAATTCATTTAAATTTCAAAATCCATCATTTCAATTCCAAAACTAATCATTTTTATTGATGATGCCACAATGACAGGAATCATAAGCCAGAAGCGTTTCAGTTACAAGGTGAATTAAAATATCACTTATCACCCATCTAACCTTTGCCTGTGCTATTTCAGTTTTGAAATTAAAATGATGCAGTATAAAATACATTTGATATTTTTTGAAATACAAATGACCATTTTGAAATTTGAAGTGTTTGTTTTCGAAATAAATTTGATAATTCCAAAATAAAATTGAGGTATTTCGAAATTGAATTTATAATTTTGAAATAAATTTGATCCTTTTCGAAATTAAATCAACTAAGTCCAAATACAAATGATGCTTTTTGAAATCCAAATGTCAAATTTGAAATACAATTGATCATTTTTGAACTAAAATTGGAAAAGGTGTGGTTCTGATTGATAAAACAATAAATGTTGAATGTTCTTGTTTTAGGTTTGCATCGTTCAATAAAGCTTTCGATTTCGACAAATGTCAGGATTCCTTATGGACGGAATCTCTGATACCGAAAGAAAAGGATGGCAAAGAAGAAAGAACAGCTCCAATCGCGAAATTAGAATCTTTAGATGAATTAGACTTGGTATGTAAGATTTCTTGCACTGATGGATATTAATGATATCAGTTGACTGTTAGAACATGCAATTATAGGCTAATTGCAAAGATATTCCGTCAATGCTAAATCCCAATTGGGAGACTCTTCGCAATTATGGTGATTATCGCAGATTATTCCTATTATTGGAATATATATAGGCTATAATTGCATTTATTCAGCATAATACATGATGATCTACACCTTTTCCAATTTCAGTTCAAAAAGATTTAAATTGAGTCAATTTAATTTCAAAAACTGTCGAAAGTATTTCAAAATCATTTCAATTTCAAAATGCGTCATTTTTGTTTCAAATTAGTCATTTTAATTTCAAAAAATTCCATTTCAATTTCAAAATCCATCATTTCAACTTCAAAACGAATCATTTCTATTGATGATATCACCTAACGCCAATCTAACGCCTTAACCTACCTGTGCTTTGTCTGATACGAAATTCAAATGATGCATTATGAAATACGTTTGATATTTATTTAAATTCAAATAGCCATTTTGGAATTTGAAGTGTATTGATTCATTTTTGAAATTAATTTGATAATTTTGAAATACAGTTGATACTTTTTGGAATTAAATTGACTATTTCGAAATACAAATGATGCTTTTTGAAATCCAAATGACAATTTGGTAATACAATATTGACCATTTTTGAACTACAATTGAAAAAGTTGCAGTCATGCCATCTAGTGGCGTTAGTTCTATATACACTGTATGACGCTGCCATCTATAGTCAACACGTGCAGACCCCTCCGTCTACAACGTTGCAAAGTGGTACTACAAGAGTAAACCACTCTGCTGACAGATGGTACTACCTGACTACTTGAGTGCGGAATATCCACCAATCCCATTCATTGAAATAAATCTCATAACTATAAGAGATCCAGGATGAACACAGAGTTGCTTCAATTCAGCAGGAGCGAGACAGTATTGTTTCGGCCCACCAAGCCCCATCATCAGTCGTTCTCGGTCTGTTGACAAATGGGACAACTAAACGCTTCGGATATCACTAATTATTTCGAAGATGCCGGATAATATACATGATGATCTAGTCACGCTGACGCCACTAAATGGCACTAAAAGCGTTGAGTTGTCCCAGTTGTTAACAGATCGAGAGCGGCTGCTGAGGCCTGGTGGGCCGAAGCAGTACTGTCTCGCTCCTGTTGGAAATATTTTGGGACAACTGTGTTCATCCTAGATCTCTTTGTTATGAGATCTATGTAGTTCAATAATAATTGTAAGATGATTATTATCATTCTTGGAATTCCTTCGAATATATCTAAAAATTTGAGACTGATAATTCAAAGAAATTCAGTGAATTGAAAATTGATACTAACTGACAGATGAATGTTGTTTTCATCAGCGATAACTATACCTGCCAATTGATGCCCAGTCAATTGCACGATGAATCTTTTAATTTTACCTATCATTATATATTTGCAAGATTATCTTCGATAGTTGAATTTGGCAATTTTCAGAATAGCACAATAAAATTAGCCAATCACGGTATTTATTATCTGTCAATTGAGATCCAATTGCAATATAATAATCTTGTAATTACCTCTATATGACAGAAGTGTCCTTGCTATAACAGCAATTTCAGAATCATTCACTCAATTGAGTTAGTTCAGACATGAATCTTTCAATTTGAGCTTAATTGACAGAAATCTCTTTTTTTTATAAATACTCAAAGCTCAAAGTAATTTCCACAAACGTTCATAAATGAACGAAAATGGTAGATAACGAGAAAAAACTACTACTTTCCTGGCTATATGGCTACATAGAATTATATCCTTCCGAAATATATGCAATGATTCCTATAGACGAATAAAATCTCAAGTGTTTCCTTCCTGAATGCTGAATTGTGCTTAAATTGTTCAGGAACGCTCGACTACCTACATACCGGTTTAGAGCTCTCTTATTGGCTCTCATCATTGATAATTCAATGACTAATGATATTTTTTTCTCCAGGAATCACCGTTAAGCAGCCCAAAAAAGCCGAAGAAATGATAATAGTGATTTTAGTTCCCTACTTTTCTATTGTTTTTTATTGAATATTTGAGATATTGTGAGGAAGAAATATTGTTACGATGGCCCCTTTTTTTGGGGGCAGCTTGCATAGACTGTTGATTGATTGATTGATTGATTGATTGATATTGTTACAATTGTACTGAGGTAAAAACAAAGACAGTGAGATGTACATTTAATTTTTAGGATAATAAGAATCAATAACTGTAACAGACAGCAAACTTTGTTTATTATTTTCTATGAAAACAATCGATTCGTCATTATCATCTCATCAATCTTTTTCGAAAATTTGTTTCTTTACAAGTTACCGAAACATATATAATATACTGTTATTTAGAGGTTGAATTTCAATTATGCAATTCATTTAAAATGCTTTTTTTATTTCATGGTGCAGGAAAAGTTCTCCCAAACTAAAATATTTTTCGTTTTTTTTTTTGGCTAAATATTCAATTTAGTCATGGATTATTGCTTTTTTATCGCTTCTTGGAGAAATATGCTGATCCTAACTCATGCGCAAAGTTATTCTGCGCACTTGTTAGGATAATATAACTGTATTTCAGTTTTCTTTCAAACACGTTCTTGATAGATTAAATGTTATAACATTCTGAAACATTCCATTGAAGAAATAATTTAATATATTATTGTGATACTCTATTACTAATACTTTATTGACTTATATTCAGTTGCCAGAGCGCAGGATAAATTGTTGCTAAATCAGAGTTATATACTTGTTTTTTTTTAATAAACAAAGTTTGTCTCCCAAAAATCCGTCTCATAATGATTAAAAACGATAAATATTATACCATAGGGTTTCAGAAATGAATAGAGACGTAAAATGAATTAATCATTGATAATTTGTTGAATACTTTGTTGAAGCTTGTTTTTGGCATTCAATCGCTTTGAAGGTACATTTTGTAAGCACAAATTATATGTTTATACACAATTTTATCATATTTTTAATAATATGTAATATTGAATACTCAATAAATGGCATTATATGCCTCGATATGCCTAAATAGTATTATTACTGCATGCAGGGTGTTCTCGATTTGTTGACGGAAGATATTATATATTTTCAGAAAAAAAATCTTAATTCGTAGTTTGACCTGAATAAGAATACGAAATTTTTTTTAAGAGCCCTGTTTCTCAAAAATCTCCATATCACGGTAACACTGTGAATTCAGGCACACCGTCAAAGAATTTCTAAAGCGAGCTCCAAAAACAAAAATTTTTGAAAATTTTGAAAATTCGGAGCAACATGCATTTTATTATTTCGAAAGAATTGTTTATTGTCGATTCGTTTAGAGTTTTGACCTAGACAACACGAAAAAGTTGTTGATTTTTTTTTGAGTCCCTCATTTCTCGAAAAAATTCTATATCTCGAAAACCGCTGGGAATTTTGGCATTCCACCACAGAATTTTTAAAGCAGACACTCAGGTCTTGTAAACGTGTCCCATTAACATTGGTATAGGAAAATCCAAAATTTTGGAAAATTTTGAAAGTTTGGAGAAGAATGCCTTAATTTTTTTCGAAAAAAATGTTATTCTCGATCCATATAGAGTTTGACCTGGACAACACGAAAAAGTTGATGATTTTTTTTTAAGGCCCTTATTTCTCGAAAAAATTCCTATATCTCGGAAACCGCTAGGAATTTAGGTATTCCACCACAGAATTTTTAAAGCGGACACTTAGGTCTTGTAAACGTGTCCCATTAACATTGGTATAGGAAAATCCAAAATTTTGGAAAATTTTGAAAGTTTGGAGAAGAATGCCTTAATTTTTTTCGAATTTTTTTTTATTCTCGATTCGTATAGAGTTTTACCTGGACAACACGAAAAAGTTGTTGATATTTTCCTAAGGCCCTTATTTCTCGAAAAAATTCATATATCTCGGAAACCGCTGGGAATAATTTAGGCATTCCACCACAGAATTTTTTAAGCGGACACTTAGGTCTTGTAAACGTGTCCCATTGACATTGGTATAGAAAAAACCAAAATTTAGGAAAATTTTGAAAGTTTGGAGAAGAATGCCTTAATTTTTTTCGAAAAATTTTTTATTCTAGATTCGTATAGAGTTTTACCTGGACGACACGAAAAAGTTGTTGATATATTTCTAAGGCCCTTATTTCTCGGAAAAATTCCTATATCTCGGAAACCGCTGGGAATTTAGGCATTCCACCACAGAATTTTTAAAGCGGACACTTAGGTCTTGTAAACGTGTCCCATTGACAATGGTATAGGAAAATCCAAAATTTTGGAAAATTTTGAAAGTTTGGAGAAAACTGCATGATTTTTTTTCGAAAAAATTTTTATTCTCGATTCGTATAGAGTTTGACCTGGACAACACGAAAAAGTTGTTGATATTTTTCTAAGGCCCTTATTTCTCGAAAAAATTCCTATATCTCGGAAACCGCTGGGAATTTAGGCATTCCACCACAGAATTTTTAAAGCGGACACTTAGGTCTTGTAAACGTGTCCCATTGACATTGGTATAGGAAAATCCAAAATTTTGGAAAATTTTGAAAGTTTGGAGAAGAATGCCTTAATTTTTTTCGAAAAATTTGTTATTCTCGATTCGTATAGAGTTTTACCTGGACGACACGAAAAAGTTGTTGATATTTTTCTAAGGCCCTTATTTCTCGAAAAAATTTCTATATCTCGGAAACCGCTGGGAATTTAGGCATTCCACCACAGAATTTTTAAAGCAGACACTTAGGTCTTGTAACCGTGTCTCATTAACATTGGCAAAGGAAAATCCAAAATTTTGGAAAATTTGGAAGTTTGGAGAAAAATGCATTTTTTTTTTTTTTTTTGAAAAAATGTTTATTCTCGATTCTTATAGAGTTTGACCTGGACAACACGAGAAAGATGTTGATTTTTTTCTAAGGCCCTTATTTCTCGAAAAAATTTCTATATCTCGGAAACCGCTGGGAATTTAGGCATTCCACCACAGAATTTCTAAAGCGGACACTTAGGTCTTATAATCGTGTCCCATCAACATTGGTATAGGAAAATCAAAAATTTTGGAAAATTTGGAAGTTTGGAGAAAAAGTCATAATTTTTTTTCGAAAAAATTGTTATTCTCGATTCATGTAGAGTTTGACCTGGACAACACGAAAAAGTTGTTGATATTTTTCTAAGGCCCTTATTTCAAGAAAAAAATTCTATATCTCTGAAACCGCTGGGAATTTAGGCATTCCACCACAGAATTCTTAAAGCGGACACTTAGGTCTTGTAAACGTGTCCCATTAACATTGGTATAGGAAAATCCAAAATTTTGGAAAATTTTGAAAGTTTGGAGAAAAATGCATAAATTTTTTTCGAAAAAAATTTTTTTTTCTGTGACGGGAAAAAAGTTTGGCATTTCATCTCTGTTGGCAGGTTATAAAATGTCACTTTTCATAAATTACTTTTTTCCCGTGGGAAAAAAGTGAGTACTTCTTTCCCGGATATATATCACATATATATACTCTGTTAATGGCTTTCGTTGTGCTATAGTTCCGAAAAATAAGTCAATAATACCGTCTCCGAGAAAAAACTGCAAGTCCTTTTATCTTCCATTCGACTTCGCGGTTTCGTATATTACTAAACAACTACTGAATTCGCAATTTTTTAAAATCAAACCACAGAATTGAACTGACAGAAGTGACATCAGATATTTGATTACTTCAAAAGAATGATAAAGATGTCTATAAAACGCAGGTGTCCCTACTGTGAAAAACTTGAAATTTCACGACGATAATTTTCAGATTTCGAAATAATGTAATATCTTCCCAATATTAATTCGTCCTTCCTTCTGTCACAGAAAGAAATAGTGTATTATACACGGGAAAAATATTAGATTTTAGCTCACGGTTTTTTGTCTCCCTCCGCTACGCGTCGGAAGACAACACAACCTGGAGCTAAAATCTACTACTTTTTTCCCTTGTATAATAAATAACTAATTCTCGATCCATATAGAGTTTGACCTGGACAACACGAAAAAGTTGATGATTTTTTTTTAAAGCCCTTATTTCTAGGAAAAATTTCTATATCTCGGAAACCGCTGGGAAATTAGGCATTCCACCACAGAATTTTTAAAGCGGACACTTTGGTCTTGTAACCGTGTCTCATCAATATTGGTATAGGAAAATCCAAAATTTTGGAAAATTTTGAAAGTTTGAAGGAAAATGCATTTAATTTTTTAGAAAAAATGTTTTCTCTCGATTCGTATAGAGTTTGACCTGGACAACACGAAGAAGTTGTTGATTTTTTTATAAGGCCCTTATTTCAAGAAAAAAATTCTATGTCTCGGAAACCGCTGGGAATTCAGGCATTCCACCACAGAATTTTTAAAGCGGACACTTAGGTCTTGTAAACGTGTCCCATTAACATTGGTATAGGAAAATCCAAAATTTTGGAAAATTTTGAAAGTTTGGAGAAAAATGCATAAATTTTTTTCGAAAAAATTTTTATTCTTGATTCGTATAGAGTTTGACTTGGACAACACGAAAAAGTTGTTGATATTTTTCTAAGGCCCTTATTTCAAGAAAAAAATTCTATATCTCGGAAACCGCTGGGAATTTAGGCATTCCACCACAGAATTTTTAAAGCGGACACTTAGGTCTTGTAACCGTGTCTCATTAACATTGGCAAAGGAAAATCCAAAATTTTGGAAAATTTGGAAGTTTGGAGAAAAATGAATCTTTTTTTTTTTGAAAAAATGTTTATTCTCGATTCATATAGAGTTTGACCTGGACAACACGAAGAAGTTGTTGATTTTTTTATAAGGCCCTTATTTCAAGAAAAAATTTCTATATCTCGGAAACCACTGGGAATTTAGGCATTCCACCACAGAATTTCTAAAGCCGACACTTAGGTCTTGTAAACGTGTCCCATTAATATTGGTATAGGAAAATCAAAAATTTTGGAAAATTTGGAAGTTTGGAGAAAAATTCATAAATTTTTTTCGAAAAAAATTTTATTCTCGATTCATGTAGAGTTTGACTTGGACAACACGAAAAAGTTGTTGATATTTTTCTAAGGCCCTTATTTCAAGAAAAAAATTTTTTAACTCGGAAACCGCTGGGAATTTAGGCATTCCACCACAGAATTTTTAAAGCGGACACTTAGGTCTTGTAAACGTGTCCCATTAACATTGGTATAGGAAAATCCAAAATTTTGGAAAATTTTGAAAGTTTGGAGAAAAATGCATAAATTTTTTTCGAAAAAATTTTTATTCTCGATTCGTATAGAGTTTGACCTGGACAACACGAAAAAGTTGTTGATATTTTTCTAAGGCCCTTATTTCAAGAAAAAAATTCTATATCTCGGAAACCGCTGGGAATTTAGGCATTCCACCACAGAATTTTTAAAGCGGACACTTAGGTCTTGTAAACGTGTCCCATTAACATTGGTATAGGAAAATCCAAAATTTTGGAAAATTTTGAAAGTTTGGAGAAAAATGCATAAATTTTTTTCGAAAAAAATTTTATTCTCGATCCATATAGAGTTTGACCTGGACAACACGAAAAAGTTGATGATTTTTTTTAAAGCCCTTATTTCTAGGAAAAATGTCTATATCTCGGAAACCGCTGGGAAATTAGGCATTCCACCACAGAATTTTTAAAGCGGACACTTTGGTCTTGTAACCGTGTCTCATCAACATTGGTAAAGGAAAATCCTAAATTTTGGAAAATTTTGAAAGTTTGAAGGAAAATGCATTTCATTTTTTAGAAAAAATGTTTATTCTCGATTCGTATAGAGTTTGACCTGGACAACACGAAGAAGTTGTTGATTTTTTTATAAGGCCCTTATTTCAAGAAAAAATTTCTATATCTCGGAAACCGCTGGGAATTTAGGCATTCCACCACCTAATATCAAGCGGACACTCAGGTCTCAGAATTATGTACCATAATTAACATTGGCACAGAAAAAATCAAAATTTCAGAAAATTTTTGACAAATTGGTGGAAAATGCTCAATATTTTTCGAAAAAATATATATATTCTCGTAGACTTGAAACCTGAAGATGGCGAAAAAGTTGTAGAATGTTGAAATACAGGGAGGTTGGAAAAAGAAATACATGTCCATACATTGATACGTTTATTGTACTCAAATTCATATAATATATTCATTTTTTTACAAATAATGGTCCTTTTTCTACTATCACAGATTAAAAAATCATTAATTCAATAATATTCCAGATTCAGAAATATTCTCACAACTCTTTCCTAATATGCATCTACTCTTTTCTCATTTCATCAAGAAAACCTCCGAATCTCACAAATAAAAACTATATCATAACAATTCCTTATTCTCCTGATATAAAGTATAAGAAAATCTATTCATTCACCTTATATCAGACCTCATAGAAAAATTCAACATAGAAAACATCTTTTTTATAACACTTTTTTTGGCAACTATGCTCATACATTTACAATATAATACAATATTTACAAAATATACAAAATAAACTTCCTAAAAATCTACCCTGAAGAATTTGACATGGAAGAAACTTGTTCGTAATTAACAATAGCCACAGAATCACCAGAAAAAATATGTCATTAGTTTATACTTCTTAGATACATACAGTCTGTGCAAGTTGATCATCAACTGCTTTTTCGGATTGGAGAAAAAATTCATTATGAGCCTCAAATGATTTACTGCGGGCTACAAAACAAGTATTCCTTACAACATACAGAGTGATTAGTTTCAAAATTGTCACAATTAATCAACATTCATTCTAATAGACACACCCTGTATAATGAGAAACGCTAGAGGGAAGTGTCAACGTTTCTTCAATGTGAGAAAATAAGAGAAGGTAAGTGATGACAGTTGGTGACTCACACTGTACAGGGTGGCTGGAATTCAAGCCTCTTCATTGGGATCACGTAAACCGTAAGAGATATACAGGGTCAGTTGAATTATGGCAAAGTTGCACAATTTTATGCCTAACAAAATGCCGTTTTGAAAATTTAAAAATTCCGAATACTCGATCTTTTTTTTAAATCTTTGGAAGCATTCGGAATTTTTCAAATTTCAAAACGGCAAGTTGTTAGGCATAAAATTGCACAACTTTGCCATAATTTAACCGACCCTGTATATCTTACGGTTTACAAGATCCTAATGATGGGGCTCAAATTCCCGCCACCCTGTACATCAGTTTTAGTAAATAAAAAAATGATTGAAAGAAACCATATCAAATTCTTCATGGTTCAATGGTTTTTGCTATTTTCCATACAAAAATTACAGTCAACATTATTTGTGGAATATCTTAATGAAATATTGGAACCATGTCCCAATGGGACTTAACAAATGACGATAGGACCGGAAAATAATGGATAACACCTATTTTGATTCAATTTGATTATAATAGCCATTATGATTACCTGATAAATGCGGTTGCCAAAGTAGTCTTCAGTTTAGACAAGCCAATAGCCAACATTGAGAGAGAACAAATATTTGTTCTTGTCTTCAGGATTACAATGTTGAATAATGTTAATTTCATGTTAGTAATAAAATGAATGAGAATTTAGACCATTCTAACATCAATATCAAAGAGATTAAGCCCTCTACTAATTTTTTGTGTTAGAAACATTCTGCGAGGTTGATATCGTATTCTAGTTTGGTGAGTTACTTACCAACATGAAACTTTGATCATCTCAAATTGGACAAGAACAAAAAGAGGAGACATATTATATTCTATCTCAAAGTTGACAAATTTCTCAATATTTTTTGCTCCCTCAACACTTCCAGATTATGCGGAAATTACAGTATGTGTAAAATAATTTTATAACTTTTACTGTTCACCCATTATATATACACAGTTGATGATGTCATGAATACTATCAAATTTTGATACACAATCAAGAAATCAATAAGGAACCTTGAATGTCAGACTAAAATATTGAAAATATATAATTTTGTTATCAAACAACTACACTAGCTGTAACAAGTGGGAACCAGCCCCATACTTCTGTAGGCAAGATCCTACAGGATCCGACTCGAAGGACCATGTAGGAATTTGCCTACAGAAATATGAGGCTAGTTTCCACTGTATACAGCTAGTGTAGTAGTTTAATAACGAAATTAAATATTTTTAATATTTCGGTCTGACATCGAAGGTTCTTTGCCAATTTCATGACAACATCACTAACTGTGTATATGATGGGTGAACAATAATAGTTATGAAATTATACAGTATGTTTGAAATTCCAAAATTCTGTCCAAGTTTGAATCTCAACTTCTGAAACTTTGGAAACTAACCAGTGTGTCACAGGCGACAGATTTTCAAAGAGTGCTATGAGCTGAACTTGCTCATTGAAGAATTTTGATTCAGGAAAACAACGACCATTACACTAAAACGATTATTCTTTTTTATCCCTAAATTAAAATGATGTAAAGTTTTTGACTAGTCGATTCCACTTCCGAGTTCCACACAAGAACAATCCACAAAAATATAAAATTCAATTCACTAGTTTCTTTACAATTTCACATACCTTACTGACTAATTTACTGTGCGCTTGTGATAAACGAAATTATTTCAATGTATACAGGGTATGATTGAAATTGTGTACCTAACGAATTCTAGGGGGGATGATTCTTTATTATATTTCATGACCAAAAGTTTTTATTTACATTTTGACGTTTTCACAGAAGGACCTCCTGTGGTTTTTTGTTTTCTCGAGAGCGAGCAAGAAATTTTGAATTCTTAGTTGTTTCATCCGAAAAATCATCAACATCAGCAAAATATCAACTAAATAGCTACTTAAATGGTCCCGTGAGTACGCCTCTGTAATTACTAGATCAAATTCATTAAATCCAAAAGATACCTCATTGAGATACCTACTAACAAATAGTGGAAATATCAGAGAAATTGGAAAAACGAATTTTCTGTTCATAAACATCCCCCGAAATTTGCGACACCATTTCATTGACACCCTGTAGAGACAAACATCTCTGCAACAAGTTTCGTGAGGTTTTTTGTTATTTGTACTGATCTTGGCAACAGTTTTGGGGAATTAGCGAGAAATAACTTCAAGCTAAGAAGTCAAAAGGATAAGTTTTCTAGTTCCAAACGATCTAATTTTTGAAGTCCTCTATTTTGTCGAATAACTCGAGACCAACAATAACCAAAATAGAGCAGAACTTATGCAGGTTTTGAAGATGATTGAAAAAAAAGTATTTTTTATAAATCGCAAATGCCCCGAAACCGAAAACACCGCTCATAGCCAAGCATTGATACCTGATGATAAGCGTAACATTGCAAACATTTGAATTTTCCTCTCGCTCAATGTTCCTCCATCCGCTTGAAATCCTCCAGCCGCATTATGAATATCCCAATCTGGAAACATGAACAGCCAGTTAGTTGAATCATCGGTTACGTGATAATAAACTGATGAAAATAATAATAATAATAATAATAATAATGATAATATCAGTTTATCCACAAGAAATTTTGTGTACAATTCGTCAAGGACCTCAAGGTTATAGATAAAATAAATACAATACAATAATACAATCTCAAATACTCTCAAATAATATGAGTTTTACAAACATTTGGATAAAATACATCACATTTACATAAAAAAAAATTAAAATCAGTTGCGTATTCAGACATCTAAAAATTCAGAAACTTGGAGTTCTTGGTTAAAATTCTGGTGTTTTTCATACAATAATAGTGCGCATACAGAAACGCGGTACACACCATATGAATTGGTTTTTGGGAAAATATGCAATCTGCTCTCTAACAGCCATAATGGTGTGGATCCACTTTTCAATTTCGATGATTATCCTTCTGAATTAAAATATCGGTTACAGAATGCCTGGCGTGATGCAGAAACTAATTTAATATCTTCAAAAGAAAAGAGGAAAGCGCATTTTGATAAAAAATCTACAGATATTAATTACAAAGTTGAAGATCTAGTTATGCTTAGAAACAGTGACGGCTCGTGCCCTCAGAACCTGGGTCGGCCAGGGTATAGATATTGCTCTAAAATGCGAACGTAAGTGGGTCAGCGGCTTGAGTGAAGTTCGATGGCAAATAAGCATGTACAGGGTGATTCACCATAATTGTCCTTTCTCCCTCTAGCTCACTTATTTTTGACCCGATTTAAAAATTTGAAGGATGATCTAAAATGATTTCTCAGAATTTTTTTCCCGTTGCATCAGGAAATACAGGGTGCTCGGAACAAATGATCTACAGGGTACTACTCGATTTTTCCAAATCGAACACCCTGTATTTCATTGTATTTTTAGATTCTTCCTGAAGAGCTGATTGAACTGTCTATTGAGATTTGATTGGAACATTTACAGGGTGGTTCAAGATTCAGAATTCTGATCACCCTGTATCTGTTCCAATTATTAAATGTCAGTAGATTGTAAATCAAAAGTTGAGATATGGACATGAAAGCCGTTTTGACCGATGATAAATAGTTTCGTCTCAAAAAAATCCTAAAGTTGAAAAATCTCGATTTTGAACACCCTATATCTAGCTTTTCAGGGAGAATCTAAAAATACAATGAAAAATAGGGTGTTCCATATAAAAAAATCAAATGGTACCCTGTAGATCGTTTGTTCTGAGCACCCTGTATTTTCTGATGTAGCGGAAAAAAACTCAATCAAAAATCATTCAAGATGATATTTCAAATTTTGAAATCGGTTTAAAAATAATTGAGCTAGAGGGAGGGACATTTATGGTGAATCACCCTGTACACATAACCAAAAAATTTAATTGTCCAGCAAGAACCACGAGATTAGAGCATTCTCGCCAGGGGAAATGGGGAAAGAAAAAAGAGGTGGATAAGGGTTAGTTGGTATGAAAAAATAATAACAAGAAAGTCGAAAAAATAAAATGAAAGAAAATAAAAATAGAATAACTCGTGAACAAAAAATATTTATATTCTGTTGAAAACGTAATGTAAACTCAAAAAAATCAACATAACCGACAACCACTCACCTAACGCGAGTAGCACAACAATGACTAATCGGTCTGTCTACGCTCTACGCCGTTCCTGTAACAAGCCACCCCACTGACCCCACTCCTTCGTAGTCGGCTGGCCGAGCCCGCGTGCAGGGTGCAGCCGTAGGTATAATGTTTCCCGCGATGCGATGGATGCATAAATATTATTTAGGTAGTTTATAACCGCTACATGCGTTTTTGAAAATAAATGATATTCTGGAAGTTATACATTTATTACATTTTCGTCACCAGAGCTTTTTTACGATGTTTCAATACCTACTCAGCTCTTGGACTGCTGACATTTTTCTTGCCATATTACCTACATAGGCAGAGGCACAGTAGGTTACATTACAGCAATATTCAAATTGAATTATAACTTATTGACGCTCAGAAGCACTGAAGGAAAATTCTGATACCAATATTAGATGGATATGTTGAATTATGAATTACTGAAAATTGCAAATTCAAAAATCACCAGTCATTTTTACTGCAACTACTGCAAGCGTAAACAAAAACATGGAAATTATTTTTCTTTTCAGTTTGTATATTTCAAATTCCAACATCAACTTACAAATAAGTATAGGAATTAAAATTATAAATACCTACAATGTAAAATGAAAATAGAATGTCAATCATGCCAATCCGTATATTAAAAATTAGGTCGGAATGGTTCGATACGGTGCACAGCGAGCGCACTGCAAACAACAAACAACTGATACTGATAAGTACGAATAGTACGATCGATACGTTGGACGGCCAGCAGAGCTTGGCCGCACCCAAGGTATGACGCGTATAAGCGAAAATTTAAACTTGAAGCGGGGAATCTGTAGGCGATGCCTGTGGCGATGCGTCGAGACAAGAAATCACCGATCGGCCGGCCGTCTGCATCAGTGTAATGAGCTACGCGAGCGGTTCAACTGAAAGCGGCGTTTTGACGATGGGATTACCAGATGTCGTAGGTCCTGAATTAGTTCGTGATTTTCGGTGTATATTATTATGCGGATGGCATACTCAAAGGTTCCATGAATGAAATTCAAATAATAGTGGCATAACAGTAGGATAATGAGCGATGAATTATGAAAACAGTTTCGGAAAATAATTTTATTCATCAAATAGTTCAGTAATTTTCCCCAAATTATTTGGTACGGCCCGGCCGACCCTGCCGTCCCTGACGAGCCGTCACTGCTTAGAAACAACTCGGACAGCAAAAAAGAGAGAGAAAAAGAACTTCAATAGATTTAGATATTTGAGTTATACCATAATAGTTGTAAGATACTGTATATTATATTATAGGTCAGTGGTATTACCAGGGTTCATACAGTTCGTTCGCACTATTGTGTATAATCCAGGGTTGGCACGAATTAATTCATATGAATTAAGTCAGTGATTTAATTCGTGAATTAATTCAAATGACTTTTTTCAAATAAGTCGTGAATTAATTCAAAATTTATCAAATGGGAACAAATCGCATTATTACCTTCAATTTAAACTAGTTTAAAATAAAATATCTGATGGCATCTGACAACTGACAACCGTGAGAAGCACCACACGCGGAAAACAAAATTTTCTAAGAGCCGCTTTACAGTTTACAATAGTTCATTGCATGCAATTGATTGCTCCAATTAATATTTCCGGCAAAAATAATATGGAGGCTTTTCAACACTGAATCGGAATTACCGGCTTGCAATGTCTTTTTGTCATAGATTCTGTGTATTACTTCTCACCGAGTTTTGAGTTGGGTCAAGAGATGGGTAGAAGAAACCATGAGAAATACAAGAAAAGTAAGATCCAATAATGTGAATCTAATGATGCGTGAAATTCCGAAAATCCAACATGTCACCACTAGAATTGCACCAGTAATACAAATTACCACAATATAAATAAATATGTCCGGACTCATTTCTTGCAATGCATCGAAAAATTACTTTCCATGGTGACACCATTTTATTTTATTGAAAATAACTGTAAAGCGCCTCTATAATGAAGATTGTGAATGAGTAATATAATTTGCATAAACATCATTTTTCATTCAATCAATAGTCTCAGTTTATATTGCAAAAATTGCATATTTTAAGTATTTTATTGTCACACTTTGAGATTTTTAACGGAAATAAAAACTTTTTTCGATGTTTTTGTATTTTGTTCAAGTAAATTGAATTTGATTTGTTCTCAAATGAATTAATTCAAAAAAGTCTCATGACTTATTCCAACCCATAACCCTAAGCTAAACAGTTATTGTGACAATCGTTCATAGATAAAGATTGATTTTGAACTTGATGATGAATGGTCGTATTATTACAACTCCCAACTCTCCTTATTACTAAGTTATCACAGTTGTTTAGCAACATATCTATTTTTTCTGTCAGTAATAGAAACGTCAATTCAAGAGCTGATTTTGGTATCAAAATGGACGACTTTTGTGTCGGTTGCAGAAAAAAAAATTATTCCACTCGCCAATTCTCTGTCTAAATCTCACCTTCCGACACACCCCAGCCACACCTCAAGTGTTCGTCGTGTTCGGATACTGGAACATCGTGACGGACGTCGCGATGCCGGCCGACCTGACGACGGGTCGCGGCGGCAGCTGCGGCGTCGCTTGGCCGCCCCCCGTCGGAAGGGCGGCAGCGTCTTTGCCGTAGCGCGGCGATATGCTAGGCGGCTGCTGGTGGGGCGAGGAGGAAGAAGAGGAGGTGGATGACGCTCTGGAAATGGAAAATAAATAGTAACCAGCTGACCTGGCAAATGTTGTTTTGCTATACCCAAGTTGTTGTTCTTTATTACCCCAATAAACATATATAATAGATATCATCAAATACTTCGATGAATCTTTGATATAAATTATATTCCTCAACTCAAAGATTTATTATTTTTTATTAATAATGTTTACATCTTACTATAGCAACATAACTTATTCAAAATGAAAGATAAACTGATATGGATAATACAGAGTCGTATCCTACAAAACTCCCCCTCCAAAGAAATCATCACTCCTGGGATGAAACTGGCGTATATTGCTAATATGTGCTGTTTCTTCTTTATCTTCTGTATTGAAATGAACATATGCCAATACTTCATACTTATAATTCAACTGTTCTTGTGGTGTTTTAGGGGTCTCTTTTGAGCATATTTCAATTCCCAATTCAATATCTGCTTGCAATATTGTCGTTTTACCATATAATTTATAATTCGGTGAACAACCCAAATACTCATTATGAGAATAATTATGATGTTGTACAGCTGCTTCCAAACAATTCTTCCAACCTCCTGAAAAATTGTTTTTTTGGCAATTCCATTACCCGCAGGATGATAAGGAGTTGTGTGAACTAAATTAATATTGTGAGTTAAAGCCCACTGTTCTAACTCTGTGGACGTGAAAGCTTTCTCACAATCACTAACAATATTTTTGATATTTTCCAGAAACGATAGATGATACAAATAATTCTTAACAGCTGTGTAACTAATGGCCTTAGGTGTAACATACCTAGTTGCCTTGTCAACAATAATTATAAATTATAAAATCTGGTTTAGGCAAATACTTGAATTTTACAACCTGACAAACTGAACAGGTCTTCACATAATTCTTTATGTCCTTACTCATTGCTGCCCAATAGAATCGTTGTCTAATTTTATAATATAATTTATAATAACCATCATGACCTCCAGAATATGCATCATCATGGTATAATGTCAGTATCTCCTTCACCATCTCCTTATTCTTCACCAAATATCTACCATCCTTCATAACTTCAAGATTTTGAATATTCAAATTGCACCAAAAATTTTCAGGAACATTCTCAGGGACGTCAATACATAATCGGCTGATGGCATCAGCGATTCCTTACCCCTCTTGTGGTTAATTTGCGGATCAAAACATCTCAAGAAAAGTTGCCATGTTGCTAAAAGGTCTCTCAAATTTCCAGTAGTCAATAATTGCGTAAGTGCTCGATGATCTGTATGGATTATGAATTTCTTCCCTTCCAAATAGTTTCTGAAGTACTTCACAGCTTTCACAACAGCGAGGCATTCTTTCTCAGTGACTGAATCATTCTGCTCACTTTTTGAGAAAGTATAAGAGTAATAACTTATTACCCTCAACTGGCGTGTTTTAATTTCTTCAGGATCTCTCTTATACAAAATTGCACCACATCCATAATAGGAAGCATCAGTCGAGAGTTCATAATTCAGTCTAGGGTCTGCAATTCTAAGGATAGGTTCGGATGTTATCAGGTTTATAAGTATCCTAAAGGCCTCTTCACAAGCATCAGTCCAAATGAAATGTTTATTCTTGCTTTTCAATTCATCTAAAGGTTTAACGATTTTCCTATAGCAACATGACATCCTACAACATATTTGTTTATAATAGGGATAAGAGTGCTTACATGGGGATAACCTTTTTTTATCCCTATGTAAGCACTTTAATTCTCATAACTCTTGTCGATTGTACTAATAACTATTTTAATTTCAGGACAAGATTTATGTAATTTCTATATAAGGCTGATGATGGATATTTATATGTCCGGAACATGTACCAATTATTGATGTGTTAATCACAGTAAATGCCGTGGAGATGACTTCGTGTATCATTTAGTATTCAAAATAATCAACTCTTCTCAACTAATAGATCCACGAAAATGCCTGATTTCAAACTCACCCCGGTCCGCCGTTGTGCAGCACCGCCCCCTGCTGCTGGTGCCCGCCCACCTGTTGCTGGTGCCCGCCCACCTGTTGCTGGCCCTTGTGGTGACTCGCAGGATGGAGCGCCGCGTGCCGGCGCATGTGCAGCTGCGACGTGTGGGTAGGATTGAGACGGGGCAAGGTGCCGCCCGCCCCCACGTGACCGATGGACGGCACGTTGACGAACGAGTGGTGAGCGGGGTGGTGGGCGGAGTTTTGCGAGTGGTGGGCGGAGTGGGAGCCGCCAGGGGAGGAGCCGGGCTCACGGCGCGGCGGTAGAGGGGGCGGAGAAGCGTCGCGAGAGACGGAGGGGAGAGTGGAGTCGCGGGGAGGTAAGATCGGGGCGTCCGGAGCCTGTTTCATCTACGAAAAATAAAGGACACAATTAATGTCACTCCGGAGCCTGTTTCATCTGCGAAAAATAAAGGATAGAACTATTATCACAACATATAGCAAGTGATGCAATTCAAAATTTTAGGAGTAACGGTTGTGGTACCGAGGAATGGAATATTTTTTGGGGGAGTGTCATCGCGTCCGATGTAACCCTAAATTAGTCACGTTCGGTATTTACATCGCAGATGAGAGCAGATTCTAGTCACGTGGTCACAGATAGATCGGAGCAATCGGCAATAAACGAACGAAGTGGACATTTTGTTGACAGTGTGACGGTAACCTAACCTATCCCGATTTATTTATTTCATTTATTTTCATTTCAATATGAGTATACCAGAAACTAAAAAAATATAAAAAAAATATTTTGAATTTATCATCTTAACACATTCATTAAATGTGTTCACTTACTATTATTTGTTACAGATTCATCGGAGCAGTCTGCTGTGAATACCGAACGCGATAATTCACCAGCTGTATTCAGTGCCAGTAATTCGTTGAGATATATTATGAATAAAACTGGTCCAAGTACTGTGCCTTGGGGGGACTCCACACAGAACCTCACTCTCATTGCTATAGGTTTCGTACCATTTGTTTTCTTCTTGATAGATAGCTTAAGAAGAGCTTGTGAGGAGTTTCGCTCCGCTCCGTTGAATGAATTGAATTGATTAAATTATTTAAATGAATGACAAAAATTGAATAAATTGAATAAATCAAATAAATTGAATAAATTAAAAACATTAAAAAATTAAATAAATTGAGTTAATTAAATAAATTGAATAAATTAAATAAATTGAATGAATTAAATAAATTGAATTAATAAAATAAATTAAATAAATTAAATAAATTAAATAAATTAAATAAATTAAATAAATTAAATAAATTAAATAAATTAAATAAATTAAATAAATTAAATAAATTAAATAAATTAAATAAATTAAATAAATTAAATAAATTAAATAAATTAAATAAATTAAATAAATTAAATAAATTAAATAAATTAAATAAATTAAATAAATTAAATAAATTAAATAAATTAAATAAATTAAATAAATTAAATAAATTAAATAAATTAAATAAATTAAATAAATTAAATAAATTAAATAAATTAAATAAATTAAATAAATTAAATAAATTAAATAAATTAAATAAATTAAATAAATTAAATAAATTAAATAAATTAAATAAATTAAATGAATTGAATAAATTAAATGAATTGAATAAATTAAATGAATTGAATAAATTAAATAAATTAAATAAATAAATTAAATAAATTAAATAAATTAAATAAATTAAATAAATTAAATAAATTAAATAAATTAAATAAATTAAATAAATTAAATAAATTAAATAAATTAAATAAATTAAATAAATTAAATAAATTAAATAAATTAATTAAATAAATTAAATAAATTAAATAAATTGAATAAATTAAATAAATTAAATAAATTAAATAAATGACATAAATTAAATAAATCAAATAAATTAAATAAAATTCAATTCAATAAAATGAATTGAATAAATAAATAAAAAATAAATGAATGAAGTTCGTATGTTCTTCAACATACCTGTTGCGGGGAACTGATCTCGGGACTGTCCCTTCTCCGTCTCGGCGGCAGAGGGGGCGGCGGTGGCGGCGGAGTGGGCGGCAGGCGGGGGCTGACGGGCTCGAGCGGTCCGGGAGAGGCGGGGCTGTGAGGGCCCCCCGGGCTGTTCGGCCCGCCCGTCGAGCTCTGGCTGTTGTGACTGTACCGTTGCGGCCTAGAAGACATCATTATTCATTGTACAGGGTGGGCAAAATTGGGCGTTTTCATAGGCTATCTCAGTAACTGAAGGAGTTATCAAAAAATCGATATACATGTTACGGGTTCGATTTTAGAGAAACATCGAATGGTACAATTGGAATTTCGATATCTTCATTCGTTTCAGAGATACAGGGGGAAATTGAAAAATTGCCGATTTCGTTTTTATTTTCTGAGTACTTTATGAAGAGAGATATTGAAAAATTTCAAATTTTTATCCATATAGAATGATGCGTAGAATCCATTGGCATCATCAGAAATTTTATACAGGGTGACATCAAGAAGATACGGCAGTCAATTATTGTTTTTTCTAATGGAACACCCAGTATATTTTAGCACAATTGGATAGTCCTAGGCATTCCATATTAAAATATACATATCAACCTACCTTTTTCTTCGACAACTTCAGAAATATTCGCAAAAATATAGTCAATGTGTCACAGTTCTCATGGTTGCACCTCTGTATCTTCCGTAATAATCATTGAGGTAGGATTCCGACATTCGCAGCTGTGAGAGAAATGACAATGATACACTCGAACCCGTAACATGTATATCGATTTTTTGAGAACTCCTTCAGTTACTGAGATAGCCTATGAAAACGCCCAATTTTGCCCACCCTGTACAAGGGTTGCCAAAAAAACGACAGCTGAAATCTTATATTTTTTCTGTGAGTGGAAATACGACGATTCAATTTCGGACAGTTATGCTATGAAAGAGTATTTTCAGTTTTTCTGTATCTCTAATAATAACATAGAAAAAAAAAATATTTTCCAAAAATTCACTTTATCCAATTTAACTGAAAAAATATAAACAATTTTGAAATTTTTCGTATGCCAATGGTATGACCCTCGGCATGCGCAATTTTTTTCATATTCAATAGAATCTTACAGGTGTTGAGGTGGAACAGGCGTCGGTTCCCCTCTCGGTTGCCTGAACGACGTCGTGGACATTATGGAGCTGACGCTGGGGCTCCTGGTGTGGTTGAACCAGTTCATGATGGGATTCGACGCGGCAGGAGAGACGGGACTCAACGTCGGGCTGTTCTGACCGGCTCCTAATTGCACCTGCAACGCAATTCGATGAAAAGATATGGCGCCCAAAGTGTGGTATCAAATGAAGAGGAGCCTAGGGTATGCCCGATATGTATGTATAAATTGGCGCCCAACGTCAAATAAATATTGACTCCTTAAAAGGGAACATCCTCGTGAGAAAATAGTGACTCAAGACCAAAGAGTACAATAAAATTGACGACTCATCTCATACGAAGAGAATACACGAAACAGAATATTATCGAGATGATTTGATTTGCTTGCTACCAAACATTTTGTCTTGAATCAATTGTGGTTCGGATAAAGTATATTGTCATTATAGTGATACTATCGCAAAATACTGCCGATTATGATACGTAAAGACACAAATACAGTGCTCCAATCGCTTGTAATCTCCCAGACTGATAACACCTAGAGAATATTTTTTGCATTCTACATCATTAAATTTTTGGCAATTAATGTGAGGAATCTACTAGAATTTTTCACAGGACCTGTCTATCAACTTGAACCCTCGACATAGTGACAATTTATGAATTATTTTCATTTAAATTGAGTTCATTCGATGCAACAGGCGAAACGGAACTCAACGTCAGAATATTCTGACCGGCTCCTAATTACATCTAGAACGGAATTCTCGATAGATAAATCTGCCCCCCCCCCCGTGAGGTAGCGAATGAAATTCGCCTACTGTGCCTAATATGATCAGTCACAGAAATTGACTCTCTTACAAGCAACCTCATGAGAAAATAGTGACTCGAGGGAAGAAAAAGAAAATTAATGACTGATGATCGTACATGAAAATAATGCATCGAATCAGAATGTTATCAAAAATCGATCAATCCTGTCTATTTAGACAAGTCTATATCAAGGCTGATGACATTTGAAAAATATTTAAAGTATAAATTATTAGGAACTAAAAAAATGTGTCACATAAGGTGAGAAATCTTCTACAATTTGGCAGTCAACGTGAGTTATTTTGATTGATTGATTGATTGATTGATTGATTGCCTTTATTACCCCAAGAAACATAGTTGTTTATAATAGGGATACATAAACAATATACATAATGTTATACATACAATTATGAAATTATAATAAGATATAACAAGTTGAAAAAAAAATGCAAATAATCATGAAATGACACCCAATGAAGGACATTTTCTATCAACTTGGAACCTCCACATGTTTGAAGATTTGAGAAATGTTCTCAATATTAACGAGAAGGCGTAATTTTCAACTTTTGGAACCCTAACATGAGATATTTTGTATGAATTGGCGTTGGCGCCCAGTGGGACAATCTCAATACTATAATATCCACCATTTTGGATACGTACCGACGCGAAGACGCTAAAATCACTGTCGGATTTCGATGAATCCTCGCTCTTCGAATCATCACTCTTCATCGTTGAATTGAGGGTCTGATTGATGGTGTTGGCGACAGCACTCGGTATGCTCTTCCCGGATTTCACCGTCTTGATTCCGGGCGATTTCAAGCTCAAATTCGGCCACTTTCTCGGAAACCTCGGCACGATCCTGCTGCCTCTCGGTTCGATTTCCAACGACTTTTGGTACAAATAGTTGCAAATGTCGGTGTCGTTCATGTCCCCGAACGGGTTGAGATTCTCAAAAAAATGCTACAAGTGGAAAAACAGTCTCACAAATCATTTCAGAGAGCGAAAAAATGTTGCTTACCCTTATGGTTGGTTCTACGTTGAAGCAATAAGGTTGATTTTGGTATTGCTGTATTTCTCCGGTGATCTCGGCGACTTTTCTCCTTTTGAAAAAATTTATGAGCTGCGTGTTGGGGAGAAAGTCCGGATTGCCTTCTTCTATGTGAAGTATATTGGTCAAATACATGCCCAAGAAGGGTACACAGGGTGGATTTATCGATCTGAGTTTTTCTTGGTACTTTTTGAAATGATCGTCCGATCTGTATTCCTCCAAGGCTTTGCGATTTTGCTGAGACAATACCTGCAAAGTAACGAAAATGAAAAAAATCGCAAATTGATTCGAAGCGACGGTTACTCACGCTGAAAGTAAACTTTAACCTATACACAGAAGCAGAGTTGGTAGCCGATACTATAGCTAGAACACCGTTGAAGTTGTTTATTTCGTTCAAAGCTATCATTATTTCGACGGTCCTGTTCAAGATGGCCACTCTTTCGTCAAAATTTTCAGCTTCCACTATGTTTTTCTCGAGCCACCTCGTGAACTGAAACGCCAAATATATACAAATGGTCAATCTCATGCACTTATGGTAACGCTAGGGCTAAGCAACTCACGTTTGTCGTATGCTTGATCATTTTCAATAAGTTCGGGCTGGTGATCTCCTTGTCCTTCTTGGTCCATACGGTGCCCACCAATTCGGAAGGTTTAATCGTCCTGTATAGATCGAACTCGAGTATCGTCAGTTGTCGGGCAATCTCGACCGGATGCAAAGTCAGGATGCCGTACTCGTCTTCGCCGCAATTGATGTGCTTCTCGATCGGTGGTGGGGGTTCGTCAAAGGCGAATTTTATGTGTCTCTGGTTATCGTTTTCCATCTGGAAATTCATCATCGACTATGATTAAAAATAATCCAGTCACGTTTTTGATCGCTGATTGTATGTGAGAAATACTAAACACAGACATGAGCTCCCCAAGTGAATGACATACTTTTCAACATTTTGGCGTCCAACCCCAACGTGGGGTATTCTTTATGATTTGGTGGCCAACTTGGGAAATTATTTATGATTTGGCGCCCAACGTGGGGTATCCCCTATGATTTGGCGCCCAACGTGAGGTATCCCCTATGATTTGGCACCTAATGTTGGCTGCTCTTTATGATTTGGTGCCCAACTTGAGAAACATTTGTGATCTGGCGTTCAACGGGGGTTCTCCCCATATGAGGTATTCGTTATGATTTGGTAGCCAATTTGATGTCTTCAACGCAAAACACTGGCAAAGTCGGTACATACTGACTCAAATATGATGAAATATTTTGAAATAATCGAGACTCAGAACTGCAATTTTCAACGATTTGTTATAGTGAAATACCTATGATTATTTCATACCAGACCAACTCGATATTCAATGTTATAGGTGTTAACATGAGGGACTTTCTCGAGTTATGGCACCCATTGAGAGACAGTTACCATTGGTGCAAAACGCGGGACAGCCAGAAAATATCATTGATTTTCGGTACGCTGAATATAATATTTTATTTCAATATAGTTTTTATTACTCATTTTCAAATACCGTTTGGCGAATAAGCTGCTCACCTTCCTTTGTACTATTTTAATAACGATATCCACCCACTTTCTCATACTTTTTCCATGAACTGAATCCAGAAATTCTTGAAGTTTTCCTAACAGCGAGGCATCCCTTTCGAAATCGTAGAAATGTTGGTCCACCCAGTGCCTCAAAACGTTCAATACCCTGAAAAAAAAAAGAGTTGAAAAGTATATCAACTTCGAGAAATTTTTGTGGAGCAATTGACTTGAAAATAAAGAATCCTCTAACCTGAATTGGACCGGTTGGCAGTACTCTTTCCTGTACTTCTTCCAATCCTCCCTCTGGTTGTTTTTCTGCATTTTATCGGTATCGCAGCAATCTTGTTCGTACACCAACGATGGATCAGGAATTTGAAAACGCTCGATTAGCAAATCCAACAGGTCGGTGGGAGAGCAAAAACTCCGGTAAGTAGTGAGGAAAGTGCGCACGAACTTCGGATCAGCGTAAATGTGATAGGTCAGTCTTTCCACCAGCTTGTACAAAGTCGCCCCCTGAAAATTGCATGAGTGCTACCGAATGTATGTCTAGAGAAAATGTGATCAGCCCCAAAACCGATCCTTGAGGCATACCAAACTTTTTATATGCTGATAAATGATAGATTGTCTAAATTTGTACTAACTTTTATCAAGGGTACACCTCCGTTTTCCCTCTGTTCCAAGATGATGTTGTCCTTGGAATCAGGTTCGGCAAACTTGTACAATTCAGGTGGGGGCAATTTCAAGGGGTGCTTCCTCTCAATGTCCGATAAAATACTGTCCAAAACTCTCTCCAACATCGATCTATAAATGTTGCCAACTATTACCATACAGAAACAATTGAAATTTGGAAAAAGTTTGTATGTAAACAAATTCTCTGAGGTATAGGCGAGTTTCATGCAAGTTTCTCGTGAATTTCATTTGAATTTATGTGTATATCGGATTCTCATTGGAAGAGGCGTAATTAAATCACATTGAAATCAAACCACCGCTGGTGAGCAGACCTGATAGTTGTATTGATCAAAATCTGAATGACCAGGTGAATCGCATTACAACTAATAAACAAGATACCAACACCAATCACCACAAGGGTACAAGGTTCTATGATAGGAAGCGTATTCAAAATTGAATTGGGAAAAGAACAAGCAATCCGAGCCCGTTAATAACTGCTCTACTCATCTTTTCTAATCCTCACCACAGGCCCCGTTTCACTCAACAAGTCAAGTGGTCCCCAAAACGACCATCACATGAACAGTTCATGTTGACTCAAGATAGTAAAATTAGTAAGGGATGCAGTTTCTTTCCAATACTGATAATTTAAATCTAACGGCGCCGACATTTATATCACGTTAATTTTCAGTAGTATTCTAGGGTTTCAAGTAGGTTTTAGCTGAGTTTCACGTGAATTTCATGTCCATTTCTTGTGAATTATAGGCATCTTTCACGTAAATTGATGTGAATCTCGCGTACATCTGACGTAGGTTTCGGCAAGTATCACGAGAATATCATCTTCATTTCACAACGTGAAATACAGATAAATATCACCTAGTTTCAAGTAAATATAATGCAAGATATCACGTTCGTGTCATGTGAGTTTCACGTGCGGTTTACTGAAGTTTTACCGTGTCACATAAGTTTCACATTGTTTTCAGATCAATCACTCAGGTTTCACGTAAATTTCAATCAAGTTTCACGTCAATTTCATGGTATTATCCTGTGAGAGGTACGCTAGTTTCATGTGCCACGTTGATTTCACGTAAATTTCACTTGAAATACACAAAAGTTTCACCTTGAGTTTCAAGTAAATTTCTTGTGAGTGTCATGCGAGTTTCTCGAGCTGTTTACTCAAGTTCACGTGTCACGTTGATCACGTAGATTTCACGAAAATTTCATTCTTGAAGTTTCAAGTAAATTTCATGTGATTATCCCGTGGGAGTCCCGCTAGTTTCATATCACGTAGATTTCACGTAGATTTATGCTAGTTTCACGTCAATTTATATTAGTTTCACGTAGCTTAATGCTAGTTTCACATATACAGTGTGACCCACTTCTAATGGAAACACTCCTGTATCTTACGTAATCGTTGGGTAAGGATCCTGAAATTTGCTGGAGCGAGAGATATACCAAAAATGCACTCTATGACTAAGTGGGGTCATCTTCAGTGATATACACTGCTCGCCAACAGCCATGGAAACACCCCGCTTTCCGGAAAATGATATTAGGAGTCTAAATATGTCGAAAATCACTTCAGATTCGGAATCAGGACGCCCAATTCACTTACTATTCATATTTTTCCTGGAAAATTTTCAGTTCAGAAAAATCAAATTATGTCTTACCTCTCATACAAGCACCCCCGTATCTCACGTAATTATTGAGGTAGGGATCTGAAATTTGCAGGAGGAAGGTAAAGTCCAAAGATGAAGTCAATTAGGTACAGAGGTGTTTCCATTAGAAGTGAGTCACACACGTAAATTTCAGGTTAGTTTCACGTAAATTTCAGGTCGGTTCCACGTTAGTACATACGCATACCTGTTGTTCAGCATCACCAAATCCGCCATCCAAGAATTCTTCTCCTCGGCCGTTTTGGCGCACAGTATCACCGACGGCATCTGCCTGGGCGATATCTCGAACGCGTTCCTGATCTCCTCCGTGTCCTGGTGGTCGATGATCTCCACCCTTCGGACGAAGAACCGCTCTTTGAGCCGGCACTCCGGATGGCTCTGGTGCACGGAGCTCTGTCTTCTCGAGTTGCTTTGCTTGCAGAGGATCATGAGGCCGTCGAAGAGGAAGACGCGTCGCTCGGTGAGCCGTCGGTTTGGACTGACCTTAGAATTGAATAGAAGAATTTTGTTTAGTACTTGTATAACCCTATACGTGTCTGTGAAAGGTTGGGACATGGCTCGGCTGTGGACTCCTGGGATAAAAACAAGTTGGTTTAGGCCAACTTACCTATATCCAAAATCGTCTCGTTGTGTTGGTACAAGGCGTTGTAGTTTTTTTTGAAAAAAAAATGTTGCTCTTTAATAGAGTGAGCTGAGATCGATTTCTGTAATTTTTGGCATGGCATGTTCTGTGATTGTAAGTCACGTTTTGAGATGTTTTTGATTATCATCAGTGACCTGCAAGTTTCAACAACCATGTTGCCGTACAAATTTGGTGATAACTTTTCAGAGGTCGGACTGGCAACTTCCAGTTTTTTTTTTCAAGAAAGATATTCTCTTCAGAAATATTTCTTGTATCGTGTTAATTTTTGATAAGTCTCGAGGTTCATTTACAAATAAATTTAGCTTAATTTACGTTCTTTCTATATCAAAAAGTATATTGATATAGTTACTTGAACTGCAAACCCCATACGTCTGCAGTTCAAAGAGACACTAAAGCTCGACCAGCTCAGAGCTCGATAGATGAAAGTGGAGCAAGTTATTAGGCATGTTTGTCGTAAATTTCACGACAGCGCGTCCGCTGGAAGGTCAAATAGCTATTTGTGTATTTAGAGCGCAAAGTGATAGATTGCCGCTCGACAAAGAAAGTTACCGCGTGATGCGGAGCGGAGCGCGGTAATCTTTGGAGAGCGGCAATAACACTTTGTGCTCGAAATACACACAAGATTTTTTCTACTAACGCAGCTTTTGGAAATAACTGCCCTGGAAGTATGAGCGATTGAAATAGTTGAACAAGTTCTTATCAATATTATCCCATATGTCCAAAGGAAACAAAAAAAGAAAAATTGAAATAACTGACAAACCAGAAAAAAAATGTCGGGCCCACCGAGAATTAAAATTGGACCACCAGCGTGGCAACCTGAGCTTCACACCTCTGAGCCATAGTACGATAAACTCTGAAATCAAATTGAACATTACTCATCGATGCAATAAAATAAAGATACACTGTCTTTCTGATGACAAAAAAGAGTTTAAATATAAAGTATAATTCATCGCTTTCAACAGATATGCTTCATCGGGAGCTTCTTGTAGAAATTTGTTGGTATACATATGTCTTCAGTGGTGAATGATTTGGATTTTTCTCGCTTTATATCCAATAGATTATTTCTTGAGAAATGCGATAAGTTTCAGATACTTATTGATTCCGATATTATTTTTAACATTTAAGCATGTATACGTACCATCGAATATATACAGGGTGTAACTGAATAAGTGTAAAACATTTGAGGAGGTGATTCCTCATCGAAAAAAAGATAGGATCTTTCATATAAATAAACTTCATTGGAGCATCCCTTGTTAAGATACAGCCCCTTAAAGGGGGTACATAAAATTTGTATAACAATTTTTTTCACAAGCACTGAAAAAGTTACAATATTGAAATTAACCTGACAGCGTCATACCAATTTAATTGTCACTATCGCTAATAGCGACCTACTAGATAGATTAGTTTCGTATTTTCGCATTTATGACGATGTATCTCTGTAGTTGTTCGTAAAATAATGTTTTGCTGCTTACTGGTTTATTTTGGGCAAAAAACCCAAGAGACATTTTTTGTTTAGAATGAAACAGGCTATCGGAAATAAATTTTTAAATGGTAAACAAATAATAAGACAAAAAGTTACATTGGAAATAAATTTTAGGGGTTGCGTTTTTCACCCCTTACAACCATGGGGTAAACCAAATAAATTACTGGCTAAGTGTCTTTTTGGTAGTACAAAACGTCAGGTTAATTTCAATATTGTAACTTTTTCAGTGTTTGTGAAAAAAATTGTTATACAAATTTTATGTACCCCCTTTAAGGGGCTGTATCTTAACAAGGGATGCTCCAATGAAGTTTCTTTATATGAAAGATCCTATCTTTTTTTCGATGAGGAATCATCTCCTTAAATGTTTTACACTTATTCAGTTACACCCTGTATAGACCAATGAGTTGATGACTTCAAAGTCTTTGATTTTTTACCAAAATAAACCAGTAAAACGTTTTCTGAATACATATTCACCATCTCGGAGTGGCACCAATTTATGAATGTATCATATTGTAATTCATATTTCTTCCTTCATTTCTCCGGTAAGAGATTCAAACTCTTGCGCTTTCTGCTATATCAGGAGGTGTGTTTGATGATTCACTGTCACTATTTTCCATCATGAAAGAATTGGGGGTTTTCAAGAATAGATAAGTATAGGTTACAGAGATGTGCGAGCGTTTTTTCAATATTTCCGCTCACGAGCGCAAATGCTGTCAAAGAATGACATGTCTGGGAAAACGTCAACTTTGTGCTGGAATTTGAAAGCGTCAAAGGCTACTTTGGTAAGCGTTTGTTGGAAAAATCGTTTTCCGGTCTGAGAAGCATGTGCGAGGAGGTATATAGGTATTATAGCTCCTGCCTACTAACTACCTAACTAGGTTGTCATCTAGAACGACAATGACCGTTCGTACTCTCACCTTGACCAGAACGTCTTCACGCACGAACTCGTTGCAGCATTGGCCGAGGTCCTTGGAGTCCCAATTCTCGACGACCTTCTCCAGCTCGTGGATTTTGATGAGGGCAGCTTGTCGTCTCGCCCTGGCTTGCGGCAGGGGCGCCAGACTGCGCGGCAGGGATTGAGCGGGGGCGCAATTTCCTGTCGATTGGGTATACCGGGTGACACAGCGAACATGTAACAGCCTGTAGTTTTTTTATTTGAAGAGATAAAAATTTGAAATTCACAAGGGTTATATTATCGATAATGGCGCTTCCTTTGAACCCAATGACAATTTTCTTCAACCACCTGTTTGATCGGAAAGAGACCCAACTTTTTTTTTCCCAATGGCACCCTGTAAATTTCTGTAGCCTATCTTATATGCCATGATATTCTCTGTTCAACTATGTATCACAATTCGATATTCGTTCTTTATTTGGCTGTTAAATTGCATTTTATTGAAATACATGAAGTTGGCTGTGGCCCGAATGCAATTACATTTCGTTGCTTGATAGGCTTAGAAATCCAAAGATCAGTACTGAGACGATATTACCAGAATATTTTCCATACCCTGATCGGTCCCAGAAGATTGTTTATAATTTCATTGAGTTTAAAAAAAAATCATCCGAAAATAACTCACGATATTGAGAAAACTAAGATAGGAACTCACGTTTTTTTCATTTGGCTAATTGTGAAGGGACTATTTGTCTTTCATTTTTGCCATGTAGCCATAATATGATCATCCATTTGGATACATGAAACTGAAATTGTAATCATTGATGTATCGTCTTAATATCGTGAGTTATTTTCGGATGATTTTTTTAAACTCAATGAAATCATTGGGGACCGATTAGGGTATGGAAAATATTCTGATAATATTTTCTAAGTGATGATCTTTGGATTTCTAAGCCTATACAGCATCGAAATGTCATTGTATTCGGGCCACAACCAAAATCATGTATTTCAATAAAATGCAATTTAACAGCCAATCAATGAACCACTATGAAATTGTGATACAAAGTTGAATAGAGAATTTCAAGGCAAAGAAGATAGACTACAGAAATATACAGGGTGCCATTTGAAACAAAAGTTGGGTCTACTTCCAATCAAACAGGTGGTTGAAAAAAATTGTTGTTGGGTTCAAGGGAAGCGACATCATCGATGATATAACCCTTGTGAATTCCAAATTTTTATCTCTTCAACTAAAAAAACTACAGGCTGGTACATGTCGCCTTTGTCACCCGGTATTACATGAACCGGGGCAACTTTGTGACTTGGGTTTTACTTTGGTACACCTGGTTATTTTCACACACTGTACTTTAAAAGAATCTTCAAGCAATAAACATGACAACTTTTGGTATTCAGTCTTGTTTCTAAAATAATGATAAAAAATGAGCTTGGCAGCATTGCATATGCTCTGACAGCAGCGATGAATATTCAAGCTTAAAAGGTCTCAACACGCATAAATGATATTACAAAACAAACCAGCACCCAAAATATATCAACTTTGTTTACATGAAATATGGTACATGTCCCAAAGGTAGACTAGGGACATTATATTATTTAAAAACCGTGGTGTACCAAAGTTATACTGGTCCAAATTTTTTACAAACTTCGCTAATCTCTTTCAGAAATAATAATGCCTGGAATGCGGCATGACCCAACGTCTACTTGGTGCCAGAAGATATTTTATAGCAACAAAATTATAATAATGGCAATAAAAACATCTGAACGTTCTGGACATGGAAAAGTTTTCGATGTTCATGAATTAAAAGATTTTGTTCAAGAAAAAAAGCGATTTTAGAATAGCTTTTGTTTGATTTCAGAATTAGGCCCTATTTGAAGCATTATATCCTTCTTATAAAAAAAACGAAGAAATGTTTCTTTGAATATTCATCTTTAAATGATTTGAAATCGTAAAATATTTGTTGTATGTTATGTAGCATGAAAGCTTCTCATGACATTTTTAATCCAGTTCTTCTTTCTACTAGGATATATGAAAAATTGCAAAAATATTTGTTTGTTCACCATTTCATTTCTCTTTGTTCTGCAATGACTATCCCCAGGACAGAGGCTCATAACATTGAAATTCTCATATAAAAAGCCACTGTACCAAAGTTACTCCAAATGTCGGGTAACATTGGGTCATTGGGACACTTCTAAGTCCAAATATATCAACTAACAAAATGGATAAATGATGTACTAATACATACTTTGGGGTGTTGATACATCCCCATTCAATAATCAAAACACAGTTATTTTTACAAATTCTAGTTTTATTTGAGAAAAACGAGAAAAGCTGTACCAAACAACCCCGGTTCACGTTAACTCTGGATTTCACGAAAAATCAGCTAGATGCTAGATCGTAGGAGATGGAAATTCATGAAAACCTAGTGGGTGAGGTATGGTATTTTCCATTCACGGGATGACTCGAGATAGAAAGAAAGTGTCCAAACACTCACCGAGGGCGATCTGCAAGGGCTTCAACAGCCCCTCGACTTGCGTCAAAGTTTCCCTATCCTCCGAGGAGGGCGACAAACCTCGCAGCAGCTTGACGTAGTCCAGATATGAGAAGCAGTGCCAGATGGGGCCCATCAGCAGGGCTGGCAGGTAGTATCTAAAGGCGAAGCAGAACACCAGTAAATTATGGGATGCCTTATGGGGTTTGTTCAATTTTATAACTATTATTGTTCACCCTTTATATACACAGTTGGTGATGTTGTCATGAATACTACTGAATTTTGTCAGACAATTGAGAAATGAATACAGATACTTCAATGTCAGACTAAAATATAAATAATATATAATTTCGTTTTTAAACTATGATATGATCCGGCTCGAAGGACCATGTAGGATTTTGCCTACAGAAATATGGGGCTGGTTTCCACTTGATACAGCTAGTTTAGTAGTTTGAAAACGAAATGATATATTTTTGATATTTTAGTCTGACATTGAAGGTTCTTTATTAATTTCTCAATTGTATAAAAAAATTCTGTAGTATTCATGACTGTTGAATAATCAGCAAAGTCATTGATGGTATACCAGGACATCTTGTTTGTGAAACTCAATTGGCCGCAGAGGTTGACGAAAACTCTAATCCTGAAATTTTGGGAATGATATAGAATCCTTCAAAATGAAATTCCATAAAATACCAACAGAAATACAGAATGGAACGAAAGTACCCACAAAAAGAGAAGTACTGAAAACAGCAATGTCTTTATATGATCCGATAGGTATGCTTTCGGAGATTGTAATAAAAGTTAAAATTCTCGTTCAGAAGATATGGCGTTCCGGTTTAGGCTGGGATGACTAAATCACTGAAAATATCTACAAGAAATGGTTGAATTGGCTCAAAGAACTGAGAGAAGTGATGGAACTGGAATCTCCTCGAGGCTACTCTAAACAGTTGAATGCAGCTACATTCATAAAACTCCATGTATTTTCAGATGCCAGTGAAGACGCCTATGCAACAGCTATTTATCTACGAATGGAAATATAGAATCGGCTTGTTCGAAATATACTGGTGAGATCCGACTTGAAGGACCACTCTTATTGTTGAATAATCAGTATTCAATGGTAACATATGGAAGATATCATAACTTTGACTTCTATAAAAATATATCATGACAAGTAACTGAAGTAACAAATAACAACTACTAAAAGGAAGCGTATCATCATGGCAATCTTTAGTTTTATTCAACAATGACAACATCACCAATTGTGTAAATTATACAGGGTTAGTCAGGTGCTTTTTCGATTTTTTATACTTATGTAGAATTAGTGATCGACATTATTATGGTACAAACGGAATTAGGAACAGACATACAATTAACAAAAAAGTAAATGTATGTCTGTTCCTAATTCCGTTTGTACCATAATAATATCGTCGATCACTAATTTTTTGACCTTTTTTTTATCTACACTTTCGGATTTGTTTTTTGAAATTTTCATAAACATTACTTACTTGTATGGCTCATTAGCTGAAAGCGCTTTGCGATTTCATAATAAATTTTACACGAAATACAAAATCTCTTCATTCTATTGATCAGTTACGTGTATGAAGCTAGTACAGATCTTCACCTTACTTCATTAATGACAATGTATGGGTTGCGTGCAAGAACTGTCAGATGCCCTGGAGGCACAACATTGTACAATGCACAAAAACTGCAGTGGAAGACGAAGGAATCCGGTTGGTACATTATGATTTGAAAGTAAGTACCTACTTTAGTCCCTCACATACTTATAGTTTTCATTTTTGAAATTTGGTGATTTGTCTGATTTCCCATCGGAATTCCTTCTGCAATAGGACCTAATAGGAATACTCGTGAAATTTCTAAAATAATGCAAGAAGATTGGATTCATGCAATCAAACGGGAGGACTGGTCTGACATGCTGACAAAATATGATCCCGTGTGTTGTAGACATTTTCAATCTATTAGCAGTATCAGCTTGTATTGCAGAAGTGGCAGAAGGAATTTTGATAAGGAATGACAACATTCCATAATGAAAACTATGTGAGATTACTATTTACCTGAAAAGTTATATTCCTTCGTCTCCCGCTGCATTTTTTGTGCATTGTACAACAGCACAATGCGAAGGCATGCTTGAATTGATGAATAGAGCAAAAAACACGAATTGTATGCCAAAATATTGTGAAAAACTATTTCAATCATTTGATTCTTCTGTAAACAAGTAAAAAAAGTGAGGTTGTGTTTCAATGTTTCACAGAAGAGTGAGGTTGTGTTTCAATATTTTGCCTCCAGGGTCGGTCGTCGGTCATTGTGCAGGCGACCTCTAGATATGAGTGTTCATGTATGTTGTACCTGAGAGCGAGCGGCATCCCCTGTCCGGCCGTACACAGGGCGCTCTGGACGTCGGGGCGGCCCAGCAACAGGTTGAGCGTATCTCGGCAGGTGGGGGTCGTCACGTCGCGCGAGTACTTGATGTACACGTCGAATTCGGCGGCTTCGGCCAGTTCTGCGCATAGTAAACGGTAGTCACTGGATAGTATTAGGGTCACTTGATGGAAATTGACGTTAAAATCATCTCAACAGGGTACGGACAGATCCTCGTCTCCTCTCACTCTAAAGTGTTTGTGAAACAGTCAGGGTTGGCACGAATTAGTTCATATGAATTAAGTCAGTGATTTAATTCGTGAATGAATTCAAATGACTTTTTTCAAATGAGTCGTGAATTAATTCAAAATTTATCAAATGGGAACAAATCGCATTATTACCTTCAATTTAAACTAGTTTAAAATGAAATATCCGATGACATCTGACAACTGACAACCTTGAAGCACCACACGCGGAAAATTTGCTAAGAGCCGCTTTACAGTTTACAATATTTCATTGCATGCAATTGACTGCTCCAATTCATATTTTCGGCAAAAACAATATGTAGGCTTTTCAACACTGAATCGGAATTACCGGCTTGCAATGTCTTTTTGTCATAGATTCTGTGTATTACTTCTCACCGAGTTTTGAGTTGAGTCAGGAGTTGGGTAGAAGAAACCATGAGAAAGGCAAGAAAAGTAAGATCCAATGTGTATCTAATGATACGTGAAATTCTAACATGTCACCACTAGAACTGCATCAGTAATACAAATTACCACAATATAAATAAATATGTCCGGACTCAGTTCTTGCAATGCATCGAAAAATTGCTTTCCAAGGTGACACCAATCCGTAGGCGCGCCATGGATATTGCTGCATTTTATTGAAAATAACTGTAAAGAGCCTCTATAATGAAGATTGTGAATGAGTAATATAATTTGCATAAACATCATTTTTCATTCAATCAATAGTCTCAGTTTATATTGCAAAAATTGTATATTCTAAGTATTTTATTGTCACGCTTTGAGATTTTTAACGGACATAAAAACTTAGTTTTTTCGATGTTCTTGTATTTTGTCAAGTAAATAGAATTTGATTTGTTCTCAAATGAATTAATTCAAAAAAGTAGGGAACATATTAATTGTACTGCAAGCTTAATATATTTCACCAAAAGAGACTGTTCTTAGACTGTATACCAGGGTTGACTAAATTGACTAAATAAATTCTGATTTCAAGCTGAGCAGAAGGATATTCCTAGATAGTTCAGCAACTTGCAGAGAGATGGACTGGAGCAGCTGTCGAGAGTATGGACAAATCGGCCATATTTTACTGAGTTTTGCTAGCGCCGTCTACGAACCAGGCAAAAACTAAGAGCAAATTTTTGGCTTAATCAAGTAATCAAGGATATCATACTGTTTTCATGTGTTTATAGTGATGATTCTAGAAGAATATTGTTTGTAATTAATTTGATTTGATGACCAAGATCATCTCACCTTCGAAGCAACTTCCGATGTACGGCATTTGCTCCTGCGCCATTTCGATCACGTCCTCCAAGCTTCCCGACAACGTATAAGTCAGTTCGTAGATGTCCATTATGTTCGAGAAGATTTTCTCGATGTCCTGAGGTCCTGGTTTCAATTTGATTATTTCCTCCCTACAATACCACCACAGAAAATACAGACTCGCAAGACAATAAACAAATACAGAATATGGAACTCTTAAAAATAGACAAAATAACCAAAAATACACCATATAAAAGTTGCAACATAACGAAGTTCAAAAACTAACTGATAGAATTGACCCTATTACGGTCCTGGTATATTTACTATTTCGGGTCGGTCAAATCATGGCTAAGTTGCGCAATTTTATGCCTAACAATATGCTGTTTTAAAATTTGGTCAATTCCAAATACTTTCGGAGAGATACGAAAAAAAACGACCTGTTTTATGTTTTTTTTTTTTCAAATTATTTGAAGAAATTATTCGAAAATGAATGACAATTTACCATCGCCACATTTTCCCTACAAGTTGGCATTGTGATATCATAGCTTTTGGGAAATCTCTAGAAAGGCGGAACTCAGTATGCCCGATATTGTAATGTCTAGCTCCACCATCCCCACCAAGCCCACCATATCTATGCTCGGTATTTCCATCAGCAACACTCTTTCATGGGATAATCATGTCAGATCCATCGCAAAAGCTGCTTCACAAAAACTCGGATTCTTGTTCCGTGCGAAAAGCTACTTTACACCTCAACAGCTTCTCATGATTTACAAAGCGCAATTACGGCCTGTTCTAGAATACTGTTCCCACATATGGGGTTCAGCACCAAAACATACGATGATGCTCTTAGATTCCATCCAGAGAAGAGCCATTCGCCTGGTGGGTGACGCCGCACTCACTCACTCTTTGACATCATTGGAACACCGTAGAAAGGTCGGCGACCTTTCACTTTTCTATCGATACTTCCACGGGAAATGTTCTTCGGGAATCTCTGCTATCATCCCTTCACTAGCAATGCCAATCAGACGAACTAGACAAGCCCAGTCAGCACATCCTTTCGTTGTCAACCTCGAAAGATGTCGAACAGCACTTTATCAAGACTCCTTCATCCATAGAACGGCTAGGCTCTGGAATTCATTGCCTGTGGCAGTATTCCCAACAACATATAATCTCCAAAAGTTCAAAAAAAAATTCAATACCTACCTCCTGTCCCTATCCTACCTAGGAACGCACGATGTTCTCTGATCATTATAGGGATTCCCTTTCGTGCGCTCGAAGCAATAAAAAAAATCTAAAGGTGTGAAAAAATGAAATAAAAATTCCAGGTCCGCATTTAAAAAAAAGTTATGGTTACTGCAGGACGAGACGTTGGATTTCGACTTGTAAGAAAGAAAGAGTTACCTAGATGAAGTGTTATTTACTTCGATGAATTTCTTCAAATAACTTATGAAAAAAATGAGGATTCAGGAGATTTCGGTTTTCTTCGAATATCTCAGAAAGTATTCGGAATTTTACAAGTTTAACCGACCCTGCATCTCCAACGGTTTACGACATTCCAATGATCAGGCTCCAATTCCAGCCACCCTTCACAAACGAAATGCTGCTGCTGCTGCACTTTGGCGACTCTCACCATAATTCAAAAGCATGTAAGAAAGTTTATTATGTTCGAAAAAGTGCTACATTGTTTGACAATGCACAAAAAAACAATTGAGAAAGAGGATCCGATGACTAGCGCTGGAAAACCAAATTCTACTATGGACTTTAGACGGTAGTAGGGGGACAGGTGATCAGTCGGGTAATCACCGAACAGATATTGGTGCCGCCAGGACCGTAATGATATTCAAATTGATTAAATATCTGTTATTATGCGACTTCTATCAGGGCGATATTTGGTGGATCTGTATAGTTCAATGAATTTCACATCCTCTCAAAAAATACTTTACTTTTGAAGAGGTATTTTCAAACGTGAGGCATCTTTTTCGATACGATGTAGAGGACATAAAAATAAACGAAAGGTGACAACTTATTATTTTTTATAAACAGGGTCTTAACATCATCATTTCTATTGGTGAGTCCTCAAACTTCGATAACATGCAACTATGATGAAAACTATTCTTGATTAAATGGTTAATTTCATAGAATTCTACATCCTGTTGAAGAAGATGCACCACCTTAATACCTATGTATATACATTTACTCAAAATCATTCACCTGAACACTTTGATTAACATGTGCAACTCTTTCAGATAGGCCTTCTCAGAGGCAATCAGTTCTCTGACCACTTCTTCGTAGGTCAAACTAGTGCGTGGGGCAGCCTGCACCACGACAGGGGTCTCGTTCAAACTTGTCGCTCCTCCACCTTCGTCTTGATAGAACATGTCCATGAGAGCCTAAAAGAGGGATGGTCTGAAGCGGTGTCGTTTTTTGTTGCTTCTGACGAATAATATGTGCATTTGAAGTACTTCAAGCACCTCGGGAAAGCACAAATGTATACCTATTCGAAATAGCAAATAAAGATAATGGGGAAGTTTCCAATATTTAGGTTTTTATCTCACTGTGAAGTTTGTAAAAATGTAAAATATACAGGGTATTAATTAATTGACTGCCGATAATAGGTGTGAATCCTCGGGTGATTTTAAGGAAAAAAGTTTATATCAACATAATGTCCTATTCCTCTTAGTGTTTGAGCTACAGGGTGTTGAACTCAGAGGCGTAGTTTTTTTTTTTTTCAAATAAAAACATTCAATATCAGGCATACGTGAACATCACTGGTAAAGGTAAAGAATTGACTTTCGTCCCAAAAGGAAATCCACTCATAGTGAGTGCCCTTGTTAGTTGGCTGAAGAAAAAAAGTTTGGTTTTTATTTTTTTACGCGAAAACGGTACGCCGTATGAAAGTAAGTCTAGGAATGAAATTTATTCCAAAATTAATGGGGATTTCAAAAATAATTTTGGTTTAAAAAAAACAGTGGCGTACAATTTTATTTCTTCAAAAATTGTTAGTTCAAACCCACTGGTAAACATTTTCAAAAATCTTAAAATCTCTTACGTCAAAAAATGATCCTTGATAAGGAAAAGGTGAATACACAATTTGATAAAAAGTCTGAGAGTGATGAAACATTATGATAAAAACACATTTTTTTATTGAAATTTCAAGACCCTGTAGCTCCCAAACTAAGAGGTTTGGGACATATGTTGATATGAATTTTTCTCCTCAAAATCACCCGAGGATGCACACCTTGCATTATCGGCACTCAATTAATTAACACCCTGTATGCGTTTTTTTTTTCCAAGATCAAATTTGGTGAAATTTCACTTTAGACAAAAAAAAAAGGAATAGGAACTTGGCTCCTTCACCATTCCTATGACGTATTTGTACATAAAACTGCGGAGTTCCGAACTTATTAGTTATTTTTATGATAATTCACCTGAAGGAAACTTCCCCATTGAATGAAGTAAACTTATGTACTAGGATGCCAGTAAGAGATTTTTTATACCAGCCAGATTTGGCCGTAATGCAAAATGTGAAAGCAAAAACTCGGCGAGAATAAAAATGTTTGTACATGATGACTACCAATGGTAGACGCAATTTCATGGACTACTACCTATCCACTAAAAGCCATACCAAATGGCATAAAAATATCTTGAGAAGTATTTGGAGAACTTCATTATCTTGAAGCTCATGAATAGTTTGTTCTAAGAAATACATGTTTGTTGAGAATTGTTTGTCTTTATATTTTTCCTCATACGAAAAAATGAGCATGGGTTGTGAATTTGATTCAAGGACGATGCATTTTAAAAAAATATATAGTTTCAGTGCAAGTATCGGCATATTACAAGTGCTGAAAATAGTGCCCAATAGAAAAACGATCAAAAACAAATAAAACAGAGAGAGCAAACGAAAATAATTCAGGCAGCTAGCAACAGAAAAAAAGCAATGAGAAATTATTGTAGAGTAGTTCAAAATCAGAATGTTTTCCATACTTACTATTCAAATGTTCAATTGAATAAGAAATACTTTCAAAAAAAGGCACATACAAAAAACATTCTGGTTTGGTATAGGAACTAACATGAAACTGGAAAACAATTAAGAATACAAAAACAGGTAGTATCAAGTCAAAATAACGAACAAATACCCACTATACTAAAAATATTTACAAATCAGGAAACTAGTAAAGATGATCCCAATGGAAAATAAAATCCTACGTACCATGGATGTGGGCTGAATGGCAGCGTGAAAAAGCAAAAAGCAATTTTGAGTAACAAAGACAGCTAAACAGCATTTATTTTCATTTCTAAAAGGTGGTTCAAGATTCAGAATTCTGATCACCCTGTATCTATTCCGATTAAATATCAGTAAACAGTAAATCAAAAGTTGAGATATGGACATGTGAGCCATTTTGCCCGATAATGAATAGTTTCGACACAAACAAATCCTAAAGTTGAAAAATCTCGATTTTGAACACCCTATATCTCTGTTATCATTTCCGATAGACCCCAAGTGTGATGTATCGATGAAATCAGCTCTTCAGGGAGAATATAAAAATGCAATAAAATACAGGGTATTCTATTTTAAATAACAAAGTTGTTGCTACTTTTTGATAGAAGCGGCAACACTGCATTGCCGAAAAATATTTTAACCTTTTCGCGACGGGGTTCGTTTGGCGCGCGTGAGCCGCCACAACGGGGTTCGAAAGCGCGTTCGCATTTATGCGGGTCCCGTTGTTTGAGCCATTTTCAGAAAATATTTCGCAATGATACATAATGAGAAAAACTCAATTTGATTTATAATTTTGAACGCGAACAAGCCTATCAGTAAACAGTGAACACAATACAGAATGCCTAGTGGACGGAGGCCGCTTCCACCCGCTTCCGGTCGTTGTAACATGTGTTGTTATCCGATCATAGACAACGTCAGAAGTGTACGAGAATCCCCGACCAAAACCATCTAAAGAGTACTAAAGACGATGCAAATGAAGGGGATGAGACGATAACGCGCGGTTCCCGTCGTTAGAACACTTCTCCGGTCGATTGAAAATATGCGGCTCCCGTGTATCAGATGCTTCAGTGAAATACGCATATATGCGTTTCCCGTCGCGAAAGGGTTAAATGAAGAGAGCGTATTCTAAAATATAAGCATGCATATTTTCATGGATTTCTCCCGACTGAATCTCGATATAGCTCGTTGTGACATACCCAAACCGAGTAAACTATCCGGCTTTGAAAAACAAAAAGGGAAATTATACAAGGGAAAAATCTAATATTTTTCCCGTGTAAAGTACACTATTTTTTTCTGTGACAGAAGACAGGACGAATCAATATTGAGAAGATATTACATTATTTTGATATCTGAACATTATCGACGTGAAATTTTAAGTTTTTAACAGTAGGGACACCTGCGTTGTAGATGGTTGTAGGCATCTTTATCATTCTTTTGAAGTAATGAAATATATGATGTCACTTCTGTCAGTCTAATTTTGTGATTTGATTTCAAAAAATTGCGAATTTAGTGGTTGTTTAGTAATATACGTAACCGCGAAGTCGAATGGAAGATAAAAGGACTTGCAGTTCTTTCTCGGAGACGGTATTATTGACTCATTTTTCGGAACTATAGCACAACAAAATCCATCAACAGTGTATATATACAGTGTGACCCATTTAAGATGGAAGCACCCTTATAAAACTTACATTTTTCAACCGATTGGAATGATTTTTTTTTTGTTAGGTAGATATTCAAAAAGTCTATCAGGACACCAAATATCATGAATAAATCTCCATTTCCAGGGCCAACTAATCTGATTTTTCAAGGTCAAAAATCTAAAAAAATTACTAGCGATTTTTTAGAAAAAATCTGACTACACCGCTGGATTTGTGACATTTTCAAATGGGTAACATGTGAATTACGTTGAAATGCGTCTATCAATAAAAAAGTTATAAAGGAATGAAATTTGAAAAATATGCCGTTTAATCAACCCACCAATTCATGTTCAGGGTATCCCAATTTGGGCACTTTTGCGGGGTATCTCCCTTATCAGTAAAGATAGAGCATTGCGGTTTTCGCGACAGTGTGTTACTTTTTTATGAAATTAATAATGGAGCAAGCAGAATTGTGATAGCTCTTCCGGTTGTCGAGATACAGGGTGGAATTGAAAAATATCACTTTTCAGGCACCCTCCGTGTCTCAGTTATCTTTGAACTTATCGAAGAAGTTAAAACTTGTTTTTATAGAGTTTTTCTCGTAGAATCCAGTGGCGTAGTTATTTTTTCGCTAGCACCTTTTGTTTTTTAGTTATGGAGCAAACATATGTTTTTTTAAATGGAACACCCTGTATATTATTTCATATATACATTGAGCATGAAGTGGGCTTTCCAAAAATATATAATTGTATACAATTATTTTCAAAAACAAGCTCAGAATTTCAGATTTTCAAAAAAAAAATTTTAGGTAGAAGGATATGGCTAAAATTTATTGAAAACAAAATTTATGTGAGTGATTATTATACTTCTTATACTTTCAAACTCAATTCAAATAATATTTTTTGATTTCTCATTCCTTAATTATTTATTACATCATTCAAACTTAATTATTATGATGAATAACAACAAACACCAAACATATTTTACTTAAGATTCAACGTAGAAAAAAGCAAATGAAAGCAGAATTTTGAAAATGCCAATTTTGTATACGGGAAAATGGTCGTCATTTTGAAAACCACCTATGAAACCTTTTTGCATTTTCAAAATTCTGCTTTCATTTGCTTTTTTGTACGTTGAATCTTAAGTAAAATATGTTTGGTGTTTGTTGTTATTCATCATAATAATTATGTTTGAATGATGTAATAAATAATTAAGGAATGAGAAATCGAAAAATATTATTTGAATTGAGTTTGAAAGTATAAGAAGTATAATAATCACTCACATAAATTTTGTTTTCAATAAAGTTTAGCCATATCCTTCTACCTAAAATTTTTTTTTTGAAAATCTGAAATTCTGAGCTTGTTTTTGAAAATAATTGTATACAATTATATATTTTTGGAAAGCCCACTTCATGCTCAATGTATATATGAAATAATATACAGGGTGTTCCATTTAAAAAAACATATGTTCGCTCCATAACTAAAAAACAAAAGGTGCTAGCGAAAAAATAACTACGCCACTGGATTCTACGAGAAAAACTCTATAAAAACAAGTTTTAACTTCTTCGATAAGTTCAAAGATAACTGAGACACGGAGGGTGCCTGAAAAGTGATATTTTTCAATTCCACCCTGTATCTCGACAACCGGAAGAGCTATCACAATTCTGCTTGCGCCATTATTAATTTCATAAAAAAGTAACACACTGTCGCGAAAACCGCAATGCTCTATCTTTACTGATAAGGGAGATACCCCGCAAAAGTGCCCAAATTGGGATACCCTGTTCAGGAAATTTATGAAAATTCTGTATACTCCACTGGATTCAGGATGTCTTGAAATATTACTGATTACAGGTTTCATCGAAATCTGTTCGGTAATAAAAATTGATGGGTTGATTAAACGGCATATTTTTCAAATTTCATTCCTTTATAACTTTTTTATTGATTGACGCATTTCAACGTAATTTACATGTTACCCATTTGAAAATGTCACAAATCCAGTGGTGTAGTCAGATTTTTTCTAAAAAAATCGCTAGTAATTTTTTTAGATTTTTGACCTTGAAAAATCAGATTAGTTGGCCCTGGAAATGGAGATTTATTCATGATATTTGGTGTCCTAATAGACTTTTTGAATATCTACCTAACAAAAAAAAATCATTCCAATCGGTTGAATAATGTAAGTTTTATAAGGGTGCTTCCATCTTAAATGGGTCACACTGTATATGTGATATATATCCGGGGAAAAATACTCACTTTTTTCCCACGGGAACAAAGTAATTTATGAAAAGTTACATTTTATAACCTGCCAACAGAGATGATATGCCAAACTTTTTTCCCGTCACAGAAAAAATAATATTTTTAAATTTCAACTGTAACTGATGAGCCATTTCATTAGCTTTTTTGTTTTTCAAAACTTGATAGTTTGGGGCGTTTTTTGTCAGTCAGCCAGTGAATAACTTTGAACAATCAAAATAGAATCTAATTAAAAAAATCGACATCACATAACGGTCAATTATTTTCCTTGATATTAAACAATTCAAGAAATATTGCTTGCTAAAAACGATGTGTCTGAATTCTGAGTCCTCAGTTCACATGATTAATACCTACCTCATGATCAATACCCTTTCTTTTTTGTTCTTTCATTGGATTTAAGTTATAAATCCAAAACTGACGTCAGTTCAGAATTTAAGTTATAAATCCAAAACTGACGTCAGTTCAGAGATTTATATCCTAGACATTTTTTCCATACATACTATACTGAGGCTGTGTCAAGTCATCCGTCTGAGCACAGTGGTGCCATATGGTGCTACCAGAATGGTCAATGGCTGACTAGACTTCAGTGTTTCAACTTAAAATGAAGATTTTATGATGGCAACACTGAAAATGAGAAGAAATGGAAAAGAGGACCATTCTAACCTTCTTCTCAATTTTCTCCCATTTTTATGGTTACCAACATAAAATTTCCATTATTTTACGTTGGAACACTGAAAAACAGATGAGGAAGACATTTTTTTTCTAATCGCCATAGAAAATAAACGTACGCTATCGGAATTTTTGAAAGCTATCATAGAGGTCAGTTTTGTTTACTTTGTTCTCATTGGTTCCCATGTGTTTATTGTTTCTGCTTATTGGTACATCCATAAAAAAAAAACCGCTCAGGAGGGTTGAAGTAGTTGCCATCAGGTGGTGTGACGTGTTATTTTCTATCATGAATACCATAGAAACTGAGGCCATGTTCCGATATTGCTGACATTACTGGCCATAGTAAGCAATTTAGGAACTCTAAACAGTAGCAATAGCTCTGAATGTTTTTTTTTTCATTTTGGAATGATTTTGGCAATACTGGTATAGTCTATCCAAAGTCAGTTGTAGCTTTTGTCAGTTGTAAAATGAGTTTATGTTCATCATACATGGGGTGAACAAATGTTGAATTGAAAGAACCCAAACCCAAATAAGGGAAACCTATATGTTTTTCTTGAAGTGCTCCAATTGACTTTGGATGGACTATAAACTGGCAGCAAAACATAACCATAACCTATGATCTTTAGATTTTGGATGTTTTGTTTTGTAGGTTTTTATTTTTATCATTCTGATTATCATCTTCTTCACTAATGATGAAATTATGGATGGAGTGATTAATCATATTATCCAATAGTCATTCTGATTAATCAGAAACACCAAGCTCTATTACCTCTAATTCCAGTGATGAATAAATGAAGCATATCTGTGAAATAGTTGATATCAGAAGTGGGAATAAAAACCAGCTTGTAGATAAGTGGCAGTTTCAGCATCTACTGCCTCTGAGAGTACTTCCAGTTCAAATTCATACATTTTTTGAAAGTATTTGGAAATAATAATATATAATTTTCATCAACTCATACCTACCCTCTAACATAGTTCCTTCTCCTTGCAATGACCCCAAAAACTTTGCCAGTAAATTTTAGTAAAATAAGAGTGATAAAGATAAAATACACTGGGCAGTACTGTTCAGGACCACCTTCTTCATTTTTCTTCTTCCTCTTCTTCTGGTCAATTGGACTCAACACTTTCAGTCCATAACCAGACACAAAAAGTAAATGTTAGGGCAAATAACTACCCAGTCTCAAATGGTGGAGTAAAAAAATTAGAACCTTGTGAGAACAATCATGTTTCTTGTTCTCATTTTGATTTTTGTATTGAAAGATGCCACATACCTTGTCAACTTTCATAGAAATCTGCACATCTTGATAAGTAATTTCCACATGCTTAATGTTTTTTGCATAATTTCCCACCAATTTCAAAATGTCTGCAGATATGTATTCCAAAACAGCCACAAGAAATAAGGATACCGTGGAGTCCACCTTATAGAGTAAAAGTTCCTACAAAAAAGTCACAGTGATTCATAGATTCAAAATCAATTTGCAGTTTCCTAGTGTGAATAATCCAGTAACTACTTCAAAAGGTAACTCTACAAATATTGACTCAATGGACTCACTTTTTGCAACAAATTATGAATTTTATCCACAGGTAACTGCAATACTGACTTCTTCTTGCCCCTGTCCAGGGCTTCCTGTGCTTCTTTTAATGCCCATTTGTCAATGGGTGTAGGAAAGGTACTTTGTACCCTGTATTCCACATCCTAGGAGAGCATAATTCAACTTTTTTGTGTTGTTGTAAACATAAATTTCAAGAACCCTGAATCACAATTTCACCCTGTAATCCACATCCTAGGAGAGCATAATTTTACTTTTTTGTGTTGTTGTAAACATAAATTTCAAGAACCCTGAATCACAATATGAACTTTGAAGTATCAATAAGAAAATATTGATAATCACCTTGTATGAAATGTTTCCAAAGTAACACTTTTTGACAGTGGAAATTTGAAAAATACCTACCCTACTTGAAGCAAAAATTGGCAAAATGTCATTAGTTATTGGAAATCATTTGAAACTATTGAAATTTTTCAAGCATAAATTAGGAGTAGGTATGTGTGAAAATACAATTCAGAAAATTATCTAAACAAAGTTTCCTTAGGAATCAACAATAATTCACAAGATTCTGAAGGTAAAATTATGAGGATTATGTCAACATGCAAAGATTGTTGTGTCAAAAGATGTGAACATTTGATGAGATAAGAAAGTAATTTTATATCCCTACCTGAACAGTATGAGGACTAGGTTTTGCACACAGCATGGCAAGTAAACGTAAACAGAGACTTTCCACATATTCTAGAGCATCTTCTCGAGCCCCAAGTGATGGGTGGACTTGTTCCAAAACCTGAAAAATAGATCAACTGGTAGGTACACATAGGTACTCTAATTATAAAAACTATTGGAGATCCTACAAAATTGAACCAATATGCCAGTCACACATTTCTTTCCATACAGAGAAAGGTAGGTTATTCATGTATTATTTTTCTAATAACAATCATTGAAAGATAAATTCTTGATGCCTAATTGATTAAATATTATAACACTTATTAAAAACTAATGACTCCAAGTGTCAAGAGAAAGTTCAGTGAAGAACTAAAGAGATGTCCATCTCTTTTTTTTATTTATATTTCCTGATTATTTGTACCATATGCCAATCTGATCTGGTTCAAATGTAATATTTCCTTTTTTCTGATTATTTCAATTGTTGATTTGACATTTAGTTTCCTAGTTCTAACAATCATCATAAGCGCCCCCCTAGGGGTTATGGTCACTACCCTACTGAATTATTATTCTACTTCTCAATTAATGATAATGTGACAATTCTTGATAAAATTTATAATTTCATGTTGGGATAACTATAATTTCCTGAGAAACCCTTTCCTATTAGTAATAATGGGCATTGTCATATTGGTTGATGTTTTGAAATTGATCGGGTATAGGTATTGGTAGGTAGGATTTTTTTTCTTGAAGGAGAAATCTGAGATGTTCCACTCACTTTTTTCAATGCTGCTGTCAGGAGGCCTTTCCATTTCGCCGAATTTTCTTCTGAAGAGAAATCGTAAATGTTATCCCCAGTAAAACCAGTATTCATATTTATCCAGGACAAAACAAGAATAGCACTTCAGTAGGAAACATTCACAAATGCCATTGTCTCGGAACAGAAATAAAAACCCAAAACGAACATAAAATACTGTGTTTTTCCACTACATTTACGTTATGCTACACATTTTCACTGCTACTCGAAAAAATCGACGATTGGTTGACAGAAATTCGCACTTTTCACATCGAGAATGGGCAAAATTTGGATCAGTTGACACGCGCCATTTTGAATTCCTATTTCTCACAAGGTGCGTTCGGTTATAACATATCTGTTAGCTCGATTCCATCTGTTAGCTCGGAAAACGTTCGATAAATCAGATCTACTTCCTCTGTCTAATCTGCTCCGTGTTCGTTAATTGTCAGAGCGAGCTGAAAGATGTAATCTGTTTGCTCCGCCTTGAGGAGCAGATCATTCAGATTTGATCGGTTATTCGGTTGTCAATTGTCAACAAATCAATGTCAACAACATGTTATTGAAATTATATCTCTTTTATGACGAAAAATTGAAGACTCGATCAACTGGAAACGAAACACAAAACTGAATTTTGTAGAATCCTCATTGCCCAGAATCGCCAGAATGACCGACGAATTTGCTGTAGGTAGCATATTAATTATATATCTAATATATGCGATCACAACTGCCCTGGATCCACAGTTAATGACCGATCATATTAGACAGAATCATTCCTTCCCTAGTAATTTTCAAAATATAAACAACAAACATTCAAAAAAACTTTGTTGCCCTGAAGTGTTTATAAAAGTAATAAGGTTAAGTGAATTGTTTCTGTTTTGTGTTATTTCTGCAATCTGCAATCTACTACCTCGTTGAGCGTTCGTTAAATATCTTTAGCTCTATCTGCTAGGTGATCACGTGACACCAAATCTGCATCTGCTCGCTCGGCTCCGATTTTGTTAAACCGAACGCACCTACACTCGCAGTATTTTTATCTCGTTCTATCACATTTTCAATAAGATCTATTTGTTCTTTTCTATCGATCACAAAGCAACCACTGCGCAAGGCACGCGCAAGGTGACCACTGTTTTATCTTTTTTTCACTAGTTCAGTGACGTATCCTCGTACTCGTATTCAAGTGATTCTAGTCATCTTTTTCTAAATGTCTATTTCTTTCTACTACTGTACAGTGTACAGTCAAAGTTTGCGCGATGGCGTTGCGATGGTCCAAATCGATTTCTTTGCTATGCGGAGATTGCTTGAGTTGCTCCTTTCCTTGCTCTGATGACCATTTTTTCAGTAGAAAAACAGTGGTGGTCGGGTACCTGAGTGGCAGATTAAAATTAGACGGATAGGTAATACCCTAATACCTACAAATCACTTCACCATTATGAATGGAAAATTTTTCTTAAAAGAAGGTATCACCAATAACATAGGTAGGTAGGTAGCAGTGGCGTAGCTATGGACGGGCAGTTCGGTGCGGTGCACCAGGGCCCCGGGGCATTGGGGCCCCGGAGGGGCCTCTATATCCCAATCTGCATTAGCAGGTATAATGCAAGAAAGTACCTATTGGTATACAAATTAATTCATGAACGTTGCGAAACTTTTCGGCCGTTTGTTGCCCCTAATGCCACTAACGGGGTGGAAACAAAGTATCATATAATACTTGCAATAGCTATACTTATTAAGATTTACGAACAGAATAAACTCCGTACCTTGTTTTTCCTTGCTACTTAATACTACTCAAGACATATCAAGAACCGACCAACAAAGTGCACAGTTCTTATGGTGACTCAATGATTGGTACTCATTTCGAAATAAAGGAAACATTTTTGGGTTTCTTTCAAATCACAGATCAGTCTGCACAGGGTATGGTGGATGCAGTGCAGAAAATATTGAAGAAATTAAACATTCCTATTGAAAAATGTCACGGATAATGTTATGGAGCCAGCGTCATGAGCGGAGGGTATGAAGGTGTTCAGTCCAAAATCAAGGAGATTCAGAAAAATGCAGAATACATTCATTGTGCAAGTCATAATCTGAATTTGGTTTTGAATGACGCTGTTTCGGGATGTATCGGAGTTACCAATTTCTTTTCCACTTGGCTTTTTTGGAGAAAAAAGAGGAGAGGGACGAGGCTCTTGTCATTAGGATGAAAATGGAATCTTTCGAATTTGTATTCATAACAGTATTTTTGTACAAAATTTTATGTTTAACTAACTTTGCATCGAAAGCGTTGCAAAAAAATGATATTGATTCAAACAATGCCGTTTCAGTTCTGGAAGCTGTTAAAAATAAGATACTTCAAATTGAAAGAATCATATATGAGGAAATCGAATTGGAAGCTTCGGGATTGGCTAGAAAGTGGAATATAGACCCAATTTTCACAGAAAAGAGGCAAAAGTTATTCATAAAAGGCATTTTGACGAATTAGCCACCAAAGATTATAGATTCAAAAACTCTGAAGGGAAATTCAAAGTTAATGTTTTTTATGATGTGATTGATCGAGTTAATGGTCAGTTATTGCGAAGGTTTGTTGGAATGCGGAAAGTTATATATACAATTTCGACATATTCTTATACCAGTGGCTGTTAAAGTATATCATATGACTGATTATTATTACTGTTTTTCATTTTGGAGTTTATCTTTGAGTTTTTTCATTATTTATTTATTTTGTATCAGACTGTCAGACACGAATGATATGCTATAGAAATGTTAATTAGGTACTGAATTACTGTATTTCGTTCCATAACAAAATATATACACCTTTATGCGTCATTGTTTTTTTGTTCAATCTTATCATCAATAACTAGGTAACTTCCGCTCTAGGGATGTGGAAATTTCTCGGTGAACTATAGGGCCCCATCAACCATCGTTGCACCGGGGCCCCGACACCTCTCGCTACGCCACTGGTAGGTAGGTATTTAGGTACCTATTTTTGCGGGTTTCTTTCATGTTTTGGTCATGTTATTCCTATTCATGATTTTATTTTCATAATATGGAATGGACAAGATGTTGCATTTGTGACTTAGGTATTCTTAAGTTAATTGGTGGCAAATTAAAGGAATCAATAGTGGTATTTTTATTTACATACTAAAAATATATCAAACTACCTACCAATAACATAATAATATAATTTATAAATATACATGAGGCACAATATAATTACAATGACAAAAAAACTTTGGTAGAATTTGACCAAAATCACAGTACATAAACCATGGTGGATTTCCACCATGTTAATTCGTCTGAGACTCCACTAAAAACTGAGCTCTGGTCAGCAATAATCCCACTCAATGGACATATCTGTCAATGTAGTGGATGATTTCAAACATAACCTCTGACATGATCAGAATTATAACCATCCATTCCAATCTAACATGATGTTTATCACTCAAGTGAGAAGATAACAGTTCTATCAATGCTACACAGTGGTTTATTTTCTCATTCATGACCTAGAACCAGAAAAAGCAAATTAATGATTCTAGATTTCAACATTTTCAACAGCAGAAACCTGTTACTATAGAAAATAAAATACTTCAAATGTACTAATGATAAAAGATTAGTTACCTTTGTTCTTTTGTTGATAGAGAAATATGCACAGACTTGATTATACAAGTGCTCCAAGTCTTCATTATCCCAATAAAAATCTGGAGTATCTAGGACATCAGAACTAAGATTTAAATAATGTCTGAGAGCAAATAATTCTCCATGTTTCTGAAGCACTGCTTCCCTTGACATCCGAATTTTGGCACCCCTGAAAGACCATTATATCAACTGAAGAATCATGTGACTGGAGCCATACCTTTTCAAATCTTCTGTAACAAACTCAATTTCTTCAATGTACTTTTCCAGGGAATCTTCCCAAATCCCTAGCTTAACACTTAGCATCATAGCATTAGAAAATGTATATTTGACCCTAGTTATATCCTTTACATCTGGTGAGAGGATGAAAATGCCCTCTTTATCCAAGCAACTTGTTTCTCTGAAAATCAAGACTGATCCAACTATGTTTCAATTATTTATGAAAATTAAATTGCCCATTACTTCTCCAGGGAATGATAATGATAGTTCATGATTTCTTTTTCTGCTTGTACCAGTCTTTCTGAGTAGCTGTGAGCCTCATATTGTCTCAATAATTCCAAGATACTGCTACTTTCAAGATCATCAATGTTCCATAAAACAACACTACCTTCTCTGAAAAAGAATATCTCTCTGGGTTCTTCACCAACTTTGTATTTAGCAATAGCATGTAAAACGTCAGCCTCATTTTTAACAGACTTGGCCTCATACAAATCCTGTTGTTTCAAGCCATCAGCTAATTTTTCTAAATTATATTCCTCAGCAGTTCCAAGTGCTACAACATTGTAAATCCCTGATTTCATCCCTTGATCTTCCATAGCTTTTTTCTTTCTCATCACTCTTTTTCTTTGCATAGGTGAAATGGTTTCATGCACATCAAAAGCTGGTATAGGGATAGGTTGATAGTTAGTGAAAATCATGGATTTTGAGAAGTTGCACTTCATAACATTTTTAAAATTTAGGTTTGTGCGTAATACTGGCCTGCCAGTGAGATCCCGAAATATGTTCACAAAATGATTGTTTTTAATTGCATTGCCTAGTAAATTTGTATCAATTACTTTTCTGAAAACAAACATGATGAAATATAATTTTTTTGTTTTTTACATCCAGCAAAACTTAAAGCATTAAGGTTATGTATTGTTAAAAAAAAAGAAAGTGTTCACTGCTCAAACAGAACTGAACCAAACCTCCATAAGCAAGTGTCGTATATGGCTATGGGTTATAACAACACTGATAAAGAAATGAGAAGAAGAATTATTTTGGGGTTATATTTTCATGAGAAGAAAATAAGAAATGTCCAAGGAAATGTCAGTTGAACAACATAATAAACTCATACTAAGATAATAATTAGAATGGTTGAAATTAAAATGAATTAGTACGATGAATACCCTAGGGCTAACTATGATATTAAAAATGGGTTGTATATGTACCAGAGAATCTATCAATATAAATGGAACTAAATATATTGTGAAAGAGAGATTAGGTGAAGGGTAAATATAACCATTCCAGAGTTAGCAGCTGTTTGATCCATTTTTCTTATGATTAGGGGTTTCTCCTGTGTAGAATTAGTGGAAAACACTAACACAAAAAAGAGGTATGCCTTGAAACGAATTACTTGCCACAGCATTGAGGACCAGAAAATTGCAATGCAAGAAATCAACTATTGCAAGAAGCTTCGGCATCCAGGCATTATAGAACTGGTAGAGTCTACTTTCAAAGGATCTGCAGATATAGTAGTGCAAGCAACATCTGAGGCCTTCTTGATCCTTCCATATTACAAAAGAGGAACTCTACATGACTACCTGACTCTGAAATCTTTCAATAAAAACTACATGGATGAAAAAGATGTTTTCAGGATATTCTTGGATATTTGTCAAGCAGTAAAGTTCCTCCACGACTTCACTCCTGATTCTATTTCACACAGGGACTTGAAGACTGCCAATGTATGTTTAACTGATCAGTTGGATCCAATTCTAATGGACCTCGGTAATGTGCTTCACTACCTTATGATGCAGTATATTTGATTTTAATATTATAGGATCTTGTGCACCAGCAAGGGTGCAAATATGTGGGGCTCAAGATGCACAGAAATTACAGGACATTGCTGCTGAGAGAAGTTCAATGACATATAGGGCTCCAGAGTTATTCCATGTTGAAAGTTATTGTGTCATTGATCAGAGGACAGATATTTGGGTAAGTAGTCATATGTCCAAACAGCTATGGTTTTGTGACCACATTTGTTTTCCAAGAGTTTAGGATGTATTCTGTATGCAATGCTGTACTTCAAATCTCCTTATGATATTGTCTATGAAAGAGGAGATTCTGTAAATTTGGCTGTGATATCTGGAACTATCAATTTTCCTCAGGAAACTCCTTTCAGAGAGGTAAAGTTGAATTACTCTGCCTTATGGCTGAAAATTCATTTTAGACATGACAATTTATTTTTTGTTTTCAGGAATTTCATGATTTGATCCGTCTCATACTAGAAGTGAATCCATCTAATAGGCCTTTTATTGATGAAGTGATAGAAAAAACTGAAAACTTGAGGAACAAAATCGGAAACATAGTTTAGGTCTGATTATTCATATTTTTGATGTATGTTCATTCCAGATGTGGGCGATTCTATCATATTCTATTTCAGAGTTAGTAGTGTTTAGGCCACTGGATCAACATATTACTATTAGGCGGCATTAGGCATGTTCCTTTGTGTTCCCCCTACCTGCTAATCTTGATTTTTTTTATGACTGTTTCATGCCATAAGCAGAGACAACTATGGAAACAAAATCAACTTTGGCAAGTTCAGCAACATGAAGGAATGGACCTTATATATCATTCCAAACATAATTCATTCAATAATAAAGTTCAAATAAATCTTTCCATTTTACTCTCCTACCTTAGAAACTAATCCATATCAAGTTTTGATCTTATGATTGGAGCTGATCAATAGAGAAGTAGCCTAGAAGAATGTAAAACAGACAAAGTATCATAAGAACTAAATCCTTGACCTGGGAAGATGATTTTTGGGAACTGTCAAACCGAGTGAAATATCTTCTCCGTTTCTTGGCATCTGGACAAGAGGCCAAGAAACGTAAAAGAAGAAGAAGAATTACGTTTCAAGGTCAAATTTCAATGAAAAAATTGTTATTTTGACAATCGAGTAATCGTATCCTATTTTAGGTGTGGTTTTCTTACAAAAATCCTCTGTAAATTGAGGGAAAATGTCCGCAACGCTCAAACCTTATTTGACGGCAGTTCGTCACACGCTTACTGCCGCCATGTGCCTAGACAATTTCTCTTCACAAGTGGTCGAAAGGCACAACAAACCGGAAGTTGAGGTTAGGTGTTCCAAAGAACTTTTGTTAACTCCGGTGGTGATATCCAGGAACGAGAAGGAAAAGGTGCTGATAGAGTCCTCGGTGAACTCCATAAGAATCAGCATAGCAGTGAAGCAAGCTGACGAAATCGAGAAAATCCTGTGTAAAAAGTTCATGAGATTCATGATGATGAGAGCAGAAAACTTTATAGTGTTAAGGAGGAAACCAATGGAAGGATATGACATTAGTTTTTTGATAACGAACTTCCACACTGAGCAGATGTACAAGCATAAGCTGGTGGACTTTGTGATACACTTCATGGAAGAGATTGACAAGGAAATTTCAGAAATGAAACTTGCTGTTAATGCTAGAGCTAGGATTGTGTCTGAAGAGTTTTTGAAACGTTTTTAATATGTTGTGCTATATCCAGTCAAATCAAACTTATTCAGTTTGGACAGTGATATTTATTTTTCAAATTACCTACTATTCAGTTGCTGATTTGAAACCTACAGTGTACAACAGAGTTGTCTATAATCTAATACTAGGTGAAAACCAATTCCAAGTATTGTTTATCATAGTGGATAGAAAGTTTTTAAACCAAGATTCAACTTTGAACAAAAACATGTTAATGAAATTGGTTCTGTTCTTTGCCAAGAAGAGTTTGTATAGAAATGGGATAGTGCCAATTTAATATCTATGGATTTATTCCAATGGACTAGATGGAAGGTGTATGTATACATTTCAGGTAGTTACCTACAATTTATTTTTCCAAGTTATTTCATTTCATCCAAACAATTTGGACCTCATAGCACTTGTGGCTTGATGGTGAAATTGTTGAAATTTTGTAAATATATAGAATTGTTCACATCTTTTTCTAGGTCCTTTGGGTTGAGAATATATAATAATTTTTCTGTCTCCATGGTAAGGTGTTCAGTTCATATCAATCTCCCAGAATGAAGGACTGACCCTTTACTTGGGTAATATAGTTTTGTTAGTCCCATTCAATAGTCAACATTTTGGAAAGTCTGTACAAACTTTTTTCTTGTAATATTTATTGCATAGTTTTTATATTAATTACTCTTTTTGTATTATTTTAATAAATGATCATATTCAAGTTTACTTGGAAATAGTTGATTTTGCTTTGGAGGTTATTTCAAGAGAAACTTGAAGCAACCTTAGCATAATGAGGGATTCAAAGAATTAGATAACTTTTATTTATTCAATGAGTCAGATGCTATTTCTCTTCAAAGGATGCTTTGTTATAATCATTTGTTCTCCAGCTGGGTGGTATAATTTTTGTAAACTCTTTGAATTGCATCCAAAGCAGCAGTATCCTTTGCAATATGTACACTTTCACCCCACCCTAAAAAACAAGGGTAGTGAAAATCATGAATTCAACAATGATCCTGGTAACAACCTATGCCTAAGAGTTCTCTATTGCTATAGAGTCCAACTTGGAAACAAGCCAGAACTGTATTAGATGCAGACTGATTGCACAGCCTTGGTTCAATCTCCTTAATTCCCCTTTGATGCAATAGTCTTGTTAGGTATTTGTAAGGTTCTTTTGGATCCCAAATTTCATACACATTTTTTCCATTCAACTGGCTCAAAACAAAATCATGTATGAACTTTTCAGCTTGGGCCAGATTTTGGGACTGTTTCAGGGCAGCTACAACAGCTTTGAATGTGTTACATAGGGTGCTGTTTGCAACAGGGAATTCCTAAAATGTGTCTTAGAAGCAGTTTTGTTTTGCAAATGGGGAAACAGTTACATTTGTTAGAATCAAGTCTTTCAGTCCTATGTGGCTAGCAATATAGGAGAGCATTTCTTCTGATGTCAAGTAATTTGTGACTGCCTTGGCAATATCTTCTGGATACTTTTTGGATAACTCTGTCATAACATAGCTTGAAATAATTCCATCTCCCTCTGGGATAAGTTCATAATTGTCAGTTATTGTGGGAAGATTTTGACCTAACATCAAACAAATTAGGACAGCATAAACAATTAGGTACTTGGGAGTTGAAAAATCATACCAGTTTCTTTTGCCTTAATTTCTTGAATGTTAGCATATTCTTTTTGTATCAACGCTTTTTTCAAGATATCCCTATCAAATTCTTCTCCCAGGCGCTTTCCAAAGGCAAATACTTCAGCTTCATAATTCCATTCCAAGTAAGAAGACCTGGGTTTTTCTGGCTCGGGCCCGACTTTCTCTCTTCTCCTGTACAGCTCTTTCAAAGTGGGGGCCACCCATCTCTTTATTGAGCGACTTTCTAAAATGAGTTTAGGATAGATTGAGGTTATGGCTCTCGATGATTTTACCTGATGTTCTAATGGAAACATTCAATGCCACACATCTGCGTAGTACTGAAAAAGTTGGTTTAAAAAGCGACATAATTGTTTCATTCGCACTTGGTCACTGCATTTCACTCATCAGTAAACTCAAATTAATAAAATTATTGACAATATTTCACATGTGCATTTATTGAACAAGTGGAGGGAGTGGTGGAGACAGTGAAGCGCTTGCGTGGACGATACTATTCTTCTTCTGTGTTTTGTGCACTAAAATACTATGGACCTATGGGACATCATTTATGGACATATTTGATTTTTCCAACTAAATTTTTTGTGGAACATAACAAATGAAAAATATTTTGTGAAATGATTATGCATTTATAATTTGTAGACATGCGCACTTTCCAGATGTGCAGAAATGTAAGGTATTGATTGCTTTTGCCACTCAACTGACGGCCATTTTTTTATTTTTGGGTGTGTTCTGTTTTCTGATCACTTCACTGTTGTCTTCTGTCCAAGTCCAATTCACGTCCAATTAATGTTCATGCTTTGCCACTTTGCCACTTCGGTCGGGGTGAGATACTTATAACTAGTTATAAACATCTCAGGTCGGGGTTAAAAGTCAGATCTCAGACCTGAAGCTGGACAAAGAAAGGTCCAATTAAATCGTTTATATTGGTATACCTACCTAGTTATTTCAATTTTATTAGAGGTACCTACTACCTACTTACATTCCTCTTCTATAAACCTCTTGCTTTCTTAGGTAGGTACCCATACCCCATACAGACGTATTTTTAGCTTTACTATATTATATAGGTTGGTGTTGATCCCAAATATCGTCTGGAGGATGAGATCCAATATTAATTTTATGAGATGATACTAGCGGCAACGACACAAAATACAAAAATCTCAAATAGAGCTTTTATATATTTTCAAAGGACTGACGACCGACCCTGAATCTTTGGTAAATATAGAAGATACCTAAGTATATATAATTATATACCTACCTATTTGGTTTGCGATGAAGTTGAATATAAAATATTATATACCAATAGTCAATACCTATATTCACTCGCCTTTGATACTCAGAACAAAAATTCCAACGAAATTTGGAAATTTCAGAGATGGTCTATACCAGAGTTGACCAATAAGAGCAGGGTAGGTATCTTTATTTCCCCTTTAAGAGGGCTGTATAAATTAGAATTACATTTCAATATATTTGCTCTCAAACTCGAAGCACCCGGTGAAATTATAAAAAATATATGAAAAAAGTAGGTATGCTATGTTTACTATATAGAGTAGGTATACTACTGGGTAATTCAAAGTCGATCGCCACCCATGCACCATCATGCATGCATCGGAATCTCGGGAACTAGATAGGTACCTATATACCTATTATATAGGAAGTACGAAGATGGTTAAAGTAGGGCAAAGTTGCACATTTATCTGACTAAAATGATGCCACCCAGAAATTTTTTGAATTCTGAGTATTTTCGGAGATACCTACCTATACGAAAGAACAGAAATTTTGGTAAGTAATTCATTTTTCTTTTCTGACGTTATTTGTTGAAGACTATCAATATTGATAACACATTATATGGCCACTTTTTACCTGCTATAAGTACGATGACATTATCAGTCACTATCCGATGTTTCGTCTTTATATACACCACCATCATCAACTCCATTTTTCTTATGGGTTCCATATTGGATTTTTCATAGCAGGAAAAAAGTGGAGAAGTAAATGTGCTCTCAATTTTGATATTCTCCAATAAATAACGCCAGAAAAAAATTAAAATGAATTATGAAAATTTCTGTTTTTTTTCACATACATAGTTTTAGTCACATAAATTCCCAACCATCTAATTCGTATCTCGTATATATATAATTTCCGAGATCCCAATGGTAGCTCTCGTGAATTTTAATTACCCGGTGTTTATATACCTACTAAAAAATCAAACAACAGATGAATTCGTTGGAAATATTTTTATGTATCCTCTACATTAATCATGTAGGTGCGAGTACAAACTTCAACCTAACAGGTGTGAAAAAATTAACAAAATTTAGCTCTCGAGTGATTTCAATAGATTGAGGCTATAATAATCTGTAGTAAAGGTACAAGGTACCATACTGTGAAGGACGCTATGAAAGTATACAAACGTGATATTTTCAAAAATGAAACCACTAATATGATTTGAGGTATTTATATTACGTAGGTATATCGTATAGGTTTGTTAATCTGTGGTATATTTATTCAACAAACAATAAACTAGACCTGAATTCCAAGGCTATCTAACCTAGTGTTGTTTGTGAAATTGATAAGAGAAATAAAATCTTACATCATTCATTTATAATATTACAGGTATATTTATATATTGGTACTAATGATACATCATAGTTGCTCATTGGGCAAAAAAATCGCCTAGGCGTATGCAAACCGGCAAGATTGCCGAGCTTCTTCTTAAACAAAATTTTGAACTTTTTTCCAACCGAAAGGTGAGGTCAGGGCCGGGGCAAGGACTGGGTTGCGACTCTCCGAGGCACTCCTTCCTGTTAACTTGGACTAAGTGAGTGGGTCCCTCGAATGGCATACCGACTTAGAACATCGATAAACCCTGTGTCGCGGGCCAACAGTCTATAATCCTTGTCCCATTCTTGTGAAAATTCGATCAAATCGAAGATTCATGATCCGGAATTTTAGCCTAAATAATATAGTTTCCAATCAACCAAATAAGTTACGATTTCACCCTTTACTTTTTAACGCCCTGTGGCGAAATTGAATGGTTGGCTTCATTAGGATGATGGGCTGATTCACGTCAAAATCTTATTTCTAATAGAAGATACGAGTGTTTCAAGAAAGTATGGCATTTTTCAATTTTTATTAACAATAATCAGAACCTACATAAACTTATTGATTCACAACTCAAACAATCAATATCACTTATTTCTACCTCATTTTCTCAGAACTTATACCGGAATGAACCTCAATTACAAAAAACGAACAAAGAGCAGCAGGCCTGTAGTCAATATAATAGTATAACCTCCTCGAGTTTCATTTCATTCAACCGCCGTGGCATCGAATTGATCAAATTTCTCAAGTAGATTTGGAGAACTGCCTTGGAAACTAAGGTCCCTTCAAAGATCATAATTTGGACCCTTCAAAGATCATAATTAGGATGCTTAGGGTCGGTTACATGATTCTCTTTGTTAACCCAACGACGAATCAACTCTTGTAACTCTTCGATCAGTTGAGGTATCATGCAATAATCATTTATGTATGTATCTACATAGTAATTTGTTGTGAGTTAATGTTCATTTAGGTCATCAACAACAAAATCTCGCTATTTGAGTCAAGATCTCGCTCGTTTTTGACACCGTAGCTCGCTCGAAAAAACATATGTCTGTGGCAACACTGCATTCCATTCTTTGAGACACAGATGTGCAGGCCAGCGTGTGTGGCTAAAGAAAATTATCAAGTTAGTAGTAATATTTTATTTTTTCGCAGAAAATTAAGTGTACTTCAATATATTCATAGGTATTTCTACAAACGTCAAAACATGACGAGGTTCGCGTATTGATAACAATATGCGATTAAGTGAAAAATCGAAGAAATCCAAATGTTTATGCACAATAATTAATGAAGGCAGCGCCTCGTTGAAAAAAATCAGCTTTAAAGGCTTTATCTTTGAGTATTGACACTATACCAAAAAGTATTTCACGCATTAGATTAAAAAATAACTAGTATATTCATATCAATATGCCCAGAATAAATCGCGAGGCATTTGATTTCTCTCTTTATAAAAACGGAATCGTTATTTAAAACACGTTTTCTTGCATATGTTATGATTGTGAATACATCCGGCCACACGAATGGAAAATCATTTCATAAAATGTGTAAAATTTCCCGATTCCCTAATGGGTCAACCGATACTGGAAAGTCTGTATCTTATGAACATTTCATTATGTAGAGCAAGTAAAAATATTATTCATACACTGCCTCTAAGATAAATGTATCGATAAACGTCGTTTTGATGTAAAATTCCGAGTTATAACTCAGAATTTTGAAGTTTTTATTATTTTTTTATTTTATGTGTCCCTTCCAGGCCTTCGTACGTTCGTGCCCGGGGAAAGTTCTCCAAAAATACTTTCTCGAGAATTTTACATCACTTATCAAGCCATCTGCTTTTCTAATCACTTAGTAGTAAGGCTAACATTCCGAAACATGAATATACGATTTCGTCGAAATTATACCAAAATTATAGACAAGAATTAAAAAAGTTTAAGGGCAAAGCAATTTGGCTAAATTTTTTGGTGGCCGGTTTGATTTAGTATCAAAATGAGGTTGTACATGGGTTATCATTACAATTCAAAAATATCAAGAATGGAATATCCCTCAAATTTTATTCATCCTTGCCTATCGGTGCTAAATATATACTTCCCTAGTGCATTTACTGAAACCGAAAAGCTGCGATTTCGCCTCGGATTTCCTATAATTTATATTGCAAAAAAGTGACAGTGACACTTCAATAATACTGCTACTTATAAATATTTTGGTCACTGACAGAATTAATAATAAATGAGTGGAAGAGCGCGTCCTCTCGGTAACTCATCTTACCGTCAGTACCGAACTCTGCCTTTTGTCTTCAAACTCCATATCTGAATTGTAAAATGTAAAATGTAACTTGTGTAGTTTGAGACAATAAAATTTTATTATTATTATTATTATTATATACCGAGTGTCCCAGTATACCTGTTCCAATAGATTATCTCAGCCATTTCGAAAGATGAAAATTTGAAAATTACATGATCTACTACAATTTTAATAATTTGAAATCATTATTGAAGTCAAAATCGAGATTACAAAAATATCGTAGCCTACTGCAATTCGTTCAATTTGAAATTTCAACTGTAGAACTGTAGAAATCAAAAATTGCAAAAAATATACAGGGTGCTATTTGAAATGAATAAGTTAGTCACTTCCGGTCAAACCGGAAGTGCTTTCAATTTTTGTTTCTCTCAGTTGAGGCTTCCTCGAAAGAATTGGAGATCATGAAATTTTCGCATTTTTATTTTTCAAAATGGCAAAGATAATTCTTTGGAATAGGTATACTGGGACACACGGTATAGGTAGGTACCTGTATGTATAACACTATAAGGGAGTAGAGTTACTCAACAAGTGGCAAAATAGTAGTTTCAAAAACTAAAGAAATACCCTTTAATATATATAGCCAAACAAGAAAGAGGTAAAAAAAAGTGTGTTGATATAAATACACATCATCATAGAAAATATTAGCACCTCCCTAATAAGTACATTCTATGTTGTGTATTTATGAACACAATGGCATTATTTTATTTTCAACCTCTTTTTAGTTTGGCTATCTATAGTTTTTAAAACTACTATTTATTTTCTAGTTTTAGTTAGGCTAGCTACAAAAACATGTTCTGTTTTTTAGTGTTCTTAATTTTTGTTTGTACCCAATTTTGATGAAGGAAACATAATCTCCGACCCCGAAATTGGATCATGATTACAAAACCCGTCCGCCAGAAGTCCACCGATACCAATCTTGAATAGAATCGGATGATATTTATTACAAAACTTGTCCGCCGTTTTGTTTTTTGTCTATCAAATATTTCATCATGCAATGCCACCAGAATTATGAACACCTGGTCAAATTTCAAATCAATCGGTCAAACGATCCCTTCCGAATGTTGAAAAGAAAATAATGAAAATCATTATTACACTTCCACGTGTCATAATCTACACACACACAAATTGAATAATAAAAAATAAAAGTTTTCATTTTGAAAATAATAACCAATGGTACAGCAGACGCATACACTTCTTCCAGTATCTTCATATATGCTGTGATTACAAATTTTGTACTATTGAAACTGAAATAATATCTAATACATTTTCCTTTGTGTCGGTATGCTCGATTTATATACCGGGTGTGAAATGATCATGGTCACTAAATCATTATGATGAACTTGATTTCGCTATAAGGAAAATCGACATTTTTGACAGGATTTAATATCATTTGCAATACACATGTCGATATGAGTACCTACCTACATCAGATTCGATCAGCATATAATCACTCAGTTGGTAAATCAGAAATGAAAAGAAATTTAATATTGAAGTTTACTTATGTGGTATCATTATCATTCAGAAAATGATGCAAAATTCGAAAATACAATGATATACAGGTTATTACCACTTCCGGCGAGACTTCCAGTGATGGTTCATTCCAAATTTCAATCACTCATTTCTGAAACTGAAGAAGAAAAGGAGGGTGTACAATGATCCTACTACATCCTACACCTTACGTATTATAGTGAGGATCGTTTTTTTTTTAAACGCGCAATCACAATATAGTACACTCATTTCAACTTGACAATTCAATATATAAAAAAAAATCTTAAAATACTTAGCATAGGCAGTAGCTAACAATAATCTGCTGATAATTTCAGTATTAGAAAAAATTTCATTATACAATACAAACTTGGAAGGAAATATTGAGAAAACTATCAGTAATAAGTACTTATTATTGATTACCTACCTAGTCCCGACAGTTTATCCTTACTCACGATATTGTTACTTAGGTGTAATATTGAAAAATGATAATGTCAAACAGCAGGAAATAATAACAAGTCTTCATAGACAGTAGGTAGACAATTATAAAATAAGTAGGTATAAGTAAAAGGTGGTAATTCACAAAGTACCAGATCAGACTCGAGATCAGATATAGTTGAGTATAAGCAGTAGGTCGTAGGTAGCATAATAACTAACTATATACCAACATATTCGTGGTCGTAGGTAGCATAATAACTAACTATATACCAACATATTGGACTTCTTGACTATATAATGGGCATAAGTATTCCTAAAAAGTAAGTATAGGATATGGGCAGGATATATAAGAATCTCTTAGTAATTAGTATTGTCTACCTAGGTTAGATTACCTAACAAATGAATCTTTTCAGTCGTCAGTCACTATGACAACATTAGATAGAAAACAATTATTTACATAAACGTTATTCTGAATAGTTTTGTCAAAAAACGTCAGTTGTATATGTTCAATTCTAATATATTCAAACTGATCCAGAGAATCACGAGTGTAAATACTGCAAACAGTAAGTTTTTGATCACATAACTATGTGTATATTATCTGTTCTGCCTACGCCAAATGGAGCATACGAAGAACCGTTTTTAGAAGAAGAACCTTTGTTATTGATTCAGTCACCCTATCAATACCTACCTCACGGCGTCTCACCTTGAAATTACCTACGATAACATTCAACATTGCATTTTGCATGAAATCCACATCACTACTGGGCGTCAACTTGGTCATTTCCGACTGTACTATAAACAGAAGTTATAACTATCGATTGAACGAGGTCATGATAAGTATTATTCTCTTATAACTTGCCGTCTCTAAACATCGCTTTGAACTGTACTTCTTAGCTGTTAGCTACCTCGATGAAAGAGGAAGACAAAGACAAAACTGCCCATTAACGATCGAGAGATGTCGTCGACCCCAGTATTCGTCTACACCAACCTACCTTATCGGATGATTAATTCGACACTGAAACGTTACGTCATACAAATACTACGAATCATATAATGACTAAAGGTACCTACCTACAAGCATTTTCTTTTATGTATCTATATCGATGTGATATGGGTCTGGTGAATATTAATAGAATGAGTCACACGAATCTCTTGACACAACACTGATTTTCGTTAGTTCTTTTTATACCTACCTATGAAACAGACGGTTTTACCTTTTTACCCTCTGAACGTTTTACCTGACAAAATGCGAACAGCCGAACTGAACTGAACAGCTACAGATAACGTAGCGAGCGTACCTAACCTAATGCCTGCTGACTGGGACTAGCGAGTAGCGAGACTGGATCTATGTGCAATGAAAATTCACGAGAACTGAGAACTCACAACGAACGATCAACATAACCTCTCGCCTTGCGCCGTACCTCCAACTACACTGGCGACGATGACGTTCGGATATGTACGTTGGCTGTCGGAGCATATCGTGGACGTCTCTCTTGCGCACAACTACATACAAGCCCAAACCCAAACCAAAGCCTCCATGATCCATTATTCTGCATTATGAGTTATTTTGTAGAAGGAAGAAATTCTTCGTGTCGCATTGAAAAAATATTCCTAGTGTGTAATGTAAATTAGAGATTGTTGAGTTTTTTCGTTATGTTCGATTTGATGCTGGATTTTCGTGGGTCGGGAGAAGTGATATTCGTTTATTAGTTTAGGATCTATTCGAAGGTAAGAAAGAGTAGCATCACATTTTTAAGCGGTAGCGATCGGTAGCTCAGTTAGGCGGCGGTTGCATGTCAGAACAAAATGGCCTCACTTTTGGTAACAGGGTACAATTTGAGTGCCCATGGGAAATTGGGAAATTTGATTCTAAATTCATGTGTCACAGGCAAATTGGTATTATTTTCGGTTTATTATTGCACTTGAAATAATTCAGGAAAGGGATTATTAAAATTGTTAGGTACCTATAAATTTCTTGCTCAAAAAACCAGGAACTATTATAGGTAGGTACAGTACCTATATAAAGAATGTCGTATGATAACGAAAGTGATGTAAAAATAAGTGAGTATAGAGACATATTTGGACTTCGATCATCTTGAAGATTATCATTGTTCTAGTTTATAAATTGATATACGCATGCGTTAAATATTCAGTTGATAATCCACTATCGATGATTGTTATACCTACTTATATAAAGTTACTAATAGTGAATTTTATTTTATTGATGAAAATTATATGTGAATAGACCTGGTACGACTATTTGAAACGATACTTTTGCGAATTATTTAGTACAAATCTACCTAGATTTTTTCACACGTGATCCGCTAGTAAAATGGTAGATATAGTTTTTTCTTCAATTGTAAAATCAAGTATACCTAATTTCATCTGTTGGAAGGAGATATTTCGGATAGTGATAAAATACCTAGGTAAATTATAATATTTCATGCACCTCTAGGCGAATCAATATATTACTGCTTCTTGTCATCATTTTCCCTTGAAATAAACTGATTATTCGTAGTCGAGTAGGTATTTAGTATATATGTGTGAACCCTGAAATTTTTTGTGTACCTACCTACCTGCTCCTACCCTCGATTTCCTAACTCAAAAATTCTTATATGCATTAGAATAAGGAATGTTCTGAGTACTTATTGAATGATGATTTGAGATCTTATATACTTCCATATTATATTTACTAGGTAGATACCTGATATCAAATGTTCTCATAAATAATTGAATATTTTGATGCGATTTTGTTGCATGCTCACTTATAAGGGATTCTATAGGTATGCATCTATGTTTACCTATTTGGTACATCCCTTCTATTGAAAAAGATAAGGAAGTGAACTTACTTGACTGATTGTTAGCTACCCTTTCATAGCTTTAGACATTTAGTTGTGTTATTCAATATTTTAATTTATATTAGAATGACTGGGAAATAGGAACAGAAATTTCCAACGCTTAATAATTTCATAGCTTGCATCTTCCACGGTACTTTTTTAACATTGAAAAAATCAACTGAATTGTCATCATGTAGACTGTCCAAGATTCAGCGCATGAATGAATGTAAATACAGTTTTTTTAACATTAGCGAATTTTGAGAATTCAATGGCATCGGATGTATAATATTCATCACCCACTATATCTATTCATGTTTGATGAAAATGCATCTAGTTGACGAGAATTTCTGCTCGCATATTTAACAGATACTGATAGTGTTTGATTGCTGTCAGATAATTCAAAATGGCGGACGATGAGTACAATAAGAAGCTGGAATCTCTTCAGCAGTACATTCCATTTTTGGATGGAATGATTGCCCAATTGAAGGACCCCAACAAAAAGAACAGAGAACAGCAGCTGAGTAAGATGGAGTCTCTGCATGCCATGATCACAGACAGAAGGAAGAAGTAAGTACAACTAGTATCTATTCTGTTGTATGGTTTTAGTGCATTTTTCTCTAGATTTCCTATGTTTAGTTTGCTTTTTCTTGCACCTCAAATAATATATGTGGCTAGAAATATTCGATGATTTAACCCACTGAGGAGGCTGATGGGTAGTGAAGATAATTACCATGTGAAGTAGAGAGGTGTTCGATAATTGTTGAGAAATTGGCACTTCTTTATCAATATTTGTAGTGTTGCGAATAAAGACCTGTTTTGATTATTTATTTTCCCTTTGTCACCAACGTTTTGAATATAATCTCGTTTTTTTCTGCAATTCACTAGGTAGGTACAGTCGTCTTCAGAAAAAATGTCGCACATGGACGATGATAGCATTCTCAATAACTCCTGCAATATGAGCGCTGACACCGTCCAACCGCGACAAGATCACTGAAGACGACTGTACTTACTCTATACAAAGCTGCTCTGAAGTATGAGATAATATCCTAAACCAAAATACATATTATAAAACAGACGGCGGAATTGCGCAGTGGTTCAGGCGCTCGACTAGTAATCAGAACATCGAAAGGTTGCTATATTCGAATCCTCGGCAGAGCAGAGAATTTTTATTCATAAAACGGGTTATAAATTCTGATTTTCGTAGCCTCGGACGGAGATGATTCCGCACGATTCGCTGTTGCGTTCCAACAGTACAACTCCTAAGGTGGCGTATGGAGTTAGTAAAAAAGCCTACACAGAATACACATGGCCTGAAGGACCTCTCGTAAGGTCGATGGCCAGTTGGTATGTACTTATACATACCAACGAAGTAGATACATATACTACTACTACTACAATTATAAAATATGAATTATCACCGTTACTTATTCAACGCATTTCAACAATTTCTTGGATTACTCACGTGACTTCTCAGGTACTTAAGCACCTGATGTGATTTCTTATATATATAAATTTTGTATGCTTCAAATGGTTGAGGTGTTCACAAATTTCCAATAAAAATTGATCTCGATTTATCTCTCCGTTATATTTGATATTGAAAACTATTACGTACATTATTTTTACATAAGTACGACTGATATAGTTTCAAAAACGTGACTATACCTAACCTATAATATGACAATCGATAATTTAATGAATATTTTCCAGATTGAAACTCGATACTCTTAATAAATGCGAAGATGTAATTTCAAAATTGTATTTGAAAGTGGTAAGTATTCAATTTCTTCGTTTGCTGATAAAATTAAGTCAAATTGATAATATTTTAGAACCACAAGCCTATAAATCACCTGAAAGTGGAATCCACTATTAGTAGTCCTAGATCTACCCCAACAAGTTCTAGTCCTCTCAGACATCCCGATATTAGTGATGACAAGCCATTGACATTACCATCAGGAAGGTAAACACATACAAAAAAAAATCAACAAATGCCGAGCTTATTTTGTACTGTTTCAGGTCAACGCCTGTTTCAAACAATTCAAGAATTGACGTTTACAACAGCGCTGCAGACAGTATGAATAAACCGAGACCTAAACACGTCTCACCCAAATACCCCGACATATCCAAACCTCCTATCAGTCTCGCCGATTTGAAAGACCTTGAATTAGACGTCCGTGAAAAAATTAACGAGAGGGCATCCTTGAACGAACTCAACAACATACGAAACAAGATTGCCCATGAACTGATCTTGGAAAATATCAAATCGCTATCGCCGTCTAGACCACAAAGGTCTAGAATCGCTGCGACTTTCGAGACAAAATCCAATAACTTTAGTTTCTCGGAAGATTTGGGTGATGGCGACGTCCAACTGAATGATTCACCTATATCGACAGCTTCTACCATAGTATTGTGTTCCCCCATTCAATTACATGTGAAACCGAAATCTTCACCTACTGTTGCAAAAGAGCCAGCACCAGCAAGCATTTTTGGTAGTATTATTTCCAACATTGATAGCCAGGTTGTGGAAGAGGACAATGAGAAAAAAGAGAGGCGTAGTTCACTGACGCAAGAAAAGAAAAGTGTTGAACCTGAAAACAATCCGGATAAACTTGTGAAACCTAAATCTTCACCAACTATTTCAAAAGAGCCAGCAAGCATTTTCGGCAGTATCCTTTCCAGCAATGATAGCCAGGTTTTGGAAGAAGGAATTAGGAAAGTAGAGAGGCGTAGTTCACTGACGAAAGAAGAAAAAACCGTGAAACCTGAAGACAAATCAGATAAACCTTTTCAAATACCAGAAACCACAGAAAAAGATGAAAGGAGAAATTCTACAACGAATGAGGAAAATCCTATAATAGGGAAAGATAAATCGAGAGAAAGAAGACATTCGAAAGACCACAAAAAAAGCGATAGCAAGAAAGACAAAAGTAGAGGAAAAGACCATGACTCTTCCGGAAAAAGCCACAAGCATTCTGACAAATCAGATATTGGTAAAAAAGAGGGAAAAGATTCCACTTCCAGAAAAGATGACAAACGTAGATCGAAAGAAGAAAAAAGTAAACATCATAAAAGTAAGAAGTCTAGCAGTTCGCACAAACATTCAAAGAGTGAAAATAAACATGAAAAAAAAGAAGATAAAATAGAGGACAAAAATAATGAGGACGTTACCGTCAAAAACACTGTTTCCAAACCTGTTGTCCCTGAGGCAACTGTAGTTGGAACTTCAGAAGAACTCAAAAATCCCCCTGAAGCAGTGGAAAGTAAAATCGTAGAAAATAAGGAATCGACGACAATGTATAGACGCTTGGCAGATAAATACACCAAAAAACCCAAAAAGCCAACTGCTGATGCTTCAGATATAGACAAAGCAGTGGCTGCGAGTATAGAAGCTAATATGATCAAATCTCCACCCAAAATTCCGATCTTGAATCGTCTAACTGAGCCACCTCCACCGCCTCCAGCCAGTTTGGTGAAATGTTCCCAAGCTGAGCCAGAGCTACCAAGCGTGCTGCAAACGCTCATGGACCAATTGAGGAAAAGCAACCAGGAAAGCAGACTACCGAATAACCCACAACTGCAACCTCAGCCTTCACTACATCAACAAAAACCACTGCTATCTCCCAATCCTCTGTATCCAAATAGACCTATAATACAAAACCCGCCGCTGTCAGCAAATCCGCCATTGCAAAACCAGCAAATGATGCCCAATCCACCATTGTTGCCAAACTCTGCCCAGCTGTTATCACCAACAGACAACTTCATATCAGAATACGTCAGAGAAGAATACAGCAAAAATCAGAATCAAACATGGCCTGACCGAATGAGGTTTGAACCGTCCCCAGTTATCCCCCAAAACAACAGATACATACCGCCACAGCTGAATCAGAGATTCGAACCTCCAACCTACAATAAATACAATCAAATGGACGCTATGCAACCGCTGGACTATTATCCTCCGAACAATCCTGCCCCCACCAACCAATTCAATGCTGGTCCTCCCTTGTTATCTCCAGAAGTTCCGCACTATCACGAACCTAAGCCAATGTCATTCGGACCGACCGGTCGCGATCAGTATGTGCACAGCGACGACTTGCGCTGGAGACTGGACGGCAACAGACCACCGTGGGAACGTAGAGAATTCGATTCTAGATACAGAGGACCCATGACTTACAGAGAATTTAGGGAGATGAGGGATAATAGCCGAGATCCGAGAGTAGCCAGAGAAAATAGAGATCCCAGAGATCCTCGGGAAGTCAGAGATCCCAGGGAAATCAATAGAGACCCACGGAACGTCAGGGAAGTGAAAGATCCCAGGAACGTCAGAGATGTGAGAGATCCCAGATTGAATAGGGATAACTCCAAGGATAATAACGAAGTCCGAGAGCAAGACACTCGAGATCCTAGAATCAAAAAGGATTTCGAAAGGGGGAGATCCAGGAATAGAGAAGACTACAGATCTAACAAATTCGAGTCTAAGTTTGACCGGATGTACTCGAGGACAAATAGGGAGCGTTCTAGATCTAGATCTAGATCTAGATCTCAAACAATATCTGACAATCAAGATAGCTTCGCCTCGCCTCTAGATAGTTTGTATTCTGGCAAAGAACAAAAAGTTGGCAAAGGCTATGGCATACAGAGCTTCCGTATACCTAAAATTAAGAAGGAGTTAGATGACAAACAGAATCTCAAGGTCGACCAAAACGCCGAAAATGAAGTGAGCAAAGATGAGAGCGATAATGAACAAGATGAACAAACTTTAATCATAAACGAAGACCTGGAATCCACACAAGAACTCGATGAAAGTAGCGATGCTAAGGAGAAACAAACTGATACAGCCGATTCAACTCAAAACGACGATTCATTAATAATTGCAGAAGTGAAGGAAAACCAGAACCAATCAATCAACGTCGAAGAAAAAGATGATACTGAGCTAGAAAGTGATGAAACCAAAGAAGACAATGAGCCTGTATCTGCCCAGTCGCTTGCCAAAGAAATTCCTGACGATAGTGAGAAATCCGAAACTACAATACCCCATGACAAATCTTTGTTAGAAATCCAAAATTCTGTGCTGTCAAGTACCTCTCAGGATCCCGAAATTGAGGAACTAGTGCCTGCAGCGCCATTACCTGATGAACCAGTAAACGAAAAATCTGAAAATGAAGAGCAAAAACAGGAGGAACTAGAGCCTCACCAAAAAACATCTGAGGAATCTGATCCCAAAGAATTGGTACTAGATCTTCCGCCAATATTGTACCCAGAAGAATCCATTCTAGATGAACCGAAAGTTCTAGAAACGAAAGCTCCAGCTGAGCAAACCATTTTAGCCCAATTCTTCGCGAACCTTTTGAACAGCCAGGACAAGAAAGAGAAGAAAACTGCTCTCTACTCGCTCATCAGTACATTTTCCGATAGTTTTAGTCCAAAAGAACTGAATAAGATAACAAAAATCATAAAGGCTGAAGATACTGACGGTAGCTCTGAAGAAGAAGGCGAGGCTCCTAAAAAGAAAGAAGCCAGCGCGACACCCGAAAAAGTAGCAGAACCAATCGTTGAACCATCAGAACTCACAGAACCAACAGAACCCACAGAACCCAAAGAGCAGCTTGTGATAGAATCTCCTCACTCAGAAGAAATCCCTAGAAGAAGGCTGAGAAGGCGAATCAGAAGAATTTCTTCCGGTTCTCCGGTCAAAGAATCGCAAATAGAAGAGATCGAAGATGAAGAACCAGAGACTGGCACTATTCCTGTACAAGAACTCGACCTATCGAAATCAGATAACTCGCCTCTCGAAGATCCCGTGATCGTCAGCGTGGGTGAGCGAATCAAATCCAGAAAGAGAAACTCGGCAGCTTCCAAACCGAAAAAGAAAAACAGATCCGAATTGGACCGGCTGCATGAAGACATACAGGACATGTTCATCAGAGATGGAGTGTTGACAGCCACTGGTAAACGCATGTGTCATTTGTTGAAGGGCGATCCGAATGCCCTGAGAGCAACTTCCCCTGAGCCTTCCAAAGAAGGTGTCGAATTTGTTCCACAAAGGCGCAAACCTGGGCCGAAATCGAAGCAACAGAAGTATCTCGAGAGCTTGCAAAACAAAGAGATGAGAGATATGAGCGTAATAATACAGAAAATACCGGATAATGCGGTGGAAGAGAGTGAACGGACAACCAGAAGGCTGACTAGGAGTATGACGAACGTAGACAGTGACAGTGAAGATGATAATACTGTTGGCGGTAATGAATCTGGTAAAGAATACTCGGAAAGAGATGATTCTGAAAGCAGCGAGAGCGAGAAAGAAACGGCTCCTCAAACAAACGATGACTGCCAGAAGCCCAAAGTACTGAAGAGAAAAAGGGGGAAAAGATGTTGGGCGAGCGGCATTATCAAGAAAACTAAGAAAAAGAAAACGACAGCAGAAGAACCTGTTGCTCATAGTAGTGAAAAGGAAACGTCCAATTTGGACTCTAGAGATTTCCTGGAACCTGATGTAAATTATTACGTAGACTTCGCCAAGCAGAAAACTTACGCTTGTAAGTTATGCGATTTCCAGGGCAAATTCATCACGACACATTACAAAACAGCACACCCAGAGTCAGAAGTGCTCAGTTCGAGGTTCACACCTTCAGTTGCAGCTGAGGCTATAGCTGATGCCAAAATAAACTTGTCCAGGTACGAGAAGTGCATGGTGGTAAGAAGTGGAGTAAAACTCAAGTACACCTGCAGATTTTGTACAACTAATTCTGTCGTCACACCTACCTTCTTTTACGACCATGTATCGACACATACTGGTGAATACAGACACATCTGCCCGAATTGCAACGTCTCCTTCTGTAATGGAAAAACCCTTTCGTTCCACATGAAAACCAATCACACTGACATGAAATTGATAGTTCGCAAGGCCTACAATACCACCATCATGTTCGGATATCTCTGTGGTGAATGCAATTATGTCCAGATAAGCAGAACCAATGTCGAGGAACATGTCAACATCTACCACTTGGTCAAACCTACGATCTACAAAATCAACTTGTCCACTTTCATTGATGACGAAATTGAGAATTTGGCTCATTTAATTTCCAAAAAGGAGTCTACGGCTGCCTCTACCGAAGATTTAGAAACCTCAACAGAAACAAAACCAAAAGAAGATGAAGCAGTCGAAGTACCAATAAAGTCGAAACCAAAACCGGCCTCGGTCAAGCGAAGGGAAGCTGAAGCCAGGAAAAAAGCTGAGGAAGCAAAGGCTTTAGAAGAATTAACTGCACCAGAACCACCTGTGGCTTCTGAAGAAGAAGTTATGGTTCCTCCCAAAGGGAAAAAGAGAGGTCCGAAACCAGGTCCTAGATCTAAGAAGAAAATATTGGATTTCATCCCAGATCCTGAATCAGAATCTACCACTGACACAGAATCTGTCTCGACCAAGGGAAAGGATGTGGAAAGTGACAAAGAGAGCCGTGTAGAGAAACAAAGACGTAACTTGTTGGATACCCAGACAATACTACCGGATCGATGTAAACGAGCTGCCAAAGAAAAAGCACAGGAAAAACTGAAAGTGATTATGGAAATGAGCGAAAATCTTCAGCGGAAGAAATCCAATACCGTCGAAGATAAAAATGCGGAGACAGAGGACCAATCTCCCGAGACTGAAAATACAGTAACCGAACATGAAGCCGTGGAAGACAAGGAGGCTGCAGCTAATACTGAAAAAGATGAAGACGAACCAGTAAAAGTCATTCGGAAGGAAGAAAAGACGATACCAGTCAAAAAAGAAGTGGAAATGAACGTATTCACTTGCAACACCGACCTACAGGAGGAAAACAGAAAGATCGAACAAGAACGCCTGAAAAAAATGGAGGAGCTGAACAAAACCGTAGGCTCTAGAACTTCCTTGAACTTCGTCGACAAACTATGCGATCGACTAAGTAACAATAATATACTGGTAAAACAAGAACCGAGAGACGATTTAACCGACAGCCTGTTCGGAAGCGAGAGAAGTAAATCCCCCCTCACTATGCCCGTCTTGGAGAAAAATCCTCCCACCATGATGGGCGAAGAAACAGTTACTCCTCTCCTTCAGGTCATAAAGAAACCTAGCACACCGCCACCGCAACCTCCGACTGTGAAAAAACCAGTGCTGCAAGAGGACCCCCAGCCGGTTAGGCCCAGCTTCGAAGTCACACAAAAGAATGACAAGAGCATAGTCGATATGATCGAGAAGCTAAAAGGCAAGTTGGCACCTGCCCCCATGGAAACCAACGTGGAGAACGTCAATGTCATTAACGTGGACGATATAGCAGATAGCGATGTACCACCTCCTTTGTCACACGCTGACGAATCGGAAGATGTCAAACCTTCCATCAGCTCCACGAAAATCTTAGAAATAAGTGGACTCGTCAGAGTCTATAGAACCAATGACTCTACCATGTTCCGCTGCTTAATACCGCCATGCACCTTATCCGCAGATAACCAAGACGTGTTCCAGAAACATTATATAGAGAAACATGCCGCTAGAGTGTTCGACAGGGACAATACGCTTTGCGAAACCTGCGGCATCCAAATCGAGGCCAACTCTGATGGTTCCCTGCTGGAGAATCTATTCAAGCACACCATCTCCGAGCACACAGACTCCCTTAACGAATCAGGCACGGCCGGGAAGAAACCGCAGATGATACGGATAAGGAAACTCAGCGGAGATGCCCTTTCAATCATCAAAAAGGACTGGGAAGAAGAGATCGACGGCCAAGTGAGCAAAGAAGCCGACAAGCAACCTGTCCAAGAGGAAGCTGTACCGGACAAGAGCATGGCACAAATCGAACTGACGGAAGACAACCCCTTCCCCTTCAAGATATCCGGGGTGATGTCTCTCGCTGAACCACCCCCGCCTTTGGCTCCCATAGCCAAGCAGAACGTACAGCTGGTGGTTAAGGAAGCCAAGCTCTCGTCCGTCGAGATAGCGAAGCCGAAGAAAACGCAGAAAGCCTTGGCCAGGTTCATCGAGGAAGTCAGCAACTTGTACAAGTGCCCGCACTACTACTGCCTGTTCACCACCAGCTTCAGGGACTTTCTTGAGAAGCATTTGAAGGCCCACAACGTGGAACCGGATTCGATGATCCCGTGCGTGTATTGCGACATGAAAACGCCCTGGGAACACGTCGCCATGCACATCGACATCAGGCACGCCAACTGTCGGTTCGCTTGCTCGTACTGTTTGTACCGGGCAGCTGTCAAGGAGTACGTGTTCCTGCATCAGGATAGGGCGCATCCGGCCAATGATTATTCCGTCATAGCTCTGCCCTCGCCCAAGATACACAAGAAGTTCACTGCCGTGGACATCAAGGTGGATCCCAAGAGCCTTTGCGAGCCTTACAAATGTGCCACTTGTAAGTATACATACTATGAGGGCCGGTTGATCATTCACTAGACAAGTTGAATTTACTGACCTGAGGTTCAACTTCTAGTTGAAGTTGAACTGTTTATCATTCTCTGAATTTAATGAAACTACAGTTGGTTCAGTTTGAGAGAATATTACTATTATGTATATCAAATTTCGGTACGAATCGCATGACTAATAGCTGAGATATAGTTTGAAGTGAGACATGATGTACAATGAATCAATTCGATGCTGCTTTTATATTGAAGAATTTCTCGAGTTTCTTACATAAATAAACAGCTGTCCTATTTTGCATTCCAAAGGAGGACTTTGCCCACTTGAACTGATGCGGGAAAATGCTTCATTTCTTCCTACTTATTTTTTTCACATAACTTCTAAACGGCTCAACCGATTGGCTTGTGAGTTTATATGGGTATTTCGATGGTTTCATGGATGATTCAAAAATACAATTGGACGTGGTGGCGTTGCTGTCGGTACGTCAACTACTAAACGGCTTGACCGATTGGATTGAAATTTTAAATACGTAAAACAAGGAGTATATATGTACAAAGTATATGTAATAGTAAATATTAAACTGTCTAATTTTTTTTTGAATGGTTACACCAACTGTGCAAAGTCGGGCCTGACAGCTAGTGATAGATAAACCGACCCTCTTGACCTAATAAGGAACCAGTTCATCTCCGTTTGTTTCTTCTTAGATTGCCAGCTGGAGTTCCTCTTTGAGAACGAGTTCCGCAAACACCTGATGGACTACCACAACCACAGCACGTTCATGACCTGCGGCCATGATAACTGCACCAGCAGAGTGTTGACTGCCAAGCTGGTGCAGCACTGGTCCTCGGCGCATTCCGTCTCGTCGTACCAATGCGGGTACTGCAAGACGAGCCACAACGACGTGAAGATGATGTACCACCATTTCTCCGGGTCGCACCAGAACATGTCTCCGGACATACTCATCAGATTGGTCAATCCGTTGCCGGTCAGTGAAATTCCATACTTTCATTCGTATCTTTTTCTACTCACATAACTGAAATGGCATTTAGCATACGAATATGTACCACGCTGAATGATCGATTAATCACTGATTGGCGATCTGTGATTTATTCAGAAAATTAAACACGTTACCATGGCAACACAATTTCTCAAACATTCAATATTACCATGGCAACACAGTTCTTCAAACACACTTTCAGTCGTTTTTTTATCATGTTTTTATCTGATATGTATATATGTATATATTACTATTAATATAGTATGCTGAAATGTATGTTATTTCGAAAATGAATAAAACGATAAAAGATAATAATGAAATTGTAGAGGTATGTCGTCTGCAGAACTGCATCAGTAAACACGTTCTTGATGCGCGATCTCTGCATGCTACAGTGTTTCCGGCCTCACGGGCGTGAAATTACAATAGGCGCAGTCGAAAATCGTCGAACTCCATTATTTTTAATCTAGAGCGGCAACACCGTGCTGGGCTACAGCGCCGAGGCCTTCCGCCGCATGCGCAGGATCGTCGCCATCCCCAACACCTTCACCGACGACAGACCAGGGCAGGCCGAATCCGCCCCCACCACCGCCAAAGCCGCCCCTACCGTCGTCCCCTTCACCAAAACCGCTCTACAGGTGGTGCCCAAAGGGTTGGTGCTGCCTGGCGCAAGCAACATCGCAGGCGCGGGCAGTTTCACGCTGGTGACGTCGGCCAGTTCGATAGGCACGTCCAGCAGCAGCATTATTTTGTTGTCGAATCCGAGTATGGCGTTGGGCACGTTGGCGAAGGACGCTAATAAGATGGCGGTGTGTTCTACGGTGGCTGCTCCGGTTAAAGTTGCGACGGTGAGTATCGAGGAATCGTCTTGTGTTTATTCGTTTGTCGAAATTTATAGAAGACAATCAATGCCTACTACAGAAAGAGCATTTCATAACCAAACTGATAATTATCCATTTCTGGAATTCCAATTGGATGCTAGATGTGTTAACCTGATCGTGGAAAGAAAATCACAAAAAGTCTAAGGAAGTAGGTATCTATATCTATTCCTAGACAAGCGTATAATTTTCTAATATTTTCCGCCACCATACTTCTGAATGTGCAAGATGTTCTTTGAAGCTAGTTCTAATGGGTCTCCTGTTTTGGACTATATAATATGTTTTGATTCAATCGAAGAAATTGATTTCGTGAATTCCTGATTCATGCTAATTATCATATCGTAACCATGTTGACGCTAGTTTCAGAATTGGAGGTTCACGCAATTCAGTAGGCTCATACAGGTCGAAAATTACTTTTTTTCCAAATTGCCCTAAAAATAGAAAAAGCAGATACTAATTCAGACGCATAAAGAAATAATCCGGTGTCATATTCAGTAGAGAACTCTCACTTGAGACTCACGCTACTTGAATGTACGATGTGCTAACCTGGCAGTGAAAAACACGAGGAGAGTAATTCACAAAAAAATTGAAGAAATATTATGAAGGATGTTTCTAGATAATTAATAATTAATTGATCAAGTTTTGGTTCTTGATATCTGTGTTATGATCGTGGTTGAATGTGCAAGATGTTCAGTGAACCTAGTTTCAATGGGTCTCCAATTTCGGACTACTTGTGTCTCGACGCAATCGATAAAATTGATTTCGTGAAATCCTGATTCGTGTTACTGATCATATACAGGTAGAAAATTTGTTTTCTTCTGGTTGCCTATGAAATTTCAAAATTCATATAGACTTCACAGACCCACAAAGGAAAAATCCGATGTCAGACTTAGTGGAGAGCAATTCTTCAAGGATTTCTAAATTAGCGGTTTAGACAATATTGTAGGCTAATAGAGGTCGAAAAACATTTTTTTTCCTGATTGACGGTGTTGGATTTAGTAGAGAACTATTCCTCTGGATTTTCGAAATTAGTGATTCACGCAATGAGGTAGGCTCAAAAAGTTATTTCTTCTTCATTGCCCTAAAAGTTTAATAACATCATTGCCACTTATCCATTGAGAACATGTTCGTTAGATTCTCAAATTAGCGGTTCATGTAATGCAGTAGGATCATACAGGCCGAACAATATTTTTCCTGCTCGAAAATCCCAAAAAAATTGTAGACCCTAATTCAGAACCATGTAGAAAGAATCTGGTGTCAGATTTAGTAGATACCTTTTCGTTCAGGGCTCAGAAACAGAAATAATTCGCAAGAAAATGCTTGGAAATGTTGAAGACCTCGGAAAAATCACCATCAATTGAATTCGATATGCCAGTGAATTCCAGACAAATACCGACCAGATCGCTCGCTTCAGATTTTCAACGTTGCCAATTCCATTCTAGGTCGCATCGCCCACCCCCATCCTCGCCAAACCATTCTCAACCGCCACTATCCAAGCCTCTCAGACCCCGCCAATTGCCCCTTCGACCACGCCCACAGCACCAAACCCTGTCCTTCCGACCACGCCCATAGTGCTAACCCCCGCCCCTCCGACCACGCCCACCTCCCTGAGCCCCGCGCCTCAAACAATAGATCGTTCCCCCCAAACGAACCAACCCTCTCCGACCATCGACCCCCACGTGGCGCCCTTGGAGCACATTACGCTGAGCAGCGAGGAGGCCAATCAGGAGGAACCGTCGGAGTCCGAGGTGGACCCCCTCGATCTGGGGGACCCCCTGAAGACCACCGAGGGAGGGGGGGACAGTTCCGGCGAAGAGAGCGAGGGGAAGGCATCCGAGAAAGCGGAGAAGGGCAAGCTAGGGCTGCTGGGGTACCAGCTGTACCGGTGCTCGTTCTGCGACTTCTCCTGCTCCAATTCCAATGATTTCAAGAAGCATTGCACTAGAAGCATGGCTTGCAGGAAGGTAGGTATAGGTGGTTGATGTCTTTGGACTTAGGGCCGATTTCATAATAATTGATTTATTGTTTGATGGTCTTTATTACTCCAAGAAACATTGCTGTTTATCATAGCAAAGGTAACTGGATCTACCGGCTAGGTTGCGGCGAGATCTCTTAGAAGTAAATAAATGAACGAGTGAACTGTCTTATAGTTTATCTTCTGTAGCCTAAGATAATAGAGATGCATGAACACATCAAAAAAATATATCAATAATATATAATGCAAGGATTTTTTTCTGTGACGGGAACAAATTTGACATTTCATCTCTGTTGGCAAGATATAAAATGTCACTTTTCATAACTTTCTTCCGGATATATATATACAGGGTGTCCAGAAATAAAACCGACAAAATATATGGGGTTATTGGGACTGCCAATATGTCAAAAACCGCTTCGTTGTGTATTTTGACAAAAATTCAATCTGCCATATTAAATACAAGGATTACCCGATTGGGTTCAAATTTGGTACATGAATTAAACTCAAAGGCTGCAACAAGTAGCATTCTGAAGGAAACCAATATCAGGACCGGATAATTGTTCTATGTTGAGTTATTGCGAGAATAACTCACCCTGTATAATAATTATCAAAAAAGGTCATAGTATTAATCGACATGAAAAATCCTTGTTGAGAAAGTTTCTGGCTCAATTTTAGTCATTCCGTAATAAATTATTATTTTAATTTTTTTCATCATCAGAAATGAAAATTTGTTGAATATTTACGAAACCAAGACATAATTTTTGTTATTCTCTTTGATTACTTCGTGGAAATATTTTATAAATCACTCTCGTAACCTGAAAAAACTGAAGAATACATTCGAATCAGGACTGAAATGACTCTTTTTCATGTTCTTGTAAGTACAGGGTGTCCCTAAAATGTATATTCAAAATCTCAGCACGCACATGTTCCTGAGTTCTGAATAAGCCGATTTAAAGTAACTTATCTCAGTCCAAAATTGCTCCATTTCCGAGATATAGGGTGGTAAATTGAAAAAAAAATCGAATTTTTCAAAATTTAAAAACATTTTTGTACGCATCACTTCGATGTTTGGGATGCGGAACTCGAATACGAAAACATTTCCACTGTGGCAATTATTGCACTTCTAATAGTTCAGAAGGGCGATACATTTTTTCTCAATGTACTGTTTCATAATTTTTTGTTGATGAAATATTTTCTTAAATATTTCTAAGCAAAAGAGCTATAACCCTATAAGTTTTGTCGGTTTTATCTCTGGACACCCTGTATATACACTGATGATGGCTTTTATTGTGCTAGTTCCGAAACGTAAGCCAATAACACCGTCTATTTGATATCTTCAAAAGACTGATAAAGATGCCTGCAATGCAGTTGTAATTCCTTTTTGAAACTTCAAATTCAGTCTCCCTCTGCGTCGGGAGATAACTCCACCTCGAGCTGAGAGCTACTACTTTTTCCCATGTATAATAAATAACTAAACTGAAGAATTCTATTCAGTGGAACAAATCAATACTTCTCAAGATAATTTATATCATTTCAATTCTGACTAATCAAATCATGGCAAATATTTTTATCAAATTGTCCTGACCAGGTAATGTTTAAGATTGACTTCAAATCTTCTTTTTTATACATTATGTATATTTTTCAATTCATTCGGTAATAATTGTATAAAATTATTCTATTTTGAGTTACAGATTGTTTGCTACGTTTGACTTGAATGTATATGCCAACAAGTAATTCAATTGTCTAGTCCCATAACTATGGACTGTATTGACTTATGTTTAAAACTGCTCGGTACGACACTCAGATATAAAAGCAAATGCATGCGATGTGTCAGTTTTCAAAACATCCAGACAAAATTTCATTACAATGTTGCCAGTATAGTTTCGACATAATCGTAAAAATGTGTGAAACATTTTTTTTCAAAACCTTTTATCTTGAAAACGGATGCCGTTATGACATTTTTTCACTAAGCAAACCCAAGTTATTTTGCAGTGTTCTACCTACCTACCTAGCAAGGGGTTCAGTTTTTTGGGAAACACCCTGAATAATAAAACCTCATGATCGTTGATTTCATCAGTAATCTTGCAACAATTTATATTTTTGAAGTTTTCGACTGAAAAGAAACAGTTCTTCCTTTCAAAGTATTGAAGATCGTTTCGCTCGTTTTTTATTTTAATCTTCCACATTGTTCCTATTACCCCCGAGAATGATCGGTGATTCTTAATTACAATAAATAGTTATTTAAAATTATCAGTAGCAGGTACCAACAAAATTACTTAAATGGTGCTTTAATTGAAAGGATCATTAACAAAATGAGCTATTGGTATCTCATTATGAAATCGGCCCTAATAGGCTTATCGCCCGAATCATAATATCCGATTCAATTTCAAACCATTCATGTAAAATGTTCTGATTTACATGTACCAATAAATTTTCAAGGTGACCAATATGGCGAAACCTTTCGAGTGCGTACATTGTGGCAAGTGTCTCAGGACGGCTCAGGCTCTGGTCGAGCATATGCAGTCTCACGGGGTACTCAGATATTCCTGCTTTTTGTGTATGAACAAGTTCGCTACTTCCCTGCAGGCTAGGTAAGTTGTGTTAAAAAAAATATTTAGGGCGCTCAATGAACGGGTTGTAGACACGGAAGAGGACATTTTTTGTTTGAGACAAAGGATATATTCGGAGTAGATAGGTAGTAATAGATTTGTTCGTGTTCCAAATTGTTGAAACAGTCCTTGGACTGCGTAGAATAGATTGACTTTTTTGCTGTGACGTACCGTTTTCAAGATATGATCGATAATTTGAAAGAAAAGGATTCCACTCGTTGGTTCGGGGACTTTTGAAATTCTATTTACTCCGATCATATCCCTAGCCTCAAAAAAATATCCTCTTCCCTGTTCTCTGCACCCTTCTTTTTGAGCGTTCATTTACTGAAGTATAATCGCACTCAATAATATACTAAGTAGTTGGTTGAATAACTATTTCAACACTGATGAAACGACATTTTTAGGAGTCACTTGAAGTATCGCCACAGCGTCAATCAAACTCTTGTGACGCCTTCGAACCCCTCCAAAACGAATGGGGATTCCGACGAATTCATCGTGAAACCGAAAATGATGCAAAGCTCCCAACCACAGAAAGAAACAGCTCCCAGCGAGCCTGCTGGCTCGGTGACAGCCGAAGATGACGTTTACTTCCCCGATCAGATCGACAAAATCCCGATCAGATCGATTTTCAGCTCCCACAAAAAGTGAGTCTTCTTACTATTTTTCTCGATTTAACTCTGTGGTGTACCACAAGGACCAGTGTTGGGACCGATTTGGTTTGCGATGTACCGATAAGTTCGGTATTGAGAAAAGGATGATGTTACTTTTTATATGTTAGAAACAACTTGAAACATTAATAATACACGCTATATCGTAAAAAAATCTCTGAAATATATAAATTATGATTATTTTCCCAATCATATTGTGGAATGAACAAGATAGAACTTTTATTTCAGGTGTGGGATTTGTTCGTACAGCACGAAAGTGAGGACGAATCTCTTGAGACACTTGCTGTTCCATTCTCAGGAGAAAGCTGTCTCAGACACGGCTCCTGTGAACCCGGTGCCGTGTTTGGAAAAAAACGAAAAAATGTTCGACAAGATGATCAATTTGGCTTCCAGCTCTCACGCTAGCGGTAGCAGCAGGATGGGCGGAAATGCCAAACAAGATGGAAAAGGTAAGTCGATGAGATAGAAAATGAATATTGATTTGTTTCGTTACCTGTCAAAATGTGACGTTTTGATTATTTCGAATTCATTTGAAATAATGTTCTCAGGAACCAATCAGAGTTGCTCGTAAGAGTTTTCATGATTTATTTATTTATTTTTATTTATTTATTTATTTATTTATTGAAAATGTTACTTCCAGTCAGAATCAAGTTCTGGTATAAGGAAGTATAGTTAACAATAATACCTAAAACTATACAATTATAATAAACTGATGAATAATGAAATATTTGAAAACATTAATTATTAAATTTTGACAAATCATTTCATATTGGTGAGCAAAAATCAATTTGAATATGAATCAAAAGTTGAAAAAAAAAAATCTATTTCGTTCAGAAATGATAAATTTTTTAAGATATCCTGTATTACAGCTATATTTTTTTACGAAAATCATCGGAATTACCACTACTGATATCTAATTCCAGTGCCTATTCGCGATAGAAAATAACAGGTCGCCCCATCTGACGGCAACAACTGGAACACTTCTGTGCGGTTTGTTTTGATGCTATGACCAATAAGCACAAACAAAAAACAAATGTGAACCAATGGAAACAAAGTAAACAGGCCGCTTTGACAGCTTTCAAGAACTCCGACAGGTGGCGTACGCTTATTTTCTATCGCGAATAACGGTGTTGCTGACACGGAAGTTCGAAGTCTACAACTTTAGGATTTTTTCAGTCAAGTTTGAAGTTAAGCAGAGGCAATTTTCAATTTTAAGCATTTCTGGATTGGGTATAAAAATTGGAGTAATAATGGATATCCTAGACTGTCCTAGAGGATTTGACATTTATACGTCAGCCATTATAATGTCAAACATTTGACGTTAAAATACAATTTTTGAAATGGACAATTAAAACAAAAAATGGACATACACATCTTCAGTTACATATTTTAGTTCAATTTTTTTTTTCAAAATACCTGAATCAAAAATAAATTACTGTTATGTTTCAATAGAACGGGACAGAGATAATTCATTACACGGTGAATAAAATAGTTATACAAGTAATATTCAGTGTTAGAATGACATTCGCTAGATATCCAATAATAAATCTACGTTCACAAAAAAGCACTTTGCATAGATGGTAGATTTGTTCCAATAATTGATGTTGCTTCTTATTTTAGACTGACGCTTGCGCTCAAACCAATTGCCATAGCTCCCTTGATTGCTTTTGCTTCCAATTCCATTGTCTTCAATACAAATATTATTAGATACATGGCGATAATTTTGTATCCTAATAGAAGTATACTATGAGATTGAAGTGGAAGTGGGAACAATCAGATCTCGTTAGAAATCACATTAGACCCGACTGTCCTCATATGGGGACACGCGAAAGTCTCGAGAAGCTACCGTCAACTAATCGCAAACAATGAAACATTCCCATGTTGAATCCGACAATTTTCCGAAATTCTTGTTGCTACCTGTGATGGCTCCAGCTGCTGGGCATTCACTATCACTCCAGTCAGTCTTGAGTGCTGCTCTATATCCTTTGTGAAGTACTTGGCAGCCTTGAATGTTTGATTTGAATAGATCCGGCTCGAAGGACCAATATGTTCGATACTTGATATAAATATCGTATTAGAACCGAACTTGAACTAATCCCAAAAAACGAACATTCTGATACAGAATCTGACAACCTCCCTGAATTCGTGTCCGCCCAATACCGCTTCGCGTGCTGCGCCCACGGCTGCAGCTACATCTGCCCCGAGGAGAGCAACCTGCGTCACCACGTTATGGCGCTGCATAACGACGATCCCGCCTTCGCTTGTTTCCACTGCAAGCTGCCCATCGTGCCCAGCGACGTGGACGAGCTGATGCGGCATCTGAAGCTGCACGGGCTGCAGCTGTTCAAGTGCGGGTATTGCGCGTTCGTGCACCAGCTGCGGGGGAAGGTTGAACGGCATATCGGGGACGGGCATTTGGATATGCCGGTGAAGGTGGTGGTGGTTAGGTGAGTGTGGTTGAAGCCTTTTTTCACCTCTTACGTTTTCGATAAAGTAGCACTTCCCAGTATTGAGAAGGAATATTCTCAGATATACACTCACCGGCAAAATATTGACTCGAATCTCGAACCATTGTGTTAAGAAGGGACGAAAGAGGATCACACTTCAATTCAAAACATGATGAAGCAGAAGGTTGGAGAATGGTTCTGAATTAATGTTAATAAAAATAAAAAAATCCATACTTTCCTAAAACACTTGTATATTTTCTTAAAAAGTGGTTATCGGCGAGAATCCAAAACCATTGTGTAAAGAAGGGATCACACTTCTATCCAAAACATAATGAAGCTGAATTTAACCACTCAACTTTGCCACAGGGCGTTAAGAAATTGAGGGTGAGAGTCATTTTTGTTTTTCCCTGTATAATGATCAAGCCATCAGCTTCTCTTAGGCCCATATTCAGGCTAACATTCCGAGCATGTATATACGATTTGGTCGAAATTTCACCGAAATCGGACCAGAATTAAACAAGTTACAGGGCGAACAATTTGGCAAAATATTTTGGAGGCCGGTTTTTTTCGCCGGTGAGTGTATTATGAACATAAAACAAATGGATACATATAAAGAAATACAACATTGAGAATTCGCTGAAAGTGATTGATACTTGTGAGTAAGTAGACATACTATTAGACATACTATTTCCCAATATTTCGACTCAACATTCTGCTGAAATTCCTGACTATCAAAAGGTATCGTGTCGCTAGTGAACTGTCATTATTTCAGAGGGAGAGGGAATGTCACATTTATTTCCGTTGTTTTTCAAACATTGCCTTTTCTTATAATTAATAAATTATTTATAGGTATCATTTTTAATATCAGAAAATGCCTGATATTTAAATAATTGACCAGATAAACGAAACACACCACCGAAGTGACAAGCTGACAACTGACAAATTTCACCAGCTAATCATTTGTTGCTGATTACTGATTTTGCATTTTCGATTTTTTTATTTCGGAACGCAGATTTTCAGCAGAATCATTGGATCTACTGAAAGTACTGACCATAGTAGAATTAGGAATATAGTTCCAACTTTAGACGTCATCGAGAATTACCAACATTGTTACGGTTGATTATTTGGGTTGGGACGCATACCTGATTGTTCCATACGAAATAAAAGTATGTTTCATTGGTTGAAATTTAGCAGTTTTTACCCCGTTCTGAACTCTTGTGATATAAAAATATTAAACTGAACGTATATATTAAATACCTACATATAAGAGACTTCTTTCATAGGAATAGTATATGTATTTCGTTGGAATATATGTACATACCAACTTGAAATCGACCTCCATTGCGGTCCTTCAGTCTTATCATTCAATATTTCGAGAAGAAATGATTTTCTTATCAATTCATTGTATCCTTTTACCCACTCGAGGAGACGCTATTCACTCTCATACAAAAATCAAAGACAGAGAAAGATATATGGATTCACTCTTCCCACGACTTGTGAAGGAAAGAAGACGCGAGGATCCTTTATCCAAGCGAAAAACATATTCTTGTCCTTGTCTGGCAAAACATATGATTTGCTTCAAAATCGTTTGAGGTTATGTTTGATTGTCACTGCTTGTCTAGTGTCCGTACTCTGATATAGGTCGCGTGCAAGAACTGTCAGATGACCGACCCTGGAGGCAAAACATATTTGTTTACAAGTGATCGAAATAGTTTTCCACAATTATTTTGGCATATGAATCGTATTTTCCGCTATTCATCAATTCGCTAATGCCATCACATTGTGCTGTTGTAAAATGCACAAAAACTGCAGCGGAAGATGAAGAAATTCGGATGGTACATTATGATTCAAAAGTAAGTGCCTACTATAGTCACTCACATAGTTTTCATTTTTGAAATTTGGTTATTTCTCTGATTTCTCATCGGAATTCCTTCTGCAATAGGATCAGCTAATAGAAATATACCTGAAATTTCTAGAATAATGCAAGAAGATTGGATTCATGCAATCAATAGGTAGGACTGGTCTGACATGCTGACGATCGTGTGTGTTGTAGACATTTTCAATCTATTAGCAGCATTAGCTTGTATTGCAGAAGTGGCAGAAGGCAGAAGGACTTTTAATAAGGAATGACAACATTTCATAATGCTAACTATGTGAGAATACTATTTACCTGAAAAATCATATTCCCTTAGTCTCTTGCTGCATTTTTTGTGCATTGTACAACAGCACAATGCGAAGGCATGCTTGAATTAATGAATAACGCAAGAAACACGATTGGTATGCCAAAATATTGTGAAAAACTATTTCAACCTTTTGATTCCTCTGTAACCAAATAAAAAAGTGAGGTTGTGTTTCAATAATTCACAGAAGAATGAGGTTGTGTTTCAATATTTTGCCTCCAGGGTCGGTCTTCGTGCACGCGACCTATACAAAAAACGTCAAAACAGCAGTGTCAAGTACATTTAGAAACTAAAAATGAGCTAACGAACACACTTTCCCCCTCCCGCTTCCAGGAACATGTCGTCAGAACCGACCGACCAAGAAGACCCCCCCACCGGCACCAATCAACCCTCCACCCCCCAACCGCCCCCCACCAAAACCAACCAGAAACCGTGGCGGTGTTGCATGTGCAAAACGCGCAGCTCCACCGCCGAGAGCATTCAAGCACACGTGCTCGACAAGCACGAGATCGATGCGCAGTACAAGTGCGCATTGTGCGCGTACAAGACGGATCACGAGGGGGCGTTCGAGGGGCACTTCAAGGGGTCGCATCAGGGACAGGAGGTGGAGTATATAGCGGCGTACAGGAAGGTGGAGGAGGAGCCCTCGGAGGAGGGGGGAGATGCTTTCGATACGACGCCGCTGTGGCAGAGAGACAGGCCGAGGGTGCGGCACATCAGGTAAACATTTTTTTCTGCTACTGCTATGAAAAGTAGCGCATTTCTCATAGAAATTCGCAATTTTTTTAAATCAAATCACAGAATTAGACTGACACAAGTGACATTAGATATTTGATTACTTCAAAAGAATGATAAAGATGCCTACAACGCAGGTGTCCCTACTGTTAAAAACTTAAAATTTCACGTCGATAATTTTCAGATTTCAAAATAATGTAATATCTTCTCAATATTGATTCGTCCTTTCTTCTGTCACAGAAAAAAATAGTGCATTATACACGGGAAAAATATTAGATTTTAGCTCACGGTTTTTTGTCTCCCTCAGCTACGCGTCGGGAGACAACACAACCTGTAGCTAAAATCTACTACTTTTTTTCCCTTGTATAATAAATAACTATTTCCGCCTACCTCTATCCAAAGTACCTATATATTTCTTGGCCTCATTGTAGGGAAAAAAGTCGTACTTTTCCTCAATAGGGAAAATGTCATATCTTGATCCAGAATTGTCTCAGAAATCCAAAAATGTTATAATATACAGGGCGTGTTCCATTCAAAAATTCAAATCCGGAGCCATTTCCGGTGAAACTGGAGATGCCCATAGAATGAGAAGGAATTGAAACGAGAATTCAATGAGTTTGCAATGTTGCCGTAGTCACGTCAACCAAGAATTTTGGCATTTCGAAACCAAAATAATTCGAGGAAAGTACATCAAAACTTTGGTACATTTTACGGAAAAAATAGTGTTCATAACTCGTTCGAAATCATATTCAATCGCATACCCTGAAAAACTGGCGGCCAGAAATGAACATCTCGTATATTCCAAAGGGGAATACTGTTCGACGAGTCCAGTCCGGTTCCGGCTAAGAATACCAAGAAGACTCCCACGAAGGTACCTACGCCGAGTAGTTCGAAGAGTAGCGGCAGCAGTTCCTTGGATTTTTCCATCGATGCAGTGGCTAAAGGAACGGCGGGCGTTTTGAAGGAAAACGAATTGATCGAACAGGTAAGTCCCCAGAAAAAAATGCTTTCAGAATCCCTTCAAAATCGTCTGTTGAAATTTCTTAAAACTCTCTAGTATTCTTTGGAAACTCTCAGTTTCCTTGATAAACTCGAGTTATATGTAGAAAAAACTGACTGGTTAATTCATTTCAGTATTTGAAATTACTTGAAAACTTACAATTAGGTAATGGAAATTCTTCGGTTATCTAAAAACATAATATGTCACAATTTGTCCAATATCTACGTCAACGAAATCATGAAACTCGGCAAAGACATCGTCGCCAAATCCAAAGAAGGTGACGTCATCGTAATAGACGATGGCGAGGAAAACCCTTCTAAAACCCCCAAGCCCAAAACGACCGTCAAAAGAAACTCCATCGAAGTGTCCGACATCACGAAAATCCTCCAATTGTAAATTTCAGAATTTTTAAAATTTTCTGGAACCTTCAAGCCCAAAAGGACCGTCAAAAGGAAGTCCATCGAAGTGTCCGTCATCACGAAAATCCTCCGATTGGAAATTTCGGAATTTTTGAAATTTTCTGGAATAATTTGTAATTTCTCAAAATTCATAGGAATTATTCCCAAAATTGAGCTTCAAGTAAGAAAAGAACCTGGTTAATTTGTTTCAGTATTTGGATTTACTTGGAGTTCATCTTTGAAATCCTTCAAAATCATCGTCTCGTCCCACCCACAACCCTACATCAATGACATATGTGACACTTTCCCAATCTAGGTCAACAAAATCATGAAACACGGCAAAGACATCGTCGCGAAATCCAAGGAAACCGATGTCATCGTAATAGACGATGACGAGGAAAACCCTTCTAAAACCCCCAAGCCCAAAACGACCGTCAAAAGAAAGTCCATCGAAGTGTCAGGCATCACGAAAATTCCCCGATTGGACGACATCATCGATCTGGAGATCAACGAGGACGAGGACGCTTGCAGCGAAAAGAATTTGAAGCAATTGTATGGGCAGTTCGGTCTGCCGCTGAACAGGCAGCTGAGGTGTCCGTTGTGCAACAACTTCAAGTCGAAGAGGATGTCCGATTTCATCTATCACATGTTTAAAGAGAAGAAGGTCTACAGGTGGGTGACTGTTATTAGAATACCATAATAATTGAGGATTATAAAATTATGGGTAGACATACAAAGTTACAATGATGCTTACAGCTCCTTTTTGAGGATGATCAATCTAATTTGAATTTCTGTTTTATGGTTCTTGAAAAGATATTTTGATTTTTCCAACTTATTAAGTCTGGTAACAGTGATTTACACAAAAATTCAATGGATAATAATTAGAGAACCATTTCTTTGCTAGCAACATTATTGAAAGAGATGCATAAAAGATTATCTGATTATTTAACAAAAATTAAATCTTTCTGATGGTCAATATGGCTCTCGGAAACACTGTGATACTGAATGTGCAACACTGGATGTTATTACTGACATTCAGACTACAGATATGGACTCTTATCACTGGATTTGCGAAAGGCATTTGATGCATTCAATTTTGATATTCTATTAATGAAATTAACTGTAATGCAAATAAGAGGTAAAGTTTACTCTTGGTTTGAAAAATATCTAGTTGATAGAAAGCAGTTTGTGTATGTGGGAGATTCATTTTCTCCAATAAGAAACATCTTGTGGTGTACCCCAGGGATCAATTCTCGGACCTATTTCATTTCTGATTTATATGAATTCTATCTCAATTACAAGGTCATTTGAAATTATTTGCGGATGACACAACTCTCATATATTACGGAAAAAATATACAAGAAATGAAAAACCAAATGGAACAAGATCTTACTTTAATTCCATTATGGTTACAGGATCATAAATTGACACTCAATTTCGATAAATCTTCTTTTATGTTCATCTCGAAGAGAGTTATACCTGATAACCAAATAGATCCTTTAAAATTACAAATTCTTACGTTTAACTATAGACCAGTCTCTATCTCTTGGTCATCGCATATTCAATTGCCCAGCAAACAAATTTCTCTCATTTTTATATTATTGATTGTCTTTATTACCCCAAGAAACATAGTTGTTTATACAAATTGAGGTCTTTTATACCTCCTTGATTTGGTTTATTTATTATATTTTTTCCCTCTATAAACATTGTATGTGTCTTGGGATCAATAAATGTTATTATTATACTGAGATGTATTTTGTTTACATTTTTATTGAAGGTTTCGTTCGAGGGAGATCTCCTCAAACCCTGTATACATATTTTTTGCAGATTCAAATGCGCCATATGCGCCGACGAGAGCATAACCTACCGGTACATGTCCCGGCATGTCAAAGAGCACAAACACCACTCGGACTTTCGAGACAACATCATCGTGCTGCCGCCCAATCCCAAGCTGGAGGTGTGGGTGCAGATGCTGATCAGCCACCAGTGCGCCAAGATTTTGCCCAGCTTGACGCCGGTGCTAGAGGCGTTGCTAGATGCCAGCAAGAAGGTGCAGTGCCGGTATTGCCAGAAATGGTGAGTCGATCGATTTCAGATTGTATTTTATCTATTTACCTATTCATTTATTCATATTAACAGTTATTCATTCAATAATTTATTCGATCGATTGATTGAGTAGGATAATATTCTAGTAAAGATTCATAACGCCAATTGACAGTCATGTGCCCGAGATTACCTTTCGCCAATGTATTATAAGGAAGATTTTATTGGGTCTCAACACCAACAAAGCTTGTGGTTCCGACGGAATCCCACCGATTGTTCTCAAGAAATGTGCTCCCGAACTAACACCTGTTCTCTGCAAGTTGTTCAACTACTCTTACAAATTGGGGATATTCCCGTCCAAATGGAAAATTGCAAGAGTACAACCAGTTCCTAAAAAAGGCAAAAATACCCTACCTAGCAACTACAGACCGATCGCACTGCTATCTATTATTTCAAAGATCATGGAGAAAGCTATCAATATCGAGCTCATGAAACACCTGGAACATTCAGGTATTATCAACGATAGGCAATATGGCTTCCGTCATCAGAGATCAACTGGTGACCTGCTCGCTTACGTCTCACATATATGGCAGCAAACTATTGAAAAATATGGTGAAACCTTAGCCGTGGCGCTTGATATCTCCAAGGCATTCGATCGAGTCTGGCACCACGGACTCCTCGCCAAGCTTCCATCTTATGGCTTGCCTCCCTAGCTATGTTCTCTGCTAGCTAGTTTTCTCTCAAACAGGTCTCTCCATGTAGTGGTCGACAGAGTTTCATCTGACTCTCTTAACATAAATGCTGATGTTCTGCAAGGATCAATTCTAGCACCAACACTATTTCTAACTCATATCAACGATTTGTTGGAAGCAACTTCATGTCCAGTACACAGCTTCGCGGATGATAGTACCCTCCATACTGCCTTCTCTTCCAGGGCTCCAATACCAGCCAGGCAAATCAGAAACGAACGAGGGAGAAATGTTGACAACATAAATATTGACTTGGCAACAATTCTCAAATGGGGATCCAATAGAACTTGGTAGATTTCAACGCAAACAAAACACAAGCATGCCTTTTCTCGAGAAAAGCCGATCTCACTGTGCATGTTGGGCACAGCTTGTCAGGAGTAACCATACCTTTGAAGACATCCATTTCGATGCTTGGTATTACTATCGGCAATAAACTTTTTTGGGAAAATCACGTGAAATCAATTGCTAAACGTGCATCCCAAAAACTTGGTTTTCTGTTGTCCAAAAAGGGACAATTCGTCTCGTGGGTGATGCCTGGCTCACAAAATCTCTCACTTCTTTGGCACACCGTAGAAAAGTTGGCGATCTGGCTCTATTTCATAGATATTCTCATGGACATTACAGGTTATCCCTTTTCGTGGGAACCAGAACATAAAAAAAATGGGATTACGCACCTCAGCTGCCGATTCACGGTATTGAATTTCTTTCTCCAGGAGTGAAACTGCTCCCTCTGTTTGTTTTATTAATACTCTTATTTATATTGTTGATACTATTACTACAGAACAGAGATTATGTGATACAAAACAAAACATGAATTGGTAAATTAACACTGTAATATGTGAACACTTCTATCTCAGGTTCAAGTCGGAGCAGGAGAAGAACGAGCACGCCATCTACCACTGGCGCAACGTACCTTACGCCTGCGACAGCTGCGACTTCCGCGGCTTCACACGCCAGCAAATCGAGTGGCACTTTGAGCGCATGCACACCAGCTTCACGCTGAACATCTTGGAGAAGGGGCCGACGGTAGCGGGGGAGATCGAGTACACCGACAAGCTGCACATTGAGGAGGCCATGCAAGAGGAGGAGGAGAAGAAGCGATCGGCAGAGCAAGAGAAAGAGGTGAGTTGTGCCCCCCTTGTTGTTTTTTTACTTTTAATTTGTAACGATCCTCGTTCTTTACATTTAATCAAATTTGTTCCAGATACCTGGTGTCTTGTCAATTCCTTAGTTTCCTGCAATCTTCTTGCTTCTATGCACTATTTCTTCCGAGATTTCTCCACCATTCACCATGTCTTTTCTGCTACTCTTCCTTCTATCATCCTTTCTACTATACACTACCAATAAATTCACTACTTCCGTAAATACTCTCTGTTTTTCCCATTTACTTCCCAAATCCCTATTTTTCACTTCTTGTTTTTTTTTTCTTTCTTTTCTCTTATCTCCTTGACTACCCCTATATTGTTATTGTTTCCAGATCACTGCGTTTTATTTCTGATTATATACCGAGTATATTTTATTCAATTTTTAATAACACTGTTGCAAATCACATGAGAGCTTTCTCTTGTCGAGGTAAACTTAACATTACAATGAGAATTTCGTTGCCTGGAAATGAAACGAAAAAAATGTTCCAATTTTCTGGCAGTTCATTGAGTTTGTTTGCCTAAAGGCAACAAAACTCGAAATATGAATATCATGTTTCTCTGACCCCCACAAAATGGTTTAGTGGTAAGACAGTTTGATGGATACATAAAGCACATAATTCTTGATGGTTTTTTCAATGTCTCTATTCGAAGACTCCACAGAATAGATACTTCTCTGACAACGCGAGTTTGAGAAAATTTATATAAACGTCATCAAATATTTGTTCACAATTTTGGTTGTCGTGCTTTCGAATTTAAGGCTATTATATCAATGTCATATACCAGTAACCCGAAAACCTCCGGTAAATTATACTCGCCTGAAAACGCTTCTGCACAATGCGCAAAACTGTCTTTCATGACATCGAGTCATGTTTCGAAATCATAAGTATTAAGAGTGAGTATTTTCCATAATCCACAATATGTCTTTCCGTTTTACGTTGACATCTTCCTTTCCTTTTTTCTAGGTCAATGTTGCAGAAGTAAATATACCTGAGGTGCATCTACCTGAGATGGAAGACGAATCAAACCAAGATGGTACTGTTCAAGGAATGGCTGCCGACGCCAGCAACGATAGTACCGTCAATATGTTCAATAGCAGAGACAGTTATGAGGTATGTTTCATTTTCCACTTTCATAACTTTCATAACCATTTATTAAATTCACATGTACTTTGCTCATTCATCCACAGAAAAAATATGGCTGGGCTTATGAAATCGCAACTTCTAAGAGTTTTTAATTTTCTGAAGATTCCCTATGTTCAATTCAATAATTATCTAATAACCGCTGCATTAGGTATGCCTGCTCGGGAGCCAAATGTAACGATCATCCTTATACAAGGTGTCTCAGAACAACGTACCATGAATTCTACAGGGTGAACTAGAGGCCAAAATAGGCCTATTAAAATCAACTTACCTCTATACGAAAATGCACCGTTGAGCCGTGAGAGGGCGATGAAGAATAATTTTATTTTTTCTGTGAGGGAAAAAAGTTTGGCATTTCATCTCTGTTGGCAGGTTATAAAATGTCACTTAGAGTGAATTGATTTCCCGTGTTCTCATAGTTGGAAACTGCACAAACTTGCATCTTTCTCCTAATTCTTTCAATTTGTGAAACCTTTGAAATTCTTTGAAATTTATGTCATGTACGTCGCTGTGTATTGTCAGTTCCCGCTTTTTCCATCAATTTATTTGTGGTTATGTCATCTTTTTTTTTTTCGTTCTCCTAGGCCCCCAACAATCTGGTGATCGTCACCAAAACTGACACGAACGTGCCCATGGAGGGGGACGTTTTCTGCTGCGAGTACTGCCCGTACATGTCCAATTCGGAGACGTACATCATGGGCCACATCTCCGGCCAGCACGAGCACATGCACATCAAGTTCCATCAGCTGAACAGGGCGACGTGCGAGGCGCGGCGCGGCGACTACGTCGGCTGCATGCTGTGCGCCGAGATCGGGTCGGAGATCGCTATAAGGAGGCATCATATGGACAAGCATGACGGGCAGACTTTCATCACGTACAGGTGAGGTTTTCGGTTGGTGGGAGTTCGTTTGGTGGGGTCGTTCGTGACTTGTAAGAGTAGTTTTTTATATAAACTAAACAACAATAGATTGAAATCGCGATTCATTCATGAATCTTAAAAAAATAATGAAATCGCGAATGGTGGGGATAACGGGAAAGTTTCCTATATTGGGGTTTTTGATCTCACTGTGAAGTTTGTAAAAAATTAATATATACGTATTCTTTCTTTTTTTCGTAAGATCAAATTTCACTTAAAAAAAATAAATAAAAGAGGAACTTGGCCCCTCCACCATTCCTATGACATACTTTCTGAAAATCCACATTAACACAGAGTTAAAATACGATTCCCTGTGCCAGTTCGACGTTGCCGACATCATCAATATGTCTAGATTTCCGGAAATTGTTCTTTGAATGCATAATATCTATATCATAACAGCAATGGGATATAATAGGTTCTTCAATCCTATTTTGTCAAGTATTAGGAATAATTCCCATGAATCTCTCATCGGCTGAATGAAGTTGATTACTAATAAATATAAATTATGATATTTTGCAATAGTATCTATAATTTTTCACTATCGTTATATCACAATTAATATGTTATTCATAACTTGTCAGTAATTTTTTTGCTAATAAATCCGTTCCTTAATAAAATGGATCTATTTTCTAGGAAATTTGCATATTATATCTTGCAACAGCGCCTAATACTTTGAGTCCGTCCACACCACTCAAAATACTGACAGGCACAACAAGAGGAAGGAGCCATGGGTGTCGGCTTCATTCTGTTCTGACCGATTACAGTAAATTAGGAAGGATACTATCATTGAATGTAGCCGATAGTGATTCATTGATTCAATTATATTTTCGTTTAGGATCAAGCTCTATTCGAGATATTTCAATGCATAGATAACAAAACCATAACCTATCAGAATGGAGCCAACTACCCTCTGCATTCGTGCTCCTAGTGCATTTGTGGTTATGTATGTTTTTGTTTACCAGTATTTCATTCGTTAGCTATTCGCTAGCTATATTCTTTACCATCAGCTATTTTGAAACAGGCAGTTTTATAACAAACATTCGCCGTAAATTCGAAGATAGGCGACAATGGAAGAAACTCTTCTAACTATATATTCTTCAAATGTCTGACATTTCTGATATTCGTTGCTAGGAAACTACTCCTTTAATGAATAACAAGAGGCAGGTAAGAAAAACAATATTCTTCCTAGTTGATGTGAATATACTTAAGTACAGTGAAAAGTCGAGAGTCATGAGTTACATGCTGACAGAGGTAAGAATTCACATGGCTAGGACTCTTCCACATCAGGCAGTATAGTTCATTTTTTCGAGGAATGCGTAGATTTGGAATTATCTGCGAAAACCGACGAGAAACGCTATTTTTTCAAAATACCCAACCGGCTCTATCTCCGCACCCTTCAGTCCTACATTCATGAGCAAGAACAATTTTATCTAGGAAATTGTATCTATTTCCGAGTCACGGGCAAAAAACAGAAAAAAGTTCGAATAAAGTTTCGCTGTTTTTTGCTACTATTTCGGAACGCTCCAAGAAATTTTGTTTGCAATATTCAGATTCGAATTCAGCACCTCCAATAACATATAAAACCACAGAGAAACCGACTACTTGCATTTTTCCCGGATTGGGTCCTAATCGTTACCGCGTTTTACTGATCTATTATAGTGATACATGCGAATAACGAGCCTTCGTCCATTCCAGGTACACGTGCAACATTTGCCAGAAAAGGTTCATGAAGATAGCCGGCCTGAAGAACCATTCGGTTCGCACCCACCCCAGCGCCCCTATCACCTACACCGGACTCTTCGGCAACGTCGTCAGCATCGACCATCAGAAAACGCCCAAGGGCAGAACGACTCCGGTGCGAACCATCCCGGAGATCGCAGAGAAAAGCTCGCCGAGCGCCAGGAGTAGCAACAAGGGCGGCCATTGGTTGAGGTACGAGTGTCCTTTGTGCTCGTACAAGAAGACCATGCAGAGGAAGTCGAAGCCGAACGTCAAGTTGCATGTCAAGCAGCATTTCAAGTCGTTCTATTGCGGGGATTGTCCACTGAGGTGAGTGAAGTAGCTATTCATTATTTATTTTTATTTATTATTATTTATTTATCAAACGTATCTTCTAGTCAGAACAAGCTCTGGTATGAGGAAGAACATAATTATGAAATAATGAGCAATAAATATCTATGAACTAATACACAAACATGAGTAGAAGTGAACATGAATAATAAATCATAATAAATCAGGATATCATAATAAATCACAATAAAACAAAACAATCAGTGAACAAAGAAAAGCATTCTATTCAAGGACATAAATTACTGATAAATTTTAAACATTTCTCTCAGAAATGATCAGTTTTTTTACTTTCTCTTTAAATGTACCTGTATTTCTGCAGTTTTTAATTTCATCTGGTAGTTTATTGAACTCAGATAAAGCTGCATGAGTGAATCTTTTTTGTCTGAGTGTAGAACTAGCAGCATCAAGGTGAAATAAGTTATATTGTCTAGTTTGATGACTATGAATTTCAAAATTTCTTGTCAAAATAATATTCGATTTCAATTTTTAATTTATGATATATGAAATTTTCAGCGTCTCTAATCTGTTCTTCTGAAGAATATATATGGAAGACGATACAGTACTTTCAATGATTTCCTATATAATGTTGATATTTTATTGAAATTATTTTCAGAACAAGATCCCCAAACATTTATTAAATAGTTAATTCGACTTAGTATATGTGAATTGAATACTATATTTGCAATTTTGATATTGAGTTTGGGACATGTTCTCAATGCACCAATAACAGGAGATATTTCCTTTGTCAACGGGCTATCGACTTGAGTTGCCCTCATGTTTGGTTTTCCATAATGGTACTTATTAGCTTTATACTTTGTTACTTTTTTGTCTGATGATGGCCGTTGCGCCGAAACCGGTTACATGTATATTTTGTAAAGTGTGGTCGACCGAGATACTTGTTTTTCTTTTGAAATTACTTTGGACCACTTTGAGATATGGATGATTTTCATGATTTAATAGGTATTTTACCGATGAAAGGAATAACTAGCGGTCTGAAATGGCTACTTTACTTTACTTGGCACTGACAAACCAATTCACACTAAATTTCACAGATCATTAATGAAAATTACGAAAGATAATGGGAACCACCACTTGAAATTACAAATCACTTTTGTGGCAACACCACTATGCAATGACTACGAGAAATGCCGAAGCTGTCAAATTGCATCGTATGGACACACAAGACCATTCACACGAGAAGCACAGTGTTGTCGCTTTTAGATCAAAAAAATTCCATGATGCAACAGTATGGAATTGTTTTATGATTGAATCATTGTCGTTCTAACTGAAAACCTTGTAAGTAGGAGAGGGGTATAATATTGTCTGATAACGGCCAGAGCTCATTAGTTTCATTAGAATATTTGTCAAAATGGACAATTTTCGATTTAAAATTCCAAAACGTCACCTTAAACCTCGACTCAGATAAATTACAATTTTGATTTGATCATCTAATTTTGAGCTGACATGAATGTGAGGCAACATGCAATGACTTCAAACAACATCAGGTAAGAGTTTTGTCTTGAGCTACATAGGTATTATTCATTTTGTGATAATGAATTGATATCCCAGGAATGATATATAGGTAATAATGTTATATACATCTTTCTAGCTGACTCTGTGTCTCTCTTATACTCGCGCATTTGATGTTGCGGGATATTTACGTGGCGATTATCATCGGGATGCTTAGCAGGAGGTGACGGCTGAAGTGAATTTTTATGACCGTGTTCCTTTCCTTATTGACCATTCTAGAACACGTGATTTTGACATGGTCTCTTGAGGGGCACACAAACTATCTGTTAAGTTACCTTTGATGAGCATAGCCCTGGTCATTCCTGCCACATCCACAATATAACAACAGTTTCAACAAACAAAATTATGAAATTCTTTCTGGTTCCCACTCGGATTCCAAGGAAAACGATCCCACTAATTCTGTTTTTTTATGACAAATCTTGACAAAATACAATGTCTGCCCCTCAGCAACCTGTCAAATGACGTAATTCTGGAATGATCAATAGACTAGGTAAAGGCCCTTGACAAAACAGGGACCTGAACCCAAGAGACCTACCAAGGGTCCAGGGTGCAGGTCCCTGCTCGGGCGATATTTGTAAATGACCTTTATTTCTGGGGCCTTCACTTTAGCGCTTTTCGGACAAAGACTTGGTACCTGTTTCGGATAACTCGGAAGAATTTTTATGTAGGTGATTTACTTCACCTACTCCTACAAACTGACCTTGAGAAGGTCTAGATATAAACAGTAGAAGAAGGAGCTACAGTAAACCAGAGTTCAATGTTAATGACCATACCAGAATCAGGGGCCAAAAGAGTGTTCACTCTAATTGAAACGTCTGGGTTTAGAAATATTGTTGACTAATAACTGTTCTTCAAGCTCTTTTGGAAACAGTCTCTGGTAAGACCGCGGTCGAAAGACATATCAGAGAGCACAAAAAATTGAGAATCAAAAGAGCTTCCTCAACTAATCTTGAGAATGTATACTTCACAGTAATCTTGACAAGTTATTATTAACAATATAAAAGTGAATATAAGCAGTTTCTACCTCTTTCATTGTTATGCTTGCATATGCCATCATTTTGATAACGTGTGAACAATTTATCAGAGTATATCCATTTCCTACTCAAACGATGAGAATTTCATCATTGCATAAACAATAGTTATTTCTATGTTTCCTGTTTTCTTTATGTGTGTAAGTACTTGAAATGTAACAGACAATATACTTCTCGCATACTAACTAGGTTTTCATTAATTCAGAACGACAATGATAATAATAACAAAACTCATTTCCTTATTGGAAATCAGGCAACGCAGCACACAGCATTATATGATTAGTAGAAGGTGAATAATTTTGTCTCCTTGGGAGTGAGTCTATGTGTGTTGAATTTGAAAGAAACGTTCATTCAAATTCTGATATCACAATAAGTAACCTACGGGGCTACCTGTTTATTGAACAGTTTTGGAACAATTAAAGATAAATCATACAACTTCATCTTCTATTGCTATTTGTACAAAAGTGTTGAAGGCCGATTCAACAAATTCGAAACTTTGACATTCCCATTGTCTTGCCCGCAGATTCATGAACAACATCCAGGCCATCTCCCACTACAACGACAAACACCCCGGCCTACCCAGGAACATCAACCACGACCCCAGCATGGACGAGCAGGTCATCGAAGTCTTCAACGACATCGTGGCGAGAGCCTACAGGGTGGAAGACCCCTTTTGTTCCACCCCCCCACCTGCGACGCGACAGGTGCGAAACACCGCCATGAAGTCGACATCGTCCCCCCAAAACGCCTCCACGGCGCCCGAGTACAGCTTTTACGGTCTGCCTCCCGAAGAAGTGGATTTAACACGCATCATGACGTCAGTGGACATAAACGGCGTTTGTTTGGACATGTCGGCCGACAAACTGGGGAAGATTTTCGACTTGAACCCTCACGTGAGGGTGGAGGACTGCCAAGCGTTGGGGGAGTTGGAGAGCGTGTTGGAGTCATGACCAGAGTTGGACCCTTTGGATTTCACCTTGGAGGACTTCAGCGGGGATAGTTTCGAGTTGGACAGCATCATTCCGTCGGTGGACACTTTGCTGAACGAGAATTTCGAAGATCACGAGTATCTAGTGTGAGTTTTGTCTGTGTTTCTTCGTGTTGTAGATATGTAAATTGGATTGAATAGATTAGGTTTCCTTATTGTGAAGACTGTCTGTGATTTGAGGAAGTATTTGCTAAGATTAATGATCATTTCAATGTACAAAATTAGCGATAGTACTGCAGAAGTGACATAAGACTTATAGGTTAGGATTCAAAGAATAAGTTACGTTTATTTTCAACCAGTTTTTGTACAATAAAAAAAATTGATTTGTGAGTGATGTTGATTTTTTCCCTAATACACATAAAAGGCTTGTGTCTGGGCTTATCGGCGGATAAATTGGGAAAGATTTTTTATTCGAATTTTCACGTGAAGATGGAGAACTGCAAAGCGTTGGGGGAGAATTGGAGTCATGATCAGAATTGGACCCTCTGGAGGATTTCAGCGGGTACAATTTCGTGTTGGACACTTTGCTAAACGAGAATTTTGAAAATCACGAGTATCTCTTGTGAGTTTCGTCTATGTTTCTTCGTTTTTTAGATATGTAAAATGGATTGGGAAGGTGAATGAACCACCGGGGAGTTGTTGGCCCAATGCTTTATTTGCTGTGGGAATGACTTGAACGGCAAACATTTGTCGGCCTTCTCTTGCAGTCACTTTGCCAGTGAGGCAAATAAGCATTGGCCCTTCTTCGTTTTATTGTATTTGGTGTTGCCGGGATGAGATACAACAACCATACCTACATGTTCCATATAACACTGTATATAGTCCTGCAGACTTATATAGGTTATAGGATTCAAAGAAAGTTACGCTAATTTTCAACCGCAGTTTTCGTACATAAAATGGCGTGTGTCTGGACATGTCTGCCGGCAAAATTGGGTAAGATTTTCGTTTTGAATCCTCACGTGAGAGTGGAAGACTGCCAAGCGTTGGGGGAGTTGGAGAGAGTATTGGAGTCATGACCAGATTTGGACCCTTTTGTACTTCACCTTGGATGACTTCAGCGGGGACAGTTTCAAGTTGAACAGCATCATTCCTTCGGTGGACACTTTGCTGAACGAGCATTTTGAAGATCACGGGAGAATCAATTCGTTTTGTAGATACCGGGTGAGGCAATACGCAGCTATGCCTAAATCGGGTAGGCTATTAATTGTGTTGAAAAAATAATACCAAATAGTCGTTTTTGAAATGCTGATACTTTCAACAAACAATATTTTAGGTCTCGAGAATTTAAATATTTCAGATTTGTCCACATTTTCGAAAAGAGCTCATTGAGTACTATTTTACTGATGTACTAAGCAAAATGGTCGTATCTGACATTTTCATCCAAATTGAGATAATTATATTCATCCTATCTGGAAACACTCATGCATCTTCTGATATGGTTTCAAAGTCCTAGGGGCAAAAATATGGGCTCAAATCATGTTTTAAATTTGTCATATCTGCAATGTTTGCACACTTCAAGCTCAGATGTCATACATATCTGACATTTACCAGAAGTTCAGATAATGTCATATCTATTTGTCAAAGAATGTAACACTTACAATAATTTTTGTGGGAAAGAATTAATTCAACAATGATATATCCACATGATATAATTCAAGATATTTAAAAAAGCTCACATGCAGATTATTGTGAGTTTCTAATTGAAATCATGGATGATGGTATACTGATTGAAACAGAAACACGGCAATATCTCAGAATCAATAATTTGTCAGATAGGACCTTTCTGCTTGGCAGGGCGATTCAAAATTCGATGTAAATATCTCAGAATAAGACTTTTTCTCAATATAATCATGTGTTTTTTGGTCCTAAAATGCACCTCCTTTGAGCTACAGCCACTGTAAATTAGTTAGAAAAAGAATTATCTAAAATTGTGATTGAAATAACGGATCAAATCTTCTCAAAAATTGGCATGCTCCTGTCTTTTTTGACACTTCATCTCCTTGTTCAAAAAATTATGTAAACCCAGTTTTGGAGAGTTGGAGGGGAGATGTGGAGGGGCATTTTAGGAGACAGGTTTATAAGAAGAATAAGTCCACTTATTTTAGTCCCAACAATATGGTCTTAAAATAATTACATAGAGTTTTAAATCACCCTGTATAAAAGAATTTTTGTCATTCAACAGGTTCCAAATTACAAAGGAGTTGTGAGTTGTAATCACTATATGTACATATTTACAATAAGAATACCTTAGGGATGTCCCAATTAGAGTGTCTCAAAAATCTCATGACACCCCCTTTAAAGAGTGTGGACACACTTGTGACCACTGACATTTCCAAATTGTCACCATTCTCAGATTTGAAACATCAGTTCTGAAAATTAAATAGGCTTCCAGGCAAATATTTTTTGTCTTGTTCAATAACAAATTGCAAAAATTCTAAGAATGATGGTTACCATTTATATTTGAGTTGCTCAAATACAAGACATTTTTAGTGTTTGATAAAGCTTTCAATTCCAATATTAATTTCATAGAAATACACTTATATTCAGGCCCGGACTGGACCGGCGGGCAACCGGGCAAATGCCCGGTGGGCAGTGTTGACTGTCATTTCTCAAGAAGATCGGCGTTATCTGGGTATTGAAGATACAGTAAGACTGAATATACTTTTCCATAGCAACTTTCTCGTAGAACCATACATTTTTTTAATACGGTCCTGACGTGTCTTGATTGTGCGTTCACAGATTCTGGAAGCTTTTTTCAGTCTGAATACAATGTATGTATGTATGAATGTATTAAACAAAATCGTTTGAATGTGTTTCGCCTCAATTTTAACCATCATCAATGTTTCCTCGAAATATCATCAGTTTCACTTAGTTCTGATCGATTTTCAACGCTTACTCTTTAGTGATACATACCTTATAGCATAATATCGTCTTATTCTGTATTCTATGTATATCTTTTTGATAGAACGAATTATTTCATTATTAAACTCAGAAAAACTGAAGACATCTAAAAATTAATTGTATTTGTATTTATTTTTTTCCTAATGTCATAGGTGATAAAATTTTTGAAAGTAGCTCTGATAATTAGAACCAGTCAATAATGCATTAGTGTGTTGACTCAATTTTCTTCACAATAAATGAAATTGATCATAATTTTTCTTTGGAATTTCGAAAAAACATTGATGATAGCTAAAACTATGTCGGAACACATTCAAACCTCTCTGTGTAATACTCAGTTGTATTCAGAGTTACAAAAGCTTCAAGGATCTGTGAACACGTGATCAGATGAAATAGACATAAAACTAATTTTTTTTTTAGATTTTTTATAACTCTAATAACAAAAAAAAACAAAATTCAACTTTTTTCGATATAACTGAAAAACTACATGATTTTGAAAATTTTCGAAGGCTGCCCTGGATGCGCAACTTTTGCCCCACTAAACCAGTATAGATTAACTACTTTTAATCTTTGATCATCATAATGAAATTACGATTATATATACCCAATACGGACCTGAAAATTTGGGGCCGGTAAAAAAAATGCCTGGTGGCAAAATAGTAGCCAGTCCGGGCCTGCTTATATTGATATAACTACATAATGAGCCTTTGGTGTAATGTCCCTGTTAGGGTTTCAAATAATAATATGCCTGCACTTCCTCAATGAAGGGGTCCACAAAAATTACATTCTATCTCTCATGAAAGATATTTGTGTCTCATGTTTTTTGTTCAGCTGTTCAACAACATGACAAGTATGTACACACTAGAGGGTGTGAAATGAGATGTTTGAGGCACTCTAGTCTCAAACACCACTTATAACATAAAAATTATATACTAATTAGGTACTTATTATGAGTTAGAAGGTAACATTAACAAATCCAATGTTAGTTCACTATCACATAAACTAGGTTGTCCAATGACCCCACTTTTGCTCCTCAAATTCAGTTCAGTGTTTTTTATTTTCCAGTTATTGTCACAATAAGGGTCTCTAGCTAGAGCAAACACTTGTTCAAAAACCCCCACACAACTATCTTGCACATGCAAGGTCCCACAGGCCATCACTGTAACTAGTCCATGAGGGTCCATCCTACCTTGAGTACCTTCCTTTGAAACATTTGGATTGAAGAACAAACCATATTGTAGTTTGATGTCAAATAATTCTCTGGCAATGTCATCAGGGCTGTTTTCTATAATGTTTGTGTCACACTCACCACCTGTAATCTTGTTCAGCTTGAGTTTACCATCTGGATAGAAGTGTTCAGAGCCTATTCCTTCAGTGTTCATCATGGTGTAAAACCATTGCACAAATTGCTCTGCCAATGCTGATACACCCTCAATGTCTGATGGTGAGTTACTTTTGACCACTCCATTAGAATCCTGAGTCTGAGTACACATAACTTGGCTAGAGTTAGCAGTGGTGTAAGGGATACCTGAGGTATCCCAATATGCCAAAGTGGCATCAACCAGCTCGTTTTTTGTTATTGGTAACTTGAGCTTCACGTTTTTTTCATCTAAATATGAAAAGAGGATTTCCCTGGTGACCGCCTTCCTCCTTAGGATACTCAATCCGTCTGGCGAATATTTGAGTATTCCTGCTATAGCCTCTGAAAGAGATAACTGATGAGTGAAGTATATACTTTAGGTTTAGTAAACTCACCATCAGTTGATCTGATTTTGAGCAAACCCTGAGTTACCGTACGCGACAGTGCTAACAAGTCGTTTTCCTCGAGCTTTTTCAGTATTTCGATTACTCCATTTTCAGATTGTGGGTTTGTCATGACTGATTCACGAATGAGCAACAAAGCAACAAAGATTTAATAATATTCCAAATCTATATTTTACAATTTACATTTTCTGATCAGCAGGTTAGACAAATTCTCTTCTTCTTATTATTTTAATTCGTTGCTTCCATTTTATTTCCTTCTGTAAGGACTTCATATCAGAGGGCTTATGGACAATGGAGTCAATATGTTAATGACAGACGAAGAACTTTAATTCTTGGGTTTAAGTCAAAATTCAGAAATTCAGGAGATATCCCGATATATCGGGGATTGGGGTAGTTGGCAGACTGGCAGTACTGGGTCAGGCAGTCAGGTAGTAGCATATGCGATGGGAAGTAGTCCCTGGAATCAATATAAGCACCGGTAGTAGTGAAGTTAGGCAACTTTTCTTCTTCTTCATATTCCTCAGTTTCTTGTCAGAAGTTGTACATCTAGCAAGGTCTCTTCTTCTTCTTTTAATTCTTTGGTTCAATTTTTTCCCCTCTAACGCTCTAACCGTCTGTAACGTCTTCATGTCAGGGGGCTTATGGAATATAGGGTCAATTTATCAATGACAACACGAAGAGAAGAACTTCTGATCCTTCAGTTAAATAAAAAGTGATTGAACTGCTGTGGAAACTGGAAGTGTGAACTGTGAAGTGCTAAGTGCTGAACAAAAAGAACACTTTTATTTATATAGCACATAGAAGAAATAATAAACCACTGGAATTAACATGGTTCAAAAAGCACTGTTCGTTTGTTTAGGTTGTGGTCTAAATTTTTACAGACACTAATCACCAATGAATAAAGTTGCTAAAGAAACTGAATGAGCATACTGGAATAGTATATATAGCAATGAACACATTGTGATTTTAGGTAACATTTGTAGATCCCCAATCGCAGATGCAGTTTTTCAACATATTGTAAAGGAAAAAGGTATTGCAGAACAATGGGTTTAAATGGTGAATTCATGCACGACCTAACTTAACCCTAACTTAACATAACCCTAACCTTAAGAAGTTGAATACCCAATTTTGTATGATGATGTTCATGCACAGACTTAAGGATTCAAGCTTAATTTAAGAAAGTCATAAGTTGGCCAACATTTAACTTAATCCACTTCTTAATGCAAACATGTACTCTGCGCATGCCTAAAATCTGCATTGATGCCAATACAATTATCATGAAAATAAATCATAACCTAAAATATTTGATTTTGAATTCGAATTTTCTACGATAGCGCTCCACATTTTTCTGGCAATATGTTCGACGACTCAGAATTAATACATTTAGTGGAACAATTTTCATTCATTTATAATAAGGCTGATCCGAAATTCAAAAATAAACTTGCTAGAGAGAATGCCTGGACCACAATTTCGTCAACGTTGGGCGATTCTCGTAAGTACCTATTCTGCTGGAATATGAAAGACTGTTCTTTGGATTTTCAATATTACCTTCCATCTCTGAGTTTTCTATCATTTTAGCTGAAAATGTCGAGTCCAGGTGGACAGTGCTTCGGAATCGTTATACCAAAGAAAAGAAAAAAATCAAAACCGTTCCAACTGGATCGCAGGGTACAGGGCCCGAAATATCTACATGGCCCCAATTCAAAGAAATGGGGTTTTTAGATAAATTTATCATAACCAGACGGTTTGATATACATAGGCAATTCAACTGATAGAGATTTTCATCTAGTTTCTTTATTGTAGAACCACTGGCAATATAAATAATGCAAAATGTTCCTCTACCGCCTCTACTAATGCATGGGATACATTTTCTCAATTAACCAGTGCGAATGATGTAGGAGAAGTTTCTGATACACAGGAACTACAGGAAAATGATAAGGAAAATGATGATACTCAAATATCAACTGTAATTAACGAAACTGAGAATGCACCAGGGAATGAAGAAAATAATATAGATGATGATAGATCCATCAGAAGAAGTGAAACAGGCAGCCTTAGAAATGAAATGAAAAGACAAAAAATTGCCTCTAAAAACTCAAGATCAGAAATGCAAAGTAGCATTGCCAGTGCGTTGACCCACATCACATCATATCTCAAAGCTGATAATGAACCTGCAGTTAATGCAGAGGATGAGCTGTTTGCCAAATCTTTGGCGTGCTCTCTTTCACAAATTAAAAATCGAAAGAGAAAAAGTACCTGTAAAATAAAATTATTGGAAGTGCTGGATGAGTTTGAGGAAGATTGAAATTTCCATATTGAGATTATGATGTGAATTTTGATCTATTATTATTTAGTCTAGGGCGGTTAAAAAGCTATCAAATATTACAAATTTGAACATATCTTTTCAAATAGTTGTATGCACATTGGTAGGTATTAGCCATTGTTTTTGTGTTTCTTTTTTCATGGTACTTTTCTCAATAATTGTAGTTTCAAGTTATAATGAAAAATAAGAGAACCATAATATTAAATTTATTTTGAATATTAAACAATTACAGAATATCCAAAGTGAAACAATACAAAATTTTGAATCTAATGAGAGGAAAACAAATTGAAAAGTTCATAATGGTAAAATTTCTCAGAACTGATTTGGTACTGAGCCTTGTGTTACATGATTCCATTGCCAAGGAACGCAACCTTCATCAGTTAAAAAATAATCAGCTAGAGCTTCTCTGCAATTTTGGGCTGTTCTGCTAGCATTATTACTACCAAGTCGTCCCACAGATCGAAGCCTTATATTTTCTTCCCTCCATAGACCAATATGAAAATCCCCATTATTATCAACATAATCAACAAAACCAGTCGGACAATAATTTCTTTCCTCAATAGGAATGTCTTGCTCACTGCGTTGAAGAAAATTGTGAAGGACAACTGTAGCTCGGGTCACCTCTTCACATGTTGAAATATCAGCTACAATTGGCCTTCGTAAAATTCTCCAACGTTGAGCAAGTATTCCAAAAGTATTTTCAATTGTCCTTCTGGCTCTAGATAAGCGATAATTGAAAATATTTTTTCTCTCTCCCAGGCGTTCCCCTGGGAAAGGGCGCATTATATTTTCATGTAGTGGAAATGCTTGATCGGCAACAAGAAAGTGTGACAATGTGATAGCAGTATTTGGCAGATTTGTTGGTGGTGGAATTTTTAATTTTTTCGTGATCAATGCATGCCCTAGCCCAGAATTTTTGAAAACTGTGCTATCATGATTTGATCCTGCAGCTCCTATGTCCACCATTGTGAACTTGTAAAAAGCATCACATGTTGCCATTAGCACCAGGCTGAATGACTTTTTGTAACTGAAGTAATCAGTTCCGGAATATTTTGGTGCCTGAATAACTATATGTTTCCCGTCCACAGCCCCAAAACAATTTGGCATGTTCCATCTGAGAAAATAACCCTTTGAAATATCCTTCCATTCCTCAGCTGTCGGTTCATGGAGATAAATAGGTTGCAAATTATTCCATAGTGCTCTACACGTTTCTTTTATTACATAATGAGCTGTTGATTTTCCTATATAGTAGTCCCAGGATATTTGTTGCATGGAACATCCTTCTGCAAGGTAACTGTGAAAGTAATTGATGTTCAATTAATGAAAATCATACGAAAATCTTTTGAATACCCACTGCAAAGTTAATGTTAGTCTTTCAGCTGGTGAAAGGGCATTCCTATAAGGATATTTTTTCAGGTCATGTTCGATTAGTTCCAGGAGATTTTTAAAAAGAGCAGGAGACATTCGAGTATACCTAAAATAATCTTGATGATCCCTTTCCTCTATAAACTTCACAAGAGTAGAGAAGTGCCCAAGTCTTTTACGATCTCTCAATAAAGGTCTAACTGAGAATTTTCTTTCATAGGTGGTAACCAAATATGCTGAAATAGCTAACAAAGAAGCTGCTAAGGCAACAGCAACATGTTTTTTTTTTGAAACTTTCATTATTAAAGAAATTCGCCAAATATTCAAAACTGAATGATGAATTAAAACCACTCTTTGAAAATTTGATTATTTCTATAGGTTGGTACAATTGGGAATTGTCGTTCTGCGCTTGCGGACATTTTTATGTTAAGTTGTGCATGAATACCTAACAGAAATGTTTGAGGCAATCTTACGTTAAGTCTTAAGTTAAGACTGAGTTACGTCGTGCATGAATTCACCAGTAGACAGTGCAGCTATTGGAGGTTGGCACTCTGGGAGTCGTCCAGATTCTCGGGCTAGGAAAATTTTAGAAAACCATAATATTCCATACAATGGAAGAGCCAGACAGGTGTGAATATAGAGGTGACATAGGAGACATGTAGCAGCCTGTAGCTTTTTTATTCAACCACTTGTTTGAAAAGTGTGACCTGAACTTTTTTTTCAAATGTCACCCTGTATTTTTGTTCAGTCTATCTTATTCCTCTTCAAATTCTCTCTTCAGTCATGTACACATCATGTATCACAAAATGGCATTTGGTTCTTAAATCACTGTTGAATTGCTTTTCATTTCAAAATTGAATCTCTGAAAAAAAACTACAGGCTGCTACATGTCTCCTGTGTCACCAGGTATTGTACATGAGAGACATTAGTATAATCATTTCACTAAAATACATTATTATGATAGATTGAAGAGGAGGATTTCAAAGAATTTGATTATATATTTGGAATGGATGAAAACAATATATCTAATTTGAAAGATCAAGCTCCTAGAGGTAGCAAGGCAAAAATACTGTTATTGGGAGATTTTGATCCTGAAGGTGACAGAATTATAAGAGATCCTTATTATGTGAGTTTTTGATGAAAATATTGTATGAAGAGTTTGCCATTGTTGTATTTTTTCAGGATTCTGGAACAGATGGGTTTGAAAAATGTTATCAACAATGTATGAGGTCATGCACTGCATTTTTGGAACAGTTGTAATCAAATAAACTATATATAATTTTGGCGTATTTTATAAACTTCATATCTGAATACTACTTAAAAATGACTGTCCTGCTCATATTATATTGTAAATTGAGTGATAAGTGAGAATAGGTAGTTGCCTATTCCCGATAAAAAAATAACACTTCGCCCCACCTGACGGCAGCAACTTGAACACTTCTGAGCGGTTTGTTTTGATATGACTATATGACCAAGGACCAATAAAAACAACATGCCGCTTTGACAGCTTTCAAGAACTCCACTAGGTGGCGTACGCTTATCTTCTATCGCGAATCAGCCACTGAGCCTCCTACTGTGGAACACTGAAAACAAGTGACAAAGATAACTTCATTCTTCTTCTCTTTCATAAGAACATACCGCCTTATGTTTTCTAGTTTTATGCGCTATCCGGATAAATTCCCTTCCACTGTTGAAAATCTATGGTACAAATATTGAAAATGCATGAAAAACATGGTTCAAGAAATACTATTCGTTTGTTTAGGTTGTGATTCAAATTTTCAACTACTGGATTATTTTCAAAAAAATATTGCCAGATATCCGAGGTGACTAAAGTTTTGATTACAGGTAATATTTGTCGATCACCCATTGCACATGCTGTATTTCAACACATTGTAAAGGAAAAAGGTATTGCAGACCAATGGGTGATAGACAGTGCAGCCGTTTCAGGACGGCATAATGGGAGTCCTCCTAACTCTAGAGCTAGACAAGTTTTAGAGAGTCATAACATGCAATGCAAGAGAAGAGCTAGACAGGTGAAAAAACATTAGAAATGTAATTTTCAGATATTAAGATTCCACTCTCATTCACTCTATTTTCATGAAGATTAAAGATGAGGATTTCAACAGATTTGATTACATTTTTGGAATGGATGAACATAATATCAGTAGTTTGAAAGATCAAGCTCCTAGAGATTGTAAAGCAAAGATTTTATTATTGGGAGATTTTGATCCTGAAGGTGACAGAATTATACAAGACCCTTATTTTGTAAGTATTTTAATGAACATTACACAAACTAGTTCAACTTTTTTTATATTTTCCAGGAAAATGGAACAGAGGGATTTGAAAAATGTTATCAACAATGTATGAGATCTTGCACAGCATTTTTGGAACAGTTGTAATTGAGCAAATCTATAATACTTTTTGAGATTTTGAGTTTCAACTGGGCATCAGTTATGATATTCAAACAGCCTCATATATATTCTATTATTCATGTATTATCATATATTATCTATTTGAATACTACTTCCATTATTGATAAAATAATTCTTGAAGATGTCTTGTTGATATAATAGTGTATTGAGTACTATACCTAAAACTTCACCATGGTCTCACTTTGGACTGTGTTGCATGTGTTAATATCCATGTATTTTTTGGATCTTTCACCATAGACATCTGCTTATGTCTTCTATGTGTCTTGCAAAGAACAAACATCCTTTCTTCTCTTCTGACAAAATAGCAATCCTTACATCTTCTTCGAACTCTACCCATAACTTTGAATCCACAGCTTGGAATTATCGTTGGTACCACAGGAGCCAACAGTGTATTTTGGGGAAGGTTTGTGAAATTTGGACTAGCCAAGAGATGAAATGATGAAGATAGATGATTGAAAGTAATTCTATTCGTGAAGTTCAAAATGGTATTTCTCAGAATGGACACCATCTTCTTGTACTGAAAAAGTAGTTAAATATTGGATGAGGTTATGTTCTTGATTCTACCCACAGAACGCTGAAGATAGCCTACAATACTTCTTCTTTTTCTTCTCATATTTTGTACTATTTGTAGGTTATTCTTATATTTCTTATTCAAATTGAAATTTTTTGATAAGCTTTCACCAAACTGAAAAAGAAAACCATGTTGAAAATGATGTAAGCTTCATATTTACCTCACAACTTTTTCTTTTCTCAAACAAGTTTTTGTAGACACTTCCTTTTAGCTGCAATAAAAACCATCCTGGCCCTGATGATATTTTTCGTCCTCACACTTTGCCTGATAACACCACTGTACTACGTGTACTTGAAGAGAAAATTCAAACAAGAAAGGCTGAAAAAACTACCCCAAAAGCTTCAAGTTGGGATATTTCATCCATACTGCAATGCTGGAGGTGGAGGAGAAAAAGTCTTATGGGTGGCAATTCAGGCCCTACAGAAAAAGTGACAAAGCCTAATAGGAAAAAACAACACTTTTACACCTATTCCTTATGATTTTAGGTACCCAAAGGCAGAGTTTTATATTTACACAGGGGACATAGAAGCTACTTCCATGGAGATTCTTGATAAAGTTAGAAAAAGACTCAATGTAGAAGTACTTGACACTGTTAAATTCATATACTTGCACAAGCGAAAGTGGGTGGAAGGAGATATGTATCCATATTTCACACTTCTTGGACAAGCTTTAGGTTCTGTCTTTTTGGGTTATGAAGCTTTAAATCAACTAAACCCAGGTAGAAATTAGAAAGAATTGCTATCATCACTTTTTAGAATGTAAGGGTTGATTTATTTCAGATATTTTTATTGACACCACTGGTTTTACATTCACTTTGCCCCTCTTCAAATACATTGGTGGATGTAAGACTGGTTGTTATATACATTATCCTACTATAACCAATGAAATGTTGAAGAGGGTATCAAACAGACAAGCCATTTACAATAACAGTGGAGTGATTGCTAGGAGTCCTATACTCACTATGGCCAAGTTGTTATATTATCATATTTTTGCATGGGTAAGTTCCTTAATTTTTCAAATTATTATACTGCACCTATAATAGGTACCACCTACCTTATTTCAATTAATTTATATAAAAACTGATGCATGCATTTGTGTGTCTTCAATACTCAACTTTTTATTTATTTTTGCCACAAGAGTTTCAGGTGTTTGCAGGTATAGACAAGGATCTACTGTCTACAATATCTATACTTTTGATTTGATTTATGCATGATAATAATAACTATTTCCCGAAAATTTTACTGATACACCTATGTAACAGGAAACTGTCTATTTGTTGCAATGAACAAAATTAAGATGGAAGATGAAATATAGTTATAGGTGCACAATATAGTGTTCACTAAATGAAAGCTGAAAGAAACTATCATAATTACCAAATTCAGATATGGGAGAACCTCAGGGAACAGTCCTCGGGCCACCGCTCTCCATCATCTACCTAAATGCTTAGACATTAATGTACCTAGTTGTTGATAACTAAACTCCATGAATGTCTCATATAATATTTTCAATAAGATCATGATGTCTTATATAATATTTTCACTAATATCGTAGCCAGAACCCTCAAATGGGCAGTTTAAAGGAATAGAATTATGCAAAACTTCACAGATCTATTGACCGATTTAGTGAGTTGAATAAAAATGACATCCCGAAAGATTTCGGAGATATACACAGATAATATGCCATTATAATAGCATCTCTTACTGGAGTAGCAAACAGGATAATAGGAAATAGTCCATGAAAATTTTTGAAAATCAAGCAGTACCTATATAGATCCGATGACAATTCAAATTTTTTCCAGAGCAGAGGTATAGTTCATTTCTGACTGCGCCAATGACTTTTCTGGGTCGAAAAACTGCCTCATTTGGCCGCAAAATCGAAATGAACTCGATATCTCGACAGATAGCGGAGAGTTTTTTTGAATTCGGTATACAAGGTCCGATGACAAAATCCAAAGTTTTTTCAGAGCAGAGATAGTTCATTTCTGACTGCACCAATGACTTTTTTGGGTCGAAAAACTGCCTAATTAGGTTGCGAAAACAAAATGAAGTCGATATCTCAACAGATAGCGGAGAGTTTTTTCGAATTCGGTATACAGAGCATAAGGTCTGATGACAAAATCCAAACTTTTTTCAGAGCAGAGATAGCACATTTCTGACTGTACCAATGGCATTTCTGGGTCGAAAAACTGCCTAATTAGATCGCGATATCAAAATGAGGTCGATATCTCGACAGATAGCGGAGAGTTTTTTCGAATTCGGTATACAGAGCATACGATGACAAAATCCAAAGTTTTTTCAGAGCAGAGATATTTCTGACTACACCAATGACTTTTTTGGGTCGAAAAACTGCCTATGTAGGTCGCGAAATCAAAATGAAGTCGATATCTCGACATATAACGGAGAGTTTTTTTTGAATTCGGTATACAGAGCATAAGGCCTGATGACAAAATCATCCAAACTTTTTCCAGACCAGAGATATCTCATTTCTGACTGCACCAATGGCTTTCCTGGGTCGAAAAACTGCCTAGTTAGGTCGCGAAATCAAAATGAAGTCGATATCTCGACTTATAGCGGAGAGTTTCTTCGAATTCGGTATACACAGCATTCGATGACAAAATCCAAAGTTTTTTCAGAGCAGAGATAGCTCATTTCTGACTGCACCAATGACTTTTCTGGGTCGAAAAACTGTCTTATTCGGTAACGAAACCATAATGTAGTCGATATTTCGACAGATAGCGCAGAGTTTTTTCGAATTCGGTATACAAAGCATGTAAGGTCCGATGACAAAATTCAAAGTTTTTTCAGAGCAGAGATAGCTCATTTCTAACTGCACCAATGGCTCTTCTGGGTCGAAAAACTGCCTATGCAGGTCGCGAAATCAAAATGAAGTCGATATCTCGACAGATAGTGGAGTTTTTTCGAATTCGGTATACACAGCATTCAATGACAAAATCCAAAGTTTTTTCAGAGCAGAGATAGCTCATTTCTGACTGCACCAATGACTTTTCTGGGTCGAAAAACTGCCTTATTCGGTAACGAAACCATGATGTAGTCGATATTTCGACAGATAGCGCAGAGTTTTTTCGAATTCGGTATACAAAGCATGTAAGGTCCGATGACAAAATTCAAAGTTTTTTCAGAGCAGAGATAGCTCATTTCTAACTGCACCAATGGCTCTTCTGGGTCGAAAAACTGCCTTATTCGGTAACGAAACCATAATGTAGTCGATATTTCGACAGATAGCGCAGAGTTTTTTCGAATTCGGTATACAAAGCATCTAAGGTCCGATGACAAAATTCAAAGTTTTTTCAGAGCAGAGATAGCTCATTTCTAACTGCACCAATGGCTCTTCTGGGTCGAAAAACTGCCTATGCAGGTCGCGAAATCAAAATGAAGTCGATATCTCGACAGATAGTGGAGTTTTTTCGAATTCGGTATACACAGCATTCAATGACAAAATCCAAAGTTTTTTCAGAGCAGAGATAGCTCATTTCTGACTGCACCAATGACTTTTCTGGGTCGAAAAACTGCCTTATTCGGTAACGAAACCATAATGTAGTCGATATTTCGACAGATAGCGCAGAGTTTTTTCGAATTCGGTATACAAAGCATGTAAGGTCCGATGACAAAATTCAAAGTTTTTTCAGAGCAGAGATAGCTCATTTCTAACTGCACCAATGGCTCTTCTGGGTCGAAAAACTGCCTATTCAGGTCGCGAAATCAAAATGAAGTCGATATTTCGACAGATAGTGGAGAGTTATTTCGAATTCGGTATACAAAGCATAAGGTCCGATGACAAAATCCAAACTTTTTTCAGAGCAGAGATAGCTCATTTCTGACTGCACCAATGACTTCTGGGTCGAAAAACCGACTCATTTGGCCGCAAAATGAAAATGAAGTCGATATCTCGACAAATAGCAGAGAGTTTTTTCGAATTCGGTATACAAGGTCCGATGACAAAATACAAAGTTTTTTCAGAGCAGAGATAGCTCATTTCTGACTGCGCCAATGACTTTTCTGGGTGGAAAAACTGCCTATTTAGGTCGCGAAATCAAAATGAGGTCGATATCTCGACAGATAGCGGAGAGTTTTTTCGAATTCGGTAAACAGAGCATACGATGACAAAATCCAAAGTTTTTTCAGAGCAGAGATAGCTCATTTCTGACTGCACCAATGACTTCTGGGTCGAAAAACCGACTCATTTGGCCGCAAAATGAAAATGAAGCCGATATCTCGACAAATAGCAGAGAGTTTTTTCGAATTCGGTATACAAGGTCCGATGACAAAATACAAAGTTTTTTCAGAGCAGAGATAGCTCATTTCTGACTGCGCCAATGACTTTTCTGGGTGGAAAAACTGCCTAATTAGGTCGCGAAATCAAAATGAGGTCGATATCTCGACAGATAGCGGAGAGTTTTTTCGAATTCGGTATACAGAGCATACGATGACAAAATCCAAAGTTTTTTCAGAGCAGAGATAGCTCATTTCTGACTGCACCAATGACTTTTTTGGGTCGAAAAACTGCCTATTTAGGTCGCGAAATCAAAATGAAGTCGATATCTCGACAGATAGCGAAGAGTTTTTTCGAATTCTTACTTAAACTTACTTACTAATTCGGTATACAGAGCATACGAAGACAAAATCTGCTATCTCTGCTCTGAAAAAAGTTTGGAATTTTTCATCGGACCTTACATGCTTACATGCCTATGCAGGTCGCGAAATCAAAATGAAGTCGATATCTCGACAGATAGTGGAGAGTTTTTTCGAATTCGGTATACAAGGTCCGATGACAAAATCCAAAGTTTTTTCAGAGCAGAGATAGCTCATTTCTGACTGCGCCAATGACTTTTCTGGGTCGAAAAACTGCCTAATTAGGTCGCATAACGAAAATTAAGTCGATATCTCGACAGATAGCGGAGAGTTTTTCCGAATTCGGTATACAGAAGCATAAGGTCCGATGACAAAATCAAAACTTCTTTCAGAGCAAAGATAGCTCATTCCTGACTGCGCCAATGACTCTTCTTGATCGAAAAACTGCCTAATCAGGTAGTGGTATCGAAATGGCAGCGATATCTCGTAAGACTGATCGAGACTATGGCGCTTCTCATATTCACACGTCATCACTGTGTGAAGCTCAGAGAAGGAGTCGATTTCCATTAAAAAAAAAGAATAATCTTTCGATAACTGCTATCATCGATGTAGCATAATCGATTCCTTACTTCTATGAACCTCCTAGGCATACTCCCTAGCAGGCCAATGCTCCGACATCACTCTAGTCAACTCCACCTTCACCATGGAACACCTCAACGCCCTGTGGAACCGGCCTCTCCACCTCGTCTTCCCCCCCTGCGAAACCGACCATTTGAAGAAGTTGTCTCGTCCCACCGTGAAAACCCCCAAGGTCCGCATCATGTCTTTAGCCCAATTCCGGCCGGAAAAGGACCATCCTTTGCAGCTGCAAGCCATGTACGAGCTCAGGGAGATCGTTCCTGAGGAGGTTTTCGGTAATGTCATGCTGGTGTTGTGTGGGAGTTGTCGCAATGAAGAGGACAGAAGGCGAGTGAAGGACCTGCAGGTAGGGTCTAAATATCCAATTTGTTATTTCGGTCTTCTGTTATATTGTTTAATAACTACGTCATTTTCACTCGCTGAATAACTATCATGATGTGAAACCCCAATCATTCTTCGTTGGCCTACTACAAGGGTCTCAACATGATCACATGGTTCGTCATCATTAAGGCAGGAGGCAGACTATGTGGTATGTGGTGTAGACATCAAGACTACATAGTAAACCTTTTGGACATTTCACTTTGTCCTTTGTCTTCGGAGATAATGGACCTGTTTCAGTGAAACATTTCATTTCACCATTTCGAAGTACCAACCCTAACTAGTCGACTGTCGTGAACTCGTGAACCGTTTTTTCCTTAGAGACCCATACATCTTTCAAATATTCATTGAAATTCACGATATTTTATGACATGAAAAACGCAGGAAAACTGGTGACATAATCAGCCGTGAACAATCCAATGCAATCATATAAGATTCGACTTACGTATGTTATCAGTTATCAGCCAAGATGGCTACGATTGAATCAGACACGGTGAATACGTCTGTCTCAAAAAGTTGTAAAAAGTGTAAGAGAATTGCTCATAGTGGCCCAAAGTGCTCCTTATGTGGTACAGTGTCCCATAACAGTTGTGTATCTTACCTTAAGAATGTAAAATTCTTGGACGATAACACGTTCATTTGCTGTGAAATGGATAGTAAACCTGACGATGACCTCGACATCACCTTCAGGAGTGCAAATAACGAAGAATTCGATGAGGTTTATTATTTGAAAGAAATTATAATTCAAAAGGATGTGATCATCCAAAATCAAGTGGATGTTATCTGTTCTCTGAAGGAACAAATTCAATTAATGAAAAAATTGCAACAGGGCACTGATAAGCCTAACAATAATTTCAGAACAAACAAAGATGCTGTCACGCCATCTACTTCTAACAGTGGAATCCAAAATTTACAGAATACCCGTAAATCTAGCAACCAGTCTTCTAATGTCGATAATTCAGTGACCGTCTCCGAACTTCCTAACCTGATAGCGAAGCCAAAAACGAAACAAAATCGAGTTCCATCCAAAGAAACGAGGATCGATGAATCACTTGCTGATAATGATAACAAAAAAATAAAGCAGCCAATTATTAGCGGTGTTGCCGTATCGAATGCCATTTCCCAAGCTATCAGTCAAGTCAAGTGTGATGAGCTGATAAATGGCTCGGAAGATCCATTTACAGAAGTTAGTTATAAAAAGAAGAGGAGGCAGAATAAGCCTACTATCACTGGTAAAAACGAAACGGTAACATCCAAATTTGCGTCTAACAAAGCCTTCCTTCATGTATATAAACTCCATCCAGAGTTCACTAGTGAAGAATTATCATCAATTCTGGTCCCAATTTTTCCTGAGGTTGTGTGTGAAAAAATCAATTCGAAGCATCCACATTATTATTCTTCTTTCAAAATTACAATCGATTCCTCCAATATGGATACAGCCTGGAATCCAGATATCTGGCCTAAAGGTGCTAAGGTCAATCAGTTTTTTCACCCGAGGCCGAAAAGATTACAGGTGATTTAGCGAACACCATATCATCTGGAAATAATGATACTAATTCGTCTTCAAAAAATTGTGATCTGGTGAGCGTTTTTCATGTTAACGTCCAGTGTCTGACTAATAAAATAGACATGCTATCTCTTTATTTTGATAAACAAAAATCGGATATAATTTGCTTTTCTGAACATTGGCTAAATAGCTCTGTTATAAATTCTGTGAATTTACCAGGATATAACCTTGCATCATCTTACTGTAGAACTCATAGAATTCATGGTGGTGTCGCTATATTTACAAATAATAAATTGAAATACAAACCTGTCTCATTGGTCGAATTTTCTGTAGAACTTGATGGTGAGTTTTGTGCTATCGAACTCATTGAAACTAAAACCATTGTGATCACTTTGTATAGATCAACAAATGGAGATGTTGACATATTTTTCGAATTATTAGAAAAACTATTATCTTATTGCACAGAAAATTTCAGAAATGTGATTTTACTTGGTGACTTTAATATAAATTTCCGAAAAGCTTCTGCTGAACTCACAGAACTAGCTAGCCTAATCGCATCTTTTGGTCTTGATGTAACAATTTCAGACTATACGAGGATTACCCCACAATCATCCACTTGTATTGATAATATTTTGACGGATTTTACTGATTCTAGTTACGAAACAAAAGTACTTGATGCTTGTATTGCTGATCATCGAGCTCAGGTTATTACTTTGAAAATAGACAAGAAATCAACATCTAATCTCTGGCGCAGAATTATATCTGATTGTGGCATCGTGAAGCTGAGATCATCACTCGAACAACTAGATTGGTCCATCTTCGAAGATTCATCGGAAAAGTCTGACTATCTTGCAAATTTTTTAACTAAAAATGTTGAATCTTTTATAAAACAACATTTTCCACTCAAAAAGTGTCATTCAAGTCATAACAAACGCCCTGTTGATTGGTTTGACGATCAATTGAAGAGCATGAGGGACACATTATCCTGTATCAAAACGATCTGTGATTCAACAAGAAATCCACGTGACTTGAGAGTTTACAAAATGTACAAGAAACAATACGAATGCAAAATAATTGAGAGTAAAAAGAATGCTTATGATCGTTATATTGCTCAGTCTGACAACAAGGTTCGTGATAGTTGGCGGTTAGTAAATTTTGAAAGGAACAAAAAGACTTACAATAGATCTGAAAACGATATTGAAATTTCTGAATTCAGCAACTTTTTCGCCTCTATTGCAGAAGATATTATTAACACTCTTTCAAAAGAAACATCGGATATAGATGCAATTGCTCATATGGAAGGCATTTCTACTCCTTGTAAATCTTTTTTTCTAATGCCCATCACTAATAATGAAGTAATTGAAGCTGTGATTAAACTGAAAAATTCGGCATGTACTGATGTATACAACATCAATAGTAAAATTGTGAAAGCACTGTTAGATATTTTAGCTCATCCATTAACACAACTTTTCAACCTGTGTATACGGGAAGGGAACTTCCCCGATGTTTTCAAGGCAACGAAAGTGATTCCTCTTTTCAAAAAAGGTGATGTTGCCAAAATCGACAATTACCGTCCTATTTCCATAATCCCAATTTTCTCAAAAATATTTGAAATTATTTTGAAATCCAGGCTGATGTTATACGTGGAATCTAATAACTTGATAGATCCATGTCAATTTGGATTCAGGAAGAGATGTAGTACAACCCAAGCAGTTTTTAGGGTAGTGGGTGACATAGTGGAAGGCTTGGAGGATGGAAAAAATGTATCAGTAACATTATGTGATCTCTCCAAGGCTTTCGACTGTGTCTCTCACAGTATATTGGTCGAAAAGCTGAGGTTTTTTGGAATTCGGGGATTGGCACTAGATTTCTTCAGATCTTATCTGAGTAATCGGAAACAATGTGTGAGTATCAATGATTCATCATCTGAATACCGATCAGTTATACATGGAGTACCACAAGGCTCTGTGTTAGGTCCTCTCTTGTTCATTATTTACGTAAATGATCTGTTTCATAACATGCATCCCAAGACTTGTGTTGCTTTCGCAGACGACACAACCTTGGTTGATGCTAGCTCGGATATTGAAGATTTGAAGGTGAATAGTTCTATAACTACTACTCGTGCTAAAAAATGGTTTACTTCCAATAATCTCAAACTCAATGACGATAAAACACAAAATCTCATTTTCTCAACGAACAATAACATTGTTAAAGGTGATAGTGTCAAGCTGCTTGGTTTGGTCATCGATGATAAACTAAATTGGTCTTGTCATGTTCAAGAATTATCCCGAAAACTCTCAAGCACAATATTCGTGCTACGCAATTTGAGTAAACAGATATCCAGAGAAACTATGAGATCATGTTACTTCTCTTTATTCCATTCTCATCTCAGTTACGGCACGATGTTGTGGGGTAACTCTTGTCATGCTGAAAAAATTTTTCGTTTGCAGAAACGTGCTGTCAGGATCGTAGCCGGTGCTGGTTTCAGAGACCACTGTAAACCAATTTTTAAAAGTTTGAATATAATGCCTCTTCCATCATTATATATTTTTGTTTCACTGTTGGAAATTAATAGGAATAGAACGAACCTCGTGACGAATTCAGATGTCCATAACTATATGACAAGGAATGCTAATAATCTAAGAGTACCAAATCACAGGCTGGCAAAGTCAACGAAAAACTCACCAGATCTGAATTTATTCAATCGTCTCCCTAGTGCTATAAGATTATTGGGTGAAAATGCAAAATCATTCAAGTCCGCAATTAAGAAACATATTTTAACTCATTGTTTTTATACAGTCGAAGAATATTTCCACACGCCATTTGTTGAATCTGATAACCACAGTTAGCAAGGAGAACGCTGTACCAAATTCTTAAGTTTGAAACATGGTTTATATTGTTTTGGTTTCAAAAATTTTAATTTATAATTTTATTGAATTTACTGTAATGTGTATGTATTTTATTATTCTATTCTTCCACAATTGACTTGCCGAAAACAAATGTATTTTGTAACTTGGTCAAATAAACATCTATCTATCTATCTATCTATCTATGTATTTCCCATATCTGTAAGACAAGGGCAGAACCATTTCCGATTATAATATTTATCAAAATGAGAAATGCAATTATAGACTGATTACTTGCTGCAGAAAACAGAGAAATAACACAGAACTGAAGAATCAGATAATCTGAGGATTATCTTCGAATATTCGCATCTTGACTAGATGAAACAAGGATTTGAAGATGAAGGTTACTGACGATATTGACGTTAGGAAGTTAGGTCGACAATGTAGTTCGTCTTCTTCTTCCTTTCTAGTATTTCTGGGAACTCTAGGCATCGCGCTGTTGCCAGGGTCACAAAACAATTGTGTTTAAATAAAATCTCGATCATTTTTCACGAATCCTAGGATATTTATATTGTTACTATAGCATCTTGCTAGTTGTTATAAGTATTGAATAAGTGATTTTTAGGGCCCAGGTATTATGTGAATGTGAATACTGTTATCATCGGTCATATTGAATCTCATAAAGTGATTACTAATCACAAATCTGGCAGCGTCGAAATATGTGGTCCTACTTTTTATGAGAAAGCCAGAATTCAGATAACGGTGACTTTCGGTTTGGTTCATGACGTCATCGAAGCTGGCGTTTTCGAAGGTGACGAATTTCATTATTAAAAATATATATTTGCGATGATTTTGAATGATTGCATCAAATGCTATTTTCACACGGAATTTAAAATTGATATGTGGCGTAAATTCGACTAGTGTGTATAGCGCCATCACATACTTGATTCAAGACTGTTTCATGAATTGAATCAGTTGAATCAATATTCCCATTGGAGATACTTTTCAACTTTAGCAAGACTGAATAACTGTATCTGAATACTGACTTCTGACTGACTCTCTCTTCTACCTTTTCCTGCTTTTATACTAAATTTTTTTCAGAATCCATTAGATTTTTGTTTAGTTGAAATGGTCTCAGAAAGTCATCAAAATAAGATGCAAACAGAGACTTTCGACCTAATGAAATATTGTCCTAAATCATCTTGCAAGAAATCAATTCAATTTGACTTCGTCTATTACTTGAACTCAAGTGCAGAAATAGGATTTCGATGTTCGAGATGGATTTAAACATTCATTTTTCTCATTTATCATCTGGCATTCACCTACTTAAGATTTGGCCACTCTGCTGATGATTTAACCTCCAACTTTGATCTTACATCTTCATGAACACTATTCTCAAACTTTTGCTAATCTCTTCACGCTGTTCTCATCTGTTCTCCAAGTTCCGTCAAATACTTCGATTTCATATGCCTAAATGTTTACTGTCCCAATTTGAAACGACCTTTCACTTCCTAAGTGCATTCATACCCGTAATATTGCTTGAAACTCCGCGTTCATTACAACGACGCAAAACAAGAAATTCAATCATGCCATGCGTATTAACATATTTACAACCGTCACTGCAGGATTTTAGCAAACACCTGAGCCTCGAAAACAACGTCGAGTTCAAAGTGAACGTCCCTTACGAAGACCTGCTGGAGGAGTTCCAGAAAGCTAGCATCGGAATCCACACGATGCTAGACGAGCATTTCGGCATCAGTGTGGTGGAGCAAATGGCCGCGGGGTTGATCGTGGTTGCTCACAGGTAAGGTTGTTAAAAATACCGTATTTTATATCTTGGGGAAAATAATCTCTAGATACTTTTCTGATTCAATAGTTCTTTCCTACTTTGTTTGAGTGCCATTTGAGTTGGACCTAGAGGATATCTTCAACATATGTCCATATTTAATTGAAAATGAATATAAAAGCTGTTACAATGTTCGTAGAGTGTAAGTTTCTGATCGACTCAAAACTGCTAGAGTGAGTCAGTGAACGCTTTGTAGTCAACAATTCTTACTCAGAGTAAGTTTATGAACGTATCTTAGGTATTCAATTTCTCTACCCACAGGTCCGGAGGCCCTTTGCTGGACATAATCGAGACCTCGGAAGGGTCCAGGCTGGGCTTCCTAGCGCAGACCGCGGACGAATTCGCGCACATCATCAAGTTCATTCTGCAGCTGAGCGAAGAGGAGGTGGGAGAAATAAGGGAGAGGGCCAGAGCGTCAGTGGATCGGTTCAGCAACAAGAAGTTCCAGGAGGAGTTCTTGAGAGCCGTCGAGCCGCTCTTCAAATGACTACTATTTTTTTAATGACTGAAAAACCTTCTTTGTAGGCTTGAAAAGAAATATATGTGATATTGCTTCCACATTTGTTATTTTTTGTGCCTTGTAATGGAATATAATCACGCCATAATAATTGGCGTCAGTGAATGCAATAGGTCCAACAACAAGAAGATCCAGAAGGATTTTTTGAGAACCGTGGAGCAGCTCTTCAAATAACTATACTCTCCTTGTAAACGACTGTAAAACCTTCTGTGTAGGCATTAAAAGGATTCAATGTGATGTTGGTTCCACATTTGTTGTTTTCTTGTGTCTTGTAATGGATTATAATCACCATGATTGGCGTCAGTGGATCGGTTCTGCAACAAGAAGTTCCAGAAGGAGTTTTTGAGAGCCGTGTAGCAGCTCTTCAAATGACTATACTCTCCTTGTAAACGACTGCAAAACCTTTTGTGTAGGCGTTAAAAGAATCCGATGTGATATTGGTTCCACATTTGTTGTTTCCTTGTATTTTGTAGTTAATTATATTCGCAATGATCGGAATTATTACATTATCCGAAACTGCAGCACATATCTCCTACAATCCTACCGACTGCGCCAGATTGTAATGAAGGAGTGCTAACGTTCAATGCTTCAGGTCAAAGAAATAGTCTTCTACCAGTAAAAGTTCCAAAACATTGTTTCATACTCAAATAATGTGAATATCAACCATATACGGGGTGTTCTCAATGGTGACACCCTTTTATCAAGAGTGTATAAATTCATTGGAATAGACAAATGTACCAGAATTGAGCTGTTGTTTGAAAGTAATTAATTCTAACATATCGATCACTATAGCAAAAATCCTACCGACTGCGCCAGATTATGATTACACAATCGAAATGTCAGTAGATATTTGTGCAACTGCAACTGATGGTGTATTGTAATATGAAGTTTGGTCATTTTGTAGGTTTAGGTATGGAACAGATTGGATATCTTTCAAAGCACGATTTTTATTGCTCCTTATCTATACATTACGGAAATCACAAAACAAAGTACACACATTCCAGGACAATCTGGATACAGAACATATTTACAGAAAATACCAACTAATAAATAACAATACAACTCATTCAAATAAATTAAAAAATACATCCACACGAACCTTCCACACGAATTCATCACAAAAAATAAATATATACAACAGCAAGAATATCACATTTGCCCCACAGGGGTGAAATAACAGGATTCAACAACTCTACAAGTTCGGAATCTTCAACTTCGACATCTGGTACTGCCTCAAGTCCTCGTCCTGAGGCAAGGGCGCATCATCCTTCACCGGCCTACCGTCAGGATACACCCTTACCACCATGGGACCAGTAAGGGGTGCTTCCTCATACATCCCTTCATCCATGGGATCCACCAAGATCTTTTCAGTGGTGGTAGATACACTCATTCCGTGCTGTTCCTGGAACCTGGCGTAAGGGCCTTTCTTCACCGGAGCGTCAAACGCCTGCAAATACGTCACTACGTTGTGGGGGTAGGTGTACTTGGGTCTTTGGTACTGCTCCAGGAACTCTTTTGGGGGTGGCACTCTGAACACGTGGTCTATTTTGGCAGAGGCGGCGCTCTGGGAGCCCAAGTCGTCGAAATCGCTGTAGATTTCGTCGTCGTAGCTGTTCGGTTTCGGGGTGGTGGTGGATCGAGGTTTGGGAATGGCGTCTGCCATTGGGTGGCCCGCCATCATGGAATCCCAAACTGGAAAGAGACAAAAAAAATAGGTTAGAATCTTTTGTCACTGTCATATGATTCATGACTTCTAGATGACTTGCGTGGGGAAGACCACTGAAGGATGAAATCTGTCCAAACCTCTATCGATCGTTGAATCACGATTATGATTTAATGTACAATGAATATTAAGAGTTGAAGATGAAGGGAATCGAACCTATAGCGTTTTGAAATTATTATTTTCCATTCGACAGATATTTCAAAAGGCTAGATATGAAAGTACTGGAGCCGTGACGTATTAGTCCCGAACAATATAGCTATCTCTCTCTGATATCTTGTAATTTTGCAGTTTAGCAGTGTGATTGGTCAGCTCAAGGACAATAGGCGTGTTGGGACTGATACGTCACACCAGTCACACCAATGAATTGACACCATTTTTAATGAATCAGGAAGTGTGTGCTTTGAAATGAACATATTTTAATTTATTGTTTTTATCGTCCTAGTATGAATGAACAAATTGAAAATTATATATACTGGTAGTTTTTTGGTATTGAGCTCACGGTGATGCCGATTTAAAAAATCTGTGGTCTCCCCCATTGAGGGCTAATATATTTTTATTGTTCGCCAGATCGCGCTACTGGTTCAGACTTTGTAGAACTGATACATATACTTCTACTTTTCCTGTCAATTGGGTTCGTCCTACGATATCTTCTTCTCTGTTAATGTAAAAATTGCGCATAAAGTTCCTTCAGTTTCCCTATTTGTTTACATAGGTTAGTTACATCATATCTTTAAACATTTTTCGATAAAACAAGCTTAAGCCTTCAGGGCTATTCGACACAATTCTGGGATTTTTTACTATTACATTGACCTCACGCTCTACTAACGCTTTCTATTAGCTGGCGAGACTGAAAATATTGGCCCTCATTATTAAGGCATTTTCATTAGAACAGTCAGAAATTTTGCTAATTTTCGAATCGAAATTCGCAATAACTATACCTACTTCCATTAGTTTTCATTATGTTTTTCGTGTCTCGCTAGTTATTTATAATCAATTATTAAAAGAATGTTAATTTTTTATTCAAATAAAAAAATGCCTAATTGTCACATCAATATTTGATCTAACTAACAAATTGCGTTATAACTCTTGGTATCCATGCATTAGAGACATTTTAAATTGAAATGATTAGCATTAAACTGTCCTTGATATCTTTGTTGTCATTGAAATGGAAATAGTCTTGGTTTTGAAAGTTGAAAGATGATTAAATTAGACCGACAAGTATTAGAAGATAATATTTCTTTGACCATAATTGACTAGGAAAGGGTCAGACATTTTGTGCTATTTGTTGACTGTAATTTGACAAAAGCAAAAAACTTAGGTAGATACGTATCTCAGCAGTTTTTGATCTGATAGGGGTACAATAATTTAGACAGTGTTATCGGTGTTATTCACATTTACATCTGACTCATTTGTAGCCAACATCAAAATAAGAAATGTCTAACCCTTGAAAATTTGGTGAATATTTTCGAAGTTACCTAACATATGCCACCTTATGATTTTAGAAAAAATTATATTCGACTTGAATTGAAATAATCAACTTACTTATATTACTTGCACCCCTCTGGTAAGGGTCCATAGCGTCCATGTATTCTTCAGGGAGGGTTTTCAATTTATCAAGCCCATATTTGAGTAGCTTCTGGTTGCAATTTTCCATAGTTGAGGTATCGCAGAAGTTTTCTACTTGATTGGCGAACATGGAGTAAAGGAAAGACATCTAAAAAAAAAAAGATTTTTTATTGAATAATGAATGCGATTGATTTGAAAAAAAAAATGATATTTGAATAAAACGGGAATGCGGTATGAGATACAGTATGAATAAACATGGTTATTTTGATTTTGTAATAATGATAATACCGTTATCATTAAATAACAAAATGGAATTAATTAGAACAAGTTACATAATTATATGTGATAAATTCAAAAGGTCAGTACGGAGTGAAATATTGAATATTTATACTAGAGCAACAATCTATCCGAATTATAACTGTTACTTTACAGGGTGTGTACGTCTTATGAAAAATGCCGCAAGCTGTACCGTAATTTTCATTCGATTCAAAAAATTTTTAAACATATAGTCAATGGTTTGAAAAATACTAGTACAAATAGCATTTCGTGATTTTGTTCAACATGAGCCAAGGCATGAAAAAACCTTTCATCACAAGTTGATAATTATTATATTACTGTTTCGATTTTGAGAAATTTCTTTCTTTTTCATGGCCAACTGGCCAACTCGATGATTTTGACATTAGTCTACTAGTATTTTGACACAATTCATTCAATTTTAAATTTCCTCCTGAAGATGCTTACGAATTTGCCGAAACACATGTCGAGGCCATAAAAAAACAATTATTTGGTTAGTGGTAAAACTGTGTGAGTGTGCAAAAAAACTCACAAATCGTTAATTTCGGAAATGATGACCGAAATCGAGATTGAATTCAATGAGGCAAAAGCATACTATGTTTCATTTGGAGAAAACATGGTTTGTTTGACTTTGAAAAAACTTTTGATTTCGTATATTTTGATACTGCGACCTTATAGATAAGTACTTCCACAAAAATACTGAAATTATGACACTGAATCACAATCTAACGAATAACGTAAAAAAATACGATGGGCCAATTCGAAAGTCTTTTAGGAAAAAGCTGCTTTTCATCATATAGAACAAAGGTGTATCATCGAAAAAGTTAAAAGAATAATTTTTAAAATGAAAATTATACAACACTGATGAAATGTATTTGAATGGGAATTCAAATGGATCATGAAACTGATTTTGATAATGAAATTAGAACAATAATTTTGGGAAAGTACCCATACCTCCCGTACTGAAAACAATTCTAAAAGATCTTCATTTTAAGAATTAGTAGGCAAAAGAAATAGTATCTAGAGATATTAAAAAAAATACTTACTTTTTCCTGTTTACTGAGATATTCCCACATTGGTATTGCCGAAGCATCCGATTGTCCAAAAACCACAAAAAAACACAAAACTAGTCCGTAGACAAACATTTCGCCGCAATATCTTACGAAAACAAACTTAAGAACACTTTTTCAAACTCTTCCTCTCACTTCTCGAGACGATTCTCTTCTGTCCGCTGCCGGGCAGCTTTCGATTGTTTTATAGAAGTGCCATGACGTCACCTGGAGATACCGGATCGCTGGGATTCCGACGAACAGAGATGAGACAGACGCTTTGTTGTGGATGAATAAATCAAAAGCGATTGGAATTTGGTCGTTTTTTCGTGCGATATCGCCCTTTCGAAACTAATTTCATGCAAACGAGACGCATTCTCGGCATTTTTGCGTATACCGGATTCCAGAACATCCTGTAGCGGACGACAGCAAAAATATATCCAGTCGGACATTGGATGGATATTCACTGGATATTTATTTTTGAGCACATTCTCGGCATATGTGCGTATACCAGATTCATAGCCATCTTTAAAGAGGATTCCAGAACGTCCTGTAGCGAAAGCAAAAATATAATCAGCCGGACATTGGATATATATGGATATCCACTGGATATTCATTTTTAACCACATTTCGGAATTTTTGTGTATACCGGATTCCAGAACGTCCTGAAGCGGACAAACAAAAAAATATAACCAGCAGGGCATTGGATGGATATCCACTGGATATTCATTTTTAACCACATTCTCGGCCTTTTTGCGTATACCGGATTCCAGAGCGTCCTGTGGCTGAAGAAGGCAAAAATATAACCAGTCGGACATTGGATGGACATCCACTGGATATTCATTTTTAACCACATTCTCGGCATTTCTCCGTGTACCGGATTCCAGAACGTCCTGTAGCGGACAAACAAAAAAATTTAACCAGCCGGATCAAAACATTTCTATTTATGTGAAAATAATGCAGTCCTTATAAATGTTATCATAAAATATAGTCTTTCAATTATTATGTTTCACGACTACGTTATGCAATAAACTGAGATACCTACTATAAAACCAATGGATAAAAGTTGTGAAAGTTATTTCAAATTTCAATGAATATTTTCATTTGAATTCAAACGAAATATCATATATTTTCACAAGGCCTAAGTTGTTGAATGAAATTGTTTTATATTATACGCCGTTAAGAATGAACAGTTTTTCAATAGGCGTTGAATGGTTATTAAAGGATTATTCACTTCCTTATCAATTCTACTTTGCTAGTTGGGAATATTTGAGATATCCAGAGAACATCCAGTCGATGATATCTATAAGATATTTCTCAATGACATTCACAAGATATCCTTCAAGGATGTCCTTAAAAATACAAATTTTGGATAATTTCCGAACTTCTTCCCTTTTCACCTGCTTTGAAGTTTCCAATTATCTAAAGTGATAGAGGAGAGTAACAAGTCTCAAGAACAAGTTGAGAAACAATTGATTTATCGAACAAATCATACCTGAAGTGAGCAATATGTTCTTTAAAACTTGTGCATGTGCTTTGACGTGATTGTCCAATATATTTAACCCTACACTTCATTCAAGTATATTCATTGAAATGATTGAGTTGAATTTGACAACAAAAAAAGCGGATGAACGAAATTCAGATTGAATCATTTATGTATCAAGGGCCTAAAGTATAGGCTTAGGGACCGCAGCGTGTAAGTAAGAGCCCGACCGCATATATATGTAATAATTTATCAATGATTTTGAATTCATTTGGCCAAAGTATGTATGCTACGGCTGATAGTCAACTGGAAAGTGGAAATTACTGGAAAAACAGTTGAATTACTTTACCGCCGATCACCTACTTTACCGCCCGCTGCTCTACTTTATCGCCCTAGGGCGCTCAAGTGCTACTTTACATCCGTGAATACGGGCGAAAAAGTGGCAGTTCACGCCCGGTCGTGCATAAATAACTATGTATTATGTACAATGAGTCATTAATTTTTGCTATTCTGAAAAACAGGAAAACTCTTTTCATTCCAAACTTTTAGCCTTACCTAGTCTTACTATCAGGTGCATCAATTTTTGGTACCTATTGACAGATATACTGATATCATCTACATGTTTATGGTCTTGAATCGTACCAATCAATCTGATGAGTCACCGTTTATTTCGATTTCCAATGATCAAATGCCGTATTTAATTTGTAATACTTCTGGGAATTCTAAGAACCATTAAAAAAACGAAGAGAAGGATCTTATTAGTAAATGCGTTTTTAATTATTTTGTTTGATATAATGGTCCTTTGCATTCATTAATAAACGTGATGGATGCTACAATCACAGCTGGACCACAGGAGTTCAAATCTATACCGGGTGTCCCAGATACATACAGCCATACAAGGTCTATCTGAATAACACTGAAAAAATTCGATGACTATCGATATATCGATATTCAACGATAGAGATCTAATGTCGCGCAGCCCTAATTCCAATAGTAAGAACCCCAGACAACACATAGTATTCTGTTTTCAAAATATCCTTGGAACTCTGAGAATATTCGTATACAGGGTGATACAAATTTGTGGTTAAGCATGGGGATCTTATAGTAACTTGAAGAGATACAGAGTAGGTTAAATCAGGACAAAGTTGCACCATTTCATGTTTAACAAAATGCTGCCATTACATTGGAAACATGTCAATTATTTCCGGAGATATCCGGAAAAAAGGAAAAATCAAAATCACTGTCACTTCATCATTGCCACTTTTCATAGTCTACAAAACGGAATTGTCGAATTGGAAATCCGACGTTCCTTCTTCGAGCGGCCATCATCAACTTTATTTTTTTTTAATACGGACCTGGATTGTTCATTTTATTCTTCGATAGTTTTCGATCTTCTTGATTTGTTACGATCAACTCTAATGAGACAAATCTAATGGGTAGGAATTGGTGTTCTTCTTGAATCTCTGGAGGTTATACGCCTCGGGAAACACCTGCCTTGGCAATGTGTTCCAGAGCCTCGCTGTTCGTTGGATGAACGAGTCTTTGAAAATATACATATGTTCTGCAGGTCTCCAAAGTGACCTTAATAAGGGGTGCGAAGCCTCAACTCGACGGGTTAATCTCGCGGGGACTGCCAAGGGAGGTACAATTGTTGATATTTCAGAAGAGCATCGTCCATGAAAATATCTATAAAATAGAGCCAGATCGCCAACTTTTCTACGGTGTTCCAGAGAAGTGAGTGAGTTTGTGAGCGAGGCATCACCCACGAGACGAATTTTGAATGAGTAATAATGATCATGCATGTTTCTTTAAAAAAAAAATATGAATTGCAACATTTTCTGTCTTGAAAAACTCGCTGAGTCTGCGTGAAAATTAAACAAAAATCAATGGTATGACATAGAAATGAACAAAAAATACCTTTTGTTATTCAAACACATTATAGGCATTCCACTCTTATTCATCGAGTCATTGCCTTGAACTTAATTATTATTGTATGTACAATTGAGTCGGTATGAGTATAAAGATCTTTTATATAGCTTCAAATTCCTAGCAATCATCACGATTTACATCTGAACAATTCTGTTTGTTCGATTGTTGCCAAAAATAACAAAAGAGTTGAACTTTATGGAAATTCCAGTACCTATATATAACCGTCACCCATAACGTCACACATTACAATACTCGCAATACCCCTTTTTGGGTAGCACGATCCTAAATCGTATTGAAATTATGCAAAAAACGCTTCTCTAATCTTTATGGTTGTTATTCTTCGAAGATTATGGTATTTTCATGGGTAATTGATCGTTTAAGGTAAATCGGATATAAACACTATACACAAGAATTTATTGTAATTCAACATTGTTATCGGCTTATTTCTATGCTATTCAAGGCATCAAAAGTCGAGGTGAATAGGATATAAACTTACGATAAACATGATTTATTATTTAAATGTGCAAGTGGACTATGAGGCCGCCATATTTTTTGTTCTAGCACTAGCAGAAATAAAATGCTCTTAGATTTCTTCTCGATTTTTTCGAAACTGGCGGATTTTTGCAACATTTGCATAGTCCTTTAGTCTTAGTTCTCAGTATTAATTTTTGTCTTAAAGATTTGAGGTATTTATCCAGAAACATTAAAACTTGATTTAAGCATAAGAGTCAACAGCTGCGCTTTCTCATAATATTATTTTCGGAACATGTAAACAACAAATCATCAACAATTCTATCAAAGGAGCATGCGCCAAATCCACATAGCATAAGCAAAAGCGTAAAATTTTGAATAAATCAACTTCCAAGGTGATTTCTTAATCTTGTGCTTATGCTTAAGACTAAAATTGGTGTGTAAACGGCCTCAAGCAAGTACCTTGTTTCAACTTCTAGTTATGCTTAAAATTATGACTGACACTATGATTAGGACTATGCATAGTCTTAGTATGAATTTGTGTCTCAAAGATTTGAGGTATTTATCCAGAAACATTAAAACTTGATTTAAGCATAAGTGTCTGTGAGAATTTGTGGTTCTTTTTGTACCAGAGATGAGGAAAATTATCTATCAAACTTATCAACACCTGAGCTTTCTCATAATATTATTTTCGGAACATGTAAACAACAAATCATCAACAATTCTATCAAAGGAGCATGCGCCGAATCCACATAACACAAGCATAAGCATAAAAGTTCAAATTAATCATAGTGTGTAAACGGCCTCAAGCAAGTATACCTTGTTTCAAATTCTAGTTATGCTTAAAATTATGACTGACACTATGATTAGGACTATGCATATTCTTAGTATTAATTTGTGTCTTAAAGATTTGAGGAATTTATCCAGGAACATTAAAACTTGATTCAAGCATAAGAGTCATGTGAGAATTTGTGGTTCTTTTTGTACCAGAGATGAGGAAAATTATTTATCAAACTTATCAACAGTTGAGCTTTCTCATAATATTATTTCTCACGTAATTGACTTTATCTTTGGACTTTCTCTTCCTCCGGCAAATTTCAGAACCCTACCTCAATAATTACGTGAGATACGGGGGTGCTTCCATGAAAAATGCGACAAAATTTCATTTTTCCGAACTGAAAATTTACCAGGAAAAATTTGAATAGTTAGTAAATTGGGCGTCCTGATTCCAAATCTGAAGTGAATTTTCGACCTATTTCGACTCCTAATATCATTTTCCGGAAATTGGGGTAGTTTC